ACTGTGTCTCATACTTCAGCCGAAAGAGCATGAGACTCTTAATCTCGAGATTATGAGTTTGAGCCCCACGCTGGACAAAAGATTCCTGCATGCAGGGGGGATGGACTAGATGACCCTCATGGTCCCTTCCAACTCTATTATTCTATAATTCACTCATGCTCAATAGCCATGTCAATAAGAGTTTTCAAAGGGAAATGGACAAGACTAACCAGCAAAAGAGCAAGGATACAGAAGAATATAAATAGTTGTTTTTCTATTGAATTATATTGCATGGCAGATGCCATACAATCTTCTTCAGCGCTGTGTGAGTGTTTTTACAAGCAAATTTCTACAAGAAAGGAAGTGCTGTGGAGGATGGGCATAGAAGAGAAGATTCTTCTTCCATTCCCCTGCTTCTTTTTGTTTTGAATTTAACAACACAGGAAAGTCCTCTCACAGTGTTTTTCTTCGTTGCAGCAAGAGATGCAGTGAGCCAAATGGGATCTTCTCTGCGGAAACAGCTGACTCCAAATAAAACAAAAACAGTCACAGGTTGCATTGCACAGCATTTCCTTCCTAGCACTGGGTGGGTATGGAAGAGATATGAGCTCTAGTCATCTCACTGCATGACACTGGAATAAATAGAAAAGGAAATATCCATTTAAAAAGCAGCTTTTCTGTAAACCTCCAACAATTTATATAAAAAGTATATAGCAAGAATGGGTGAACAGGCAGAACCATTTACCTTTACTTGGGTTTTCCCTACAGAAAAAGATGTTTATATAGCCATAATATATTTTGTACACAAATAAATCATGCATCCTACCCAGCGTCCTGTAGAATGACTGATTTCTAGGTTTCAAATACAAGAAGAAACATCTCATTTAAAACCCATGTTTTTCAAGGTATTTTTATTATAATTTTAAGAGAGGGGGTGGGAATAGGGGTCCAATAGGATCTCCAAGTTCCTAGTCAAAAAAACAACTAAGTTTAGTAGACTCTAATATATACTTCCTTTCAAGACTCTATAAGTAAATTCAATCCAGCTTCAGTATTTGCAGAGAAACACACAAAAAGTCCTTTATTGGAAACGAATGAGTGTTCCAAGAAACAACTTTCGCAACAACAAAAAAAGTGTCAGTTTGAAAATGCAAATGGAAGATGCTATTCCCAATATGTCCATAGCTGAAACTGAACTATTTTAACCACAACTGCGGGACCTCACAAAATGTCAACTGGCTTTCAGCAACCTCAAATACATTTTTTCTCCTCTCAGCATCTACCACAAGCAATAAGGACCCTAACTCAAGGATAGGTAAGCCTAGGACCAACAGCATACATTAAAACTAACACAGGGAATGTTTACAAACTTCAAAAGTTAAAAAGGCATATAAATTTGGTCAAATGGCAAGAGATAGATGCACAAGCAGAAGTACAACCAAGTTGCCTATACTACAACTGTATGCTAGGATAAACCAGTACTATGCAATCATAATAAAATCAAACATATGACATTTAAAACAATCCAAGTTATGACAGTGTAGATCATTATGCAGGTATATTTCAAACTCTCCCTCCCCTATCTCACTTTAAAATAAAGTAAGACAGACAACTTTGTGGAAAATATGCATTAATAGCCTGAATTTAGAGAATATACTAATGCACTGCCGTATTAACACACCTTGGCTGAGCCATAAGCCATGATTAAGCGAATTAGATGGTGCATGAACTGTGAGCTGGCCATGTTACTTCTGAACGAGTGCTCAAACAACCATGAGCTAAAGCCAAGGTTTGTTCTTGACTTTCCCAACTGTTTGTTTGGGACAAATTTATGTCAGATTTAATGGACTGTATTGTAATACTTTAATCATTTTAATTGTTTTGCAATTGACAACAAATTGAAATAAAAAGAGAATTATATTTTAAGAAGAAGTGAACAGAGACACAAATTTTAGTGTAAAGAAAGGGAAACAGCTAATGTGGCAAATTAAGGCTGAAAACTGATACCCATCAGAAAAGCTGACAAACAAGCTCCTCCACTCTCCTGAGCTCACTACCCTTCACCCATTGTAGCCTTCCTTTCACAGAGTGGGACAAACAGCAAAACTGCAGAAGGGAGAAGGGGGAAGGGAAGAAAGGACACACACAGACTGAAAATTTGTTCACGGAGCTAGCAGGAAATGCCAAACACTGCACACAGGAGCTAACAGTTTCTTGAATAAGGCTGGAGCTTACAGTGGGAAAACCTTGTCATGCTCTACCTCTGAACTTTGGATGGCAGGGTCTCCGATAACACAAAGGAAGTACGACTTGTTTTGCATCTACCCTGAACAGTCAAAATGCACTATCCCAACACCAAGCGGTAATATTATTTGTATAATATTTCCATGGGAGCTTTCTCTATTCAAAACAAACAGAACTCCATGGATCATGCAATTTTTTTCTTGCTTGCCTTGGAACTCTGAATAACCTGTACACATAAAAAGCAAACTACTTCATCAGCACGGTTTGCTAAATGTGGGTAATGTCTGAGAGGGTAAAATTAAGGAGTGGGGGGCGGATTTGATGGTGAAATGCATTTAGTATGAGGCAAAGCACTAATACACATACATTTGATCAAGGAACATGTATTGAAAAAATGCAACGTATTGGAAAGTGTTGGTAATGCATTTGTAAGCACACTCAGAAGCAAGTCTCTTTATATTTAATGGGACTTATTCTCAAGAAAGTGTGCATAAGATTACTTTTTAAATCAAGAGTACTTTTTAAATCTATCACTTCTGTATGTTGTTAATTCAGTACATACAACATATGAGCCCTAAAGGTAAGTAGTGGCCAGTGATGACTGACTAGAATTACAGTACTATTTTTTTCAATGGGCAAGATCAAGAAGGGCACACAGTGAAGTATTCTGAGTGGTAGGTTTATTCATTGAAATATATGAATGGAAGTTGGAACAAGGACAGCTGGGCAGATTTTTCACACCACCTTTTGAAGCCAATTTTTTAAATTTAAAACCTTTTTATCCAACCATTCCACTGTAAGTGTCTTCGAGGCAATTTTTTTATTTTATTTTACAACTCTGGTTCAAAACAGTAAGACAATCTAAACAATAGTAGATTAAAAATGAGTTCAGCAGTGCTAACAATGATATCCAATAATAAGAAATACAGTTACAACCAAAATAATATTAGACAAATAAGACAAGTGTGGGCTGGTGTCTAAGACATAAAGGTCAAGTTGTGCCAGGTGAGCATGCCTGAGTAGAAAGTGAATCCTATTGCTATAGAAAAGAGTCTGTCCAGTGACCAACCTCTGAAGGGGGAGCTCCCAGTGAAGACCTTTAGTTGCGTATCTCAGTTTACAGGCAGACTCGTCCAGGACTTCCCAAATTATTTGGGGATTTAAAAACTGTTTAGCACTTTAAATGTGTTGGGCTTAAGTCTTTCAGCTAGGATAGATCTTTTATGTATAGTACCGAGAAATCTGTTGCAAGGCAAGGCCCTGCGAACAGTCTGGCTGCAGTACAGTATTCTGAACCAGTTGAAGTTTCCAAGCACTTTTCAAAGGCAGCCTCATGAATAAAATGATGCAGTAATCAAGCCTTGTTGCTACCTATATATGTATGCCCATTGGCAAAGCTCAATCTAGCATTGAGCATCCTCAAAGTAAATTCTGCATGGTGCTATCTAACATGGAGAAGACATATATTGAAATTAAGACTTACTTGTGAAACTGTCTGTGGTGACAGACCTATCAAGAAGAACTTAGCCTTGCCCAAAGATTTCCATGACTGGGCACAACTTAACCTTGCCTAATGATTTCAAGGGGGCTTAAATGAAGGTAAACATACCTGGGTTGCACCTAATGTGTTCTTAATTTACTGAGCAGCATTCTTAGGGAATACTGAGACTTAACGCATCTTTAAAGTGAAAAATGTTGTTACAGAGAGATTGAATGCACTTTTACAAGCCCACTTACATGTTTTCCAAAACAATGTGCTTTATTATGCTCAGGGTTTGATTTATCAAGGGAATTCATGAAAGAGACACTCCTCAAATTATAACATTACCAAAGCAAGCTTCCTCTGAACTAATCAGGTCAAACAAGAACCACATTTCCACTAGCACCTGAGAAGTTGTTAAAAGAACTGGAAAGAGTTTCTCAATGAGCAACACAAATGGTTTTTGAATCTGAACTGTCAGTGATTCATTCCACTGTTCTTTAAAACAAACATACACACACAGCACGCAGATGTGCAAGGGTGCTGGCCAGATTTTCCTGATTTAAAAAAGAAAGCCTTCTACTATGATCACACCTCAAGCATGCACTCGGCAAGCAGATAATCATGTTTGACAAACATATATAAATGTAGCTCACTGAATGCACACAGACCAAGTACCCATGTTGTGCAGATTGCCCTAACGTGTGAAGAGACTCTAATCCGAGAACAGACTCCAATTTCAGAACATTTTGGCCAACGCCCAGCTCCATAAGAAATACCCGTGTGTGTGTGTGTGTGTGTGTGTGTGGTTTTTTTCCAAATACATTTTGCTGTAAGATCTCTGCCTGGGAGAGGCAGAGCATTTCAGCAATGCAGCCAAACCCGTGGAGCCTGCACCGATTGCAAGAGTCTGACCCCTACAGCCCACTAAAAAGGTCCAGTGGGGAAATCAGTTGCCAAGCCCGAACCTTGGGGGAGAGGGGCTCAGTTTTTCACTACAAAGTGGGGAAGGGGGTGGTCTACCTGCCCTCCAATTCCCAGCTGCAGGCAAGGGTGTCAACTTGGATAAAATACGGTAGGGCCCAGGCATGCCTCAACCTGCATAATCGATCACAAGACGCAGTGCACGCAGACCATTTGAATGGCAGGGCTCATCAATTTGGGGGGGTCAGTTTCCTCAAATATTTTATGGGGGGAGGCGAAGGGACCCCGGCCCCCTGGCTCCTATGGTTGCAGGCGAGACTTCCACCCGTTTTGCTGCTCCCCTCCCCATCCCCTGCAGCCAGCCTCTCGTCTCTCAACACAAAACGGCAACGAGGGGCTCTAGGAGGCGACCCAGGGCAAACCCACCACCACAGCCTGGTCTGAACTCCCGCCAAGTCAGCCAGGCAGCCGCCCACCGCGCCCTCCCGGCTCCCTCCAGCCCCGAGAGAGACTTACGGATTTTGACTTTGCGGTGGTCCAGGCGGGCGGCGAGAGCCTTGAGGGAGTCGAGGCGGTGCTGGAGGCGCGCGCTGCGCCGCCCCAGGCTGTCCGCTTGGGTCTGGATGCCGCCGAAGACGTCGCCGGCGCAGCGGGAGAGGTCGGAGAGCTGCCAGAGGAGCGAGACGAGCGAGTGCGAGCAGACCTCCTCCAGGGAGCCGAAGAGGAGCCCTTCCGCGCCGCCTCGCCCGGCGGGCGAGCCTCCTTTGTCCCTCGGAGCCGCCGCCGCCGCCGCCGCCGCCGCGTCCTCTTCCAGGCGGCACAGCTTGAGCGGCGACACCGTCCTCAGGGGGAAAGGCATCGCGCGGGCTCTGGGGCGAAGGCTGCTCTGCGGAGGGGAGGGAGCAAAACTTACATCCACCACACGCACAAGTCCAAGAGCCTCTCCTTTTTGTTCTCCTGCCTCTTTCTAGAAGACTCAGTAGTTCTTTGAGGCCGCGCGGGGGCTGCAGCCGTGAGCCCGGCCGGCCGGGGGGCCGTGGAGGAGGCGCCACAGGTACATTGCAATGCCGCTCTGCAAAAGGGAGCGAGCGAGCGAGTTCGCCCCGCGGGCTCCTCCGCCGCTGCTGCTGCTACCTCAGGAAGAAAAAGCACGGGGAAAGGGGGTGGGGAAACACGGCCGCCCTGCCCTGACTGGCTGGGGGGGGGGGGATCCAGCCGGGGACCCCTCTCGCTCGCCGCCGGAGACGGAGGAACAGGAAAAGGAGCCGCGTTTCCCCCGGAGGAAGCGTGGGAGGGGGCTTGGAAGCGGCGCCGGAGAGCGCGCGGGATCGCGGGCTGGAGGGGAGAGGGAGAGAGCCAAAGCTCGCGGGGGGGGGGGGGGAGAGAAGAAAGGCGACCCAGCCCCGCGTCACCTGGGATCCCCTGCTCTTGCTTTTCCCAAACGATCCCAACCCGGAAAAACGAAAGCAGCCGAAGGGGAGGCGGCGCAAAAGAACTCGACTCCACAGAAAGCTGGGAAAAGAAAATGTTTTGGGGGGGAAATAATAATAAAGGCCGCCGCCTACCTGTAGCTCTCCAAACTGGAGCTACTGCCCCAGCTACTCCTTGCCTCCCAGCAAACCGAAGGTGGAACTCTTCCCTCCCTCCTTTTCCCTCTCTCTCTCTGCCTGCATTCACTCTTTCCGCCGCTTGGTGTCCGAGGGTTACTTTCTCACACACGCACACACAGGAAGAATCACGGCAGGTATCCTCTGTCTCCCAAATAATCACATTTTCTAAATCACGGTTGCCCTCCCCACCCCTCCACCATCACCTACTGGGGTGCTTTGTGTAACAGGTGAGAGAGAGATAAGAGTATAAAGTTGGGAGGAACCCAGCAGTGGGCAAAACGGCTACGGAGGCAACTGCTGTGGCAGTTCAACGTTTTCTCTGGCTTCTGCTCTCCCGCCCCCTTTTCTCTCTCCCGCAGTATTTATTTACGGTCCTAGTAACTCTTTACCCAGCGGAGCTCGCTCCTAGGAAAAAAAATTGACATAAGATTGGAGCCTTAGGAGCTGGATTGTGTTACTGTGTCCCGCTGCAAGCTGGGAGCAAAGAACAGTCAACACACTCCAAGTTGCACCCAAACGTACTAGCCCAGTTGCCCCAATCTAGTTATTTGTGTATTTCTGTATTTATGTCCCAAGATTTATATATCATTTGATTGCAAAGCAGTTTACCAAAAAAAGTAAAACAGTAACTTACTTGGTAAAAACAGTTCAACTACTATTTAAAAGTTTTTTGTTTTTTTTAAATTATAAACTAAACACCAGATTAAAGCACACGCCCACATTCTCCCTGTTTGGAGAGGCTTGCCTAAACAAAAGTGGTTTTAGCAGGCTCCCAAAAGAGTACAGTACAGTGAAGGCACTGCCTGGTGTCAATAGGTGAAGAGTTGCAAAACACTAAAAGATGAATTTCTTACAAATGTGGGACAAGTATTATGTGGCACCTGTAACAGTGCCAGTTCTGCAGATCAAAGAGGTTAAGTGGGCATATATGGGGTAAGGTGATCTCTCAAGTAAACTAGGCCAAACTGCTAAGCGTGCCTCCAAATCCCATTCCCCAGAGCTGATCCAGGAGGATACCATGGTCAATGGCATCAAAAGCCAAAGAGAGATCAAGAAGCAGGAGCCTGGTTGCATTCCGCTTGTCTCATTCTCTGCCTCTGGATGGATGAGTATGGTCTTATATTATTATGGACCAATTTGACATTTGGAAACAGTACCACCAAACCATAGGGCTCAGCAGATAAGCTACCAGTAACTTATAAAGGAGTGAGAAGACTAGAACAAGGAATAATGACCCTATGTCAGCTGGATAGCTCAGTTGGTTAGAGCATGGTGATGATAATGCCAAGGTTGTAGGTTTGATCTCTGTAGGGACAGCTGCATTTTCCTGCATTGCAGGGGGTTGGACTACACTAGAGATCCTCAGGGTTCCTTCCAACTCTATGATTCTACCTAAGCCTCTGCCTCAGATAGTGGTCAGACTCAGCTCCTCCATCCCAACTGTACCTTCCCTTGCCCACTGCCACTGAAATTGGGGCAATATCTTGGCAACTCCCCGCTACCTGCCCACCCAGACACATTTTACACTGTCATTCAATAACATCATATATAACTGGGAAGTTAGAGCCACTTAGGCCCAGCACATGCCACACTGTCAGGAGAAAGATGGTAAGGCCACTTCAACCTTTCTCCCTCTGTCTAACACTCAGGGGGAACCTCACCAAACCACGCTGCCCCTCTAGAAGACTCTCACCCTAAGTGAGGGTCACAGGCCTGTCTCCCACAGCATCAAGCCTATAATTCTTTACCTTGATTGACAGTGGGGAACACCTGTTACTCCCTGAAGTGATGACCCAAAGCAGCAATCTCTTTGGGTAGTGCCTCCTTGCTAAATGACCCTGCTGCCCACAACAGAGCCAGTTCATATTGCAAGGCAGGCTCTGGCCCACACCCCAGCTGTATTCACTCAGCCAGCAATCAAACAGTACCCAACACTGCAATCAGCACACTCTTACCTGCAGGGAAATATCTCACTGGACAAACAAACTGATGCAGACAGAAAACATACACAGACTAGGCAGGAGCCAGAATGGTGCCAACCAGTCCCTCTGTAGGTCTGCTCCAAGATTTTCCAAGATCGTAACAATTATTCTCTTTGCTTCATTAATAGTTAAGAATTCCACTCCTGCCAAACTACCACTTCTACAAGGACTGAGGGAGAAACGCCCACCTGTCTGGTCTCCACTATAAGATTTCACAGGCCAGGAAATTTAGATTGTGTGAAATGGGATACTGATCTATCCATTCAGGGAGCAAATTGATTATAAAATGTACCATTCCTGGACAGAGTGCTTAATTTAGAACTTTAGCATCAACCACCTATGTCCTTGATGGCTTTTATTAGCACATTATAGGTTTACATGTATATACATATTTATAGATAAATATTAAAATTCAATACATTAAGCATACTCTAGTACAGATATCACACAAATGAAAATAAATTTGTCAAAGCAAAATTCAGAATGGTTAATATTATGTATGCCGTATACTTTTGGAGGCAGTAGACCTCTGAAGACCAGTTGTTGCAGATGGCAGTCCAGTTCAACTGTAGTAATATATAATACCATTGGCCGTTAAATTTATAAGAGTATTTCTAAAACTTTTTGAATTTGGACTTTAAAAAAACTTAGTTTACTACCTCCCCACTTCTGCATGTCCACAAACACAAGCCAAGAGTAGAGGCTAATCCAGATTCAATACTGTAGTTCCATGCTGTAAATGCCTTGTGTTACTTACCACAGCAGCTGCATTACATAAGTGAAAGAGGGATCAAGTGTGATCCTATCCCCCACTCTCACAGTGTTCAGGAGAGGCTAGGAATACAAATTCAAGTTTTAATCTCTCTTTTATTTTTCAAAGAGCTATTATTCCATAAGAACTTTGGGGGATAAATAATTAAAGACACAAAGAAAAGAGTCCCATAGATCAACAAAAGATGAATGGCAAGTGCTTGCCCTGCTGTTGAATAGTGTGCTTCATTAATTTATACTGGTGTGGTATCTAATTCTAGGTAACAAAACATTGAATGGAAGACCTCAAACAGTACATAATAGATTTAGGGTCAGTTGATATGACTCATGGGGTGCATGCCTAACAACCACCTATTTTCTGTCTATGACTGCAAAAGATTTTTGCAAATTCAGATGCTGGTGAACCTATTGCACTGCAGTAATCAGAAGAAACTAGAGATCAACATGGCATTGTAAGTGATACAGCAGTAGAAGCTGCCTTCTTTAATGATTGTTTCACTCTGCATGACAAATTTCAGAACATTTTCAGCAGAAAAATAGTCGGCCATTCACCCAACATTTACATGAAGCTCAAAAGCCTTGGGATGGTTAACAGGTGCAGGGCCCAGGAGACCGCCCCCACCATTTCCTCCGTAGGAATTGGGAGGAGACCGGCAGTGCCTCCTATTCACCGAGAGGCTGATGTCAAGGTAGCATTGGGAAGGCTGTAGAGCAGAGGTAGGCAACCTAAGGCCCAGGGGCCGGGTGCAGCCCAATCGCCTTCTCAATCCGTCCCACGGACAGTCTGGAATCAGCGTGTTTTTACATGAGTAGAATGTGTCCTTTTACTGTATTTAAAATGCATCTCTAGGTTATTTGTGGGGCATAGGAATTCGTTTATTTTCCCCCCCCCAAAAAAAAATATAGTCCGGCCCCCCACATGGTCTGAGGGATGGTGGACTGGCCCATGGCTGAAAAAGGTTGCTGACCCCTGCTGTAGGGGTGTGGCAGATCTGGCTTCCAAGGAGTGTGTTGCAGCTGCTGCTGCTACTGTGGCGGTGGTGGTGGTGGTAAGTGATGCATCCTGTCACCTGTGGCGGTTGCCTCACCTTGCCCCATGGGTGGACCAGTCCTGGTTGTATGCAACCAAGTAATTGCACGAGAGGAACTCACTTTCCATATCCTTCTCCTGTGTGCCCCTCCCAAATCTGCTCTGGCGTTTCCCAAAACCCTCTAGAGTTGATTTGGGAGTGGGCATGAAAGGTGAGGATGGGGAGGAGAAGTTCCACTCACACAGTGTCTTAGTTAGATTTAACTCCCCTTTTTTTAGTTACTGCATTTTACTTCCACTGTTCATGTCATTTAAACCAGCTGTGCAGTATTATTACTATTATCAGTGGGAGTGTCTTCAATCCTGCAAAACAAGTTAGGCACCCTCTCCTGCACCTTCCTCTCTGCCCCATCTTTAACCTTTCACCTCAATCAGATGGGAGTGAATCTGTTGAAAAGAAATGTTGTCCTCCATTTTACTCTGTACGACTGAAATGTCATTTTTATTTTTAGGACACTGCTTAATAAGTTTGCTGAAGCAACACAGATAGCAGCATGAGAGCCAGTGTGGTGTAGTGGTTAAGAGCAATAGACTCGTAATCTGGCGTACCAGGTTCGCGTCTCCGCTCCTCCACATGCAGCTGCTCGGTGACCTTGGGCCAGTCACACTTCTTTGAAGTCTCTCAGCCCCACTCACCTCACAGAGTGTTTGTTGTGGGGGAGGAAGGGAAAGGAGAATGTTAGCCGCTTTGAGACTCCTTCGCATAGTGATAAAGCGGGGTATCAAATCCAAACTCTTCTTCTTCTTCATTATATATCTTCTATTTAGATTTGAAAGAGGGTTTCCAAATATGTAAAGCGGGGCTCTGTAGGTATGTCATGTACCCACCTACAGAACATCCATCTTGTAAGGATTCCGTTTCAGTGCACTGGCCCTCATCCAGCCTGTTATTGTTTTCCAGGCTCTGATCCAGCTGCTTCTGTGCCTCACCTGATTCTGATGGAATGGAGTGATAGATCTGGGTGTCATCAGCAACTAATATAGAACAGAAACTTGCATAGGGATCAGGCCTCCTCACATGACTTAAGCTGTTCTGACCTATGAATACTCAAGAGGCTTCTTAAGTTTTAGCTGGTCAAAGAATGAAACTACATTATTTTTACATGTGCAATAGTTACTGCTGATACACTGTGTGGATTTTTGTCAGTAACACTATGGCTTGGATGCCACGTTCCTGTGAACAGAATTCTGCTCACACAGCGCCAGGGTGGGAAAGCAATTTCACCCTTCCCTATGCAGCCATGGAAATCTGCCCTAGAGAGTTTAGCACCCTCTGGAACAGTGCAGGAAGTGGCACCGGAGGCTGTGGGGAAAAGAAAGAATTGTGGGGCGGGGGACCCCGGAAGGGCAATGTAAGATCCAATGTTGTATATTGACTAGATCTGACATTTTATTTTGCCTTGGCTAACACTGAAATCAATATGTTATTATGAGGAAGGAATTGTGAAGCAAATGTTATCTTTAAAATAGGATAAGGTTCTGAAATGTGTATTGGAATGACTTTTAAATGGTGGATTTATGTGTGTTGTTGTGTGAGAGAAAAGAGATTAAATGTTTATAGTTGTGAAGAAAAGCTTTGAAAAGGGACAAATGTGTAGTAAAGGCAATTAAGTATGACCTCATCCCATGCATTCAAGCATGGTTTTTTCCCCCCTTTTTCCTGGAAGTCTAATATTATTTTCTAGTCTTTCAGGTTCACTCCCCTGAAGGTGCTACAGGTTTCCCATTCTCCCCCCACTTTTCTCCCCCCTTTCTTTTTTTGAAGTGGAGGACACTAAGTACCAAGCCAGCTAGGAGGCCCTGTTTAAGAGAGAAAGCATATTTTATTACTGCTGAGTGGACAAAAAAGTGGTCAAACCAGCAGCAGCAAGTCCAGTGGAAACACACCAAAAAGAAACAAGAAATAAAGCTGATACAAGAAAACTTAATTGTCAAAAGAGAAATACAGGGAGAAGCAGCAGCAGCTTACATTCAACACATGCTGAGGTAAATCTGTTCCTCAGGGGTCATACAGAAATTCTGTGAACATGTTCCAAATCTCAATGAGGCAACATCAGCTACAGCGTTCTCTGATGTTTTCCCATATCGGTGTTTTATGAGGTTTTCTTTGTAATGCCGAAGTAGCAGGGGGGAACACAGGCCCATAATAATGATAAATGCAGGCATCGATTACACTGCTCTCCCAACAGTATCCCCCAAAGTGTAGCAGGTCAGTTGTGGATTTGGCTTTCTGGTTGTGTTGGACACTTACCAATGAGTACTGAAAGATTCACCCTAGGTGTGATTGTGGTTGTCACAGGTAGGGAGGGGGACACTAAATGGAAGGTTTTAGGATGGCCACCATTAGGACCAATCCAAGACATTTTGGCACCTGAGGCAAACCACAAAATGGTATGGTCCGTTCTGCCCCGCTCCCACCAGGGAAGGAGTGAAGATCTACATCAGGAACAAAAGGGGAATAAAGATCAACACTGGGAACAAGGGGATGGTACTCAACTTAACATTACCATATGGGAATCAAAGGTCATTGTGGATGGGTAGGGAAGGGGCTCACTCTAAAACACACTGGCCAGGTGCAGAGCCCAGAAATCCCCAGAGGGCAGCCCCCACCATTTCGTCTCATGCTGTGGGAGGAGACCAAGAGTGCCTCCTATTCGCCAAGAGGCTGCTATAGACGTGGCATGGTGGGGACCGCTGAGGAGGCGGCAAGGAGTGCGTGGCAGTGGCGGTGGCAACAGCAGCAGGCAAGGCATTCCTTGGAGACTAGATCTGCTACCCTGTAGATCCTGCCGCCTGAGGTTGTAGTCTCACCTTGCCTCATGGGTAGGGTGGCCCTGGCCACCGTGTACATGAGTCTCAGGGCCACTTCAGAAGGCTCTACAAATCACTCCACAAAGAGCAGCCTGCAGTTCTCAGAAGAAAGTTAACATCTGACCTGCGCTTCCTGGAACAGCTGCCACTTTTCAGTAGCAATCGATGCCAGCATAACAGCTGAAAAATGTGACACTGTCCTCCTGAAAACCATTGCTGGAAAGTGGTAGCTGCATCTTGGGATACACCAAGTCGGAAGTTACTTCTTCCACAGTTTTATACTTGGGGATGGTTGGGACACTTCACTTGGAAAAATCTGAACTAGTGTTTAGGCAGAAGCAGTGTGTGTAGCTGGAAAATAGATTTCATTACATTTACTTCAACTCAAAACTATAGTTCGTATGTGCTATCTTTGCAACAACTAATTAATTCACAGTTTATCTCTTGATGTGTTGCTGTCATAATAAGGTTTATAATTAACTGGGACAGATTCCATTTTAAAATCCAATGCGCTTCTGCCACAGGTTTCCTGTCTGTCTTCTCTTCCCAATATTGGCATAAACTGGCTAAGCAAACTCTTGCATGGAAGAAATGGCAAAACAAAACAACAAAACAAAAAACCACCACAATGCTGCAGCACAGCACAGGATCAATGCAGGGTGAAGTAAAGGGCAATAATTTGTGACTGCAGTGAAGTGGCTGCCTGAGCCACAAGTTCAATTTCCAGAACTGTGTTGACAATCCTAAGTAATCATTTCCATAGAGAGCCACAATTACACCCAAAATTACACACTGGACAGTACTACTCCTTTCCCACTCTAGCAGGATAAGCATGAATTTGGCATTGTTGTTTCAAATTCTGAGCAGCAGCTAACTAGGAATCTACAGTGCCCTGCTTAAGAGCACAGATGAGCCAAACTGAAAACCACATTTGTTTATCTATCTGCCCCATGCGCATAAAACACGAGGATAAGTCTATTTTTTTGTAAAAAAAAGGTGCATGTGGAGGAGGGGAAGCGAACTCTGCCCCATCTTCTCCCTGTGCTCCATCCCTACAGGCACTTTTCTCCCCATGCTGGCTGTGATACCAAAGAGGGTCAGCCTGAGACGAAAAGTGTACGCAGCAATGGAGCGTGTGGCGAAGACGGGGAGGAGGAAAGGAAAGGTTTCATTTCCCTTCGCTCACATTCACATTTCATTCTAAAAATTAGATGCTTCTACTGAATCCTGGAACAGATGGATATCGTCAGGGTTTTCCTGCAGCAACTCGGTAACTGAACACCAGTGCTTCCTGTTAGTGTAAGGGAGCGTAGGAGAACTGGCTCTAAACACTTGCTTGTCATTGAATCCAGAAGGGTTTGCATCCGATTGAACATGCATACGATCGGGATATTCATTGCAGCGCTGGAAGCAAGCAAGCAAGAGGAGGAGTGCTATGAATTCGCACAACAGAAGAAAGAGAGAGAGGAGAGAGAAAAAGAGGTCAAGGGTGCATCACTGTATTGGGGAGAAAGAGCAGCAGCGCTCTGGAGCTTTTTTAAATGCTCCGTACTTGAGGAACAGAGCACGTGAGCCGACGCAGCCCCTGAACAAGAACAAAAACTGAAATCTCTGCATTTCCTTTCATTTCGCTTTCCGCCTGAGAGGGCGCTCCCCTTTCTCTAATCAAGGGTCCGCCCTTGTTGCGAGCCTACCTACGCGCTCCGCCCTTGCCAATTATGGACAACCGCAATTAGCAAAGCCAAGCAGTGCTACTCTCAAAGGAAGGGCTCGTGCCCACTTCCCTCTTCCCTCTCCCTTCCAGGATCATGCTGCTTTTCCTAATAGGGTCTCTCTCTCTCTCTCTCTCTCTCTCTCTCTCTCTCTCTCTGCCGCGGGGGATCACGGGAGTTGTAGTCTCTTGGCGTTGAAGGCCGCGCCCCCTACCCGCATCGAACGGCGTTATATGAAAAGGCGATTCATTCTCCTCGCTCCTTTTTCTTCGTGCGCTCCCCGGCCTTCCTGTAAAACACCTTCCGCGCCCCGCCTATTTCCCCTCTTCTCGAAATGGATTGTGGGAAATGTATTTTTTCTCTCGACGGAAACATGCCGTTTGGGATGAAATCGTACTACAACTCCCAAAATGCGAAGGAACTATCACGCGGCACGGGAACGCCCCCGTGAGGCTCTTTCAGGTCACATGACCATCACGGATGTTGCTTCCGTAAATATCAGGCTGAAATGTTTCAATTCGGACAAATGTGAACTCCCAGGTAAGGTGGATCTAGCGAGGGGAGAATAATTTTGGTTTCCGTTCTCTTCCGTCAGTCAGAAAAGAGCTTTACTTGGAAAAAGGTGGCAAAATTGGCCTTCCAACAGCCGGAAATTATTTCTAGCACTCCGATATTTTAAATGTGATTAAAGGCTCTACCAGTGTTCTTTGATCTGTTCCTTAAACATATTTTTAAAATATGCAATTTTGGGAATAAGTACCGACTTTAAGTTAGATGAAATTTTTTTGTTTCCTGTGTTTTTGCCCCGCTCTCGTAGAACAGCAACTTTGTTTTAAATTCTGCATTCCCCTCCCCTCAGCTTTTAAACGAATATCATGCCAGGAGGGAGTTGGTATTTTTTAATTGCCTTTTAAAAATTATTATTAAAAGTGATTTACCTGACGCTACTGCTTGCCCTGCAGCAAATTGGACCATCCATCTTCATCAGACAGTCATAGAATTGTAGACTTGGAAGGGATCCTGGGGGTCATTTATTCCAACCCTCTGCAGTGCAGGAATCTCAGCTAAAGCACCCATGGCATATGCCCATCCAACCTCTGATTAAAAACCTCCAAGGAAGGAGAGTCCACCACTTTACAAGGGAGTTTGTTCCACCGTTGAACAGGCCTTACCATCAAAAAGTTCTTCCTGATGTTTAGTCAGAATCTCCTTTCTTGTAACTTGAAGCCTTTGGTTCAGGTCCTACAGAGCAGGAGAAACAAGCTTGCTCCATCTTCCATGTGACATCCCTTTAGATATTTGAAGATGGCTATCTTATCTCCTCAGTTTTGTCTTTTCCAGGCTAAACATACCCAGCTCCCTCAATCATTCCTCATAAGGTTTGGTTTTCAAACCTTTGATCATCTTGGTCTCACCCTCCTCTGCACACGTTCCAGCTTCTCAGTATCCTTTAATTGTGGTGGCCAGAATTGGACACAGTACTCCAGGTGTGGTCTCACAAAGGCAGAACAGAGCAATACTTAATCTAAAGGTGCACTGTTAAGATTTGTTATTTGGCATTAGGCTGTCTATGAACGTTAGTAAGGCTTTAAAATATTCTTCTAGCAATATTAATCAGATGTAATTCAACTGACAAGATTTGCATCACGTCAACCAAGTGACAAATTCCAGAAGAGTCACTATGTTGGTTTGTCCTAACAAAAGCAAGAAGAGTGTAGTGGCAGCTTGAATAATATAATTTTATTATGGCCTAAACCTCCTTTGTCAGAGAGATAAGGTGGCCTGCAGTTGGCCATAATTGGAGTGTTAATAGGTGGTCATGCAACCTTTTCTGAATCTGTTAGTACAGTATTAGCTTAGAAATGTGCAGCCTAATTCTAATGTATATTTACTCAGCAGCTAATCCCACTGAGTTCAATGGAACTTTATTCCAGGTAAATATTGTAACTGCAATATATAATAAAAGTATATTGCTGTGGTGGATAGAGTTGTAGGAACGTGTGCACAGCTAATTATTAGTTACTTATATTTTTTGTGCTATGATTGCATAGCCACTTAAAATATGGTCATATTTGGGCAACATATATTTCCCTGTATAATTATTTAACTATAAAATAGTGATTGATAGGCTACCTATTAAAAAAATATTTCAAGCAGAGATATTATTAAACGGCATTGGCCACACAAAAGCTAAAGCCAGCTTGCAAGCATAACATTCCAATTCTATGCATATTTGGAAGTAGAACCTTGAACAATGGGGATTACGTTTTATTAAATGCACATAAGAGATGTTTATATCTTTCTTCCTGACTGCACTCTTGAAGTGCCTCACAGAACTTAAAGTATAAGTAAAAATACTCTAAAACTGATCTGTTAATATTAACCATGCTCTTCATTGGCACAGATAACACTATATATTAATTAATCTTTCCTCCTCAGAGCACAGAGAAGCATTAACCATATAGTACCAACAATCTGTGAAAATGGAAGAAAGAAAAACTAAGAGAAGAAGTCCCAAATCATCCACTTCTCATGTCACTCAAGTGGTCAACAATAAGAAAAATTCTGTGCCTCCTAGCAAAAGTACAGTGTTTTCAAACCCTGCACCACAGCCACCTTCACAGAAACCAAAGCTTAAAAGGTAAATGTTCATGTTTCCTGTTGTTGTCAAGCTGCTGGCCAAATTGAGGGCAGAGGAAAAAAATAAAAGAAGTGATTTAGGCTGCAGTCTTACACCAACTTACAGTGAACGTCATTAGATACAATGGCTCTTTATTTGTCCCTATGGCACGGCGAACCACATGTGTAGACTTGGATTTTCAGTGATTGCTTTTTTGTACTACAGTTCTAGTGAAATCACAAAAAGGGAAAAGTAATCAAACGAAATGTACTTCAGAGAATTTTACCGTTTTATCAGTTATCTTTCTGCAGCAAGGCACCCAAGACTATATACAAGCATATAATATAAATTCACTAAAACAGTAACAAAACCCAGAAATACAAAAAACAAATTTAGAAGGTAGAAAAATAACAATCCTACACCTAATATTAGTTCATAAGATTGAGTAATAATTAAGTGCAGTACTTTTTCCTCAAGCAAATACTTTGTTTCTAATGACATGGTCTGCATTGCTGATTAATTCCATGTGATCTTGTTCAAAATTTGTTTAAACTGCAGATATTGCACATTTTCAGAATTTTGAGGTCCGTTGTTAGGCTACTTTTAATTTTATAATACAGGGTTTTTGAAATAGTGGTTTGTTGAATGCTTTTTAGAAAAAATCTAACACATGGTTTGGATAGTCTTCAGTAAAACAATGAGACCCTTAAAAAGTTTCCATTTGGAATTTGTCAAACATTTTTAAGGAGATAAATCCTTGTCATTCAAGCAGTTATCTCTAATTCAGAAATCAGCATGCAGCCTTTCTTAGCTAGGAATTTTCCATGAAATCTTTGCATGATATCAGATAGAGCTCTTTTTCTTTCTTAATGAAATGTAAAATCTAGAGAAGCTGTTTGTACAATCAGATAACCATATCACTACCTTCATAAGTTGATACTGTGAATTGCAAACTAGAACACTAGTTTTGGATATAGCATAATGGATCATTCGTTAATTTATTTGTGCTTTTGTCCCAGGATGATATTTTCTTTAAGGCATTTGTCACATTGTACATTCAAGATAGCAAAAAGACTGAGAGCGCCAAGAAGATGTTAATAATTTAAATAACTTCTTTTTGTCAGGGGCATGAAAGAGAAAGCCAAAGCACCAGGAGCAGAAAGCAAAGGAGCACAGTCTGCCCCAATCCAGCACTCATTTCTCACTGATGTATCAGATGTTCAAGAGATGGAGAAAGGACTTCTGAGTCTTCTGAATGACTTCCACTCTGGCAAACTTCAAGCATTTGGTAACTTGGCTGCTACTTCTCCACTTCTTTCACATGTGAAAGTGTAGGATGGCTGAAAGTCTTAAGTGTTGGCTAGATCTCTTAAAACTTAGGTGGTGTTTCACTAAACCATCTCTCTCTCTAAATCTGGGTATCTGTAGCTGAGGGGGAAGATCATGGTACTGTTGCCAGACTTCGAAGTACAGTGGTACCTCCGGTTGCAAATGGGATCTGTTCTGGAAGTCCGGCTGCATCCCGAGGAATTCACAACCAAAGGTGCCACTTCCACACATGCATGCGGCACAGTTTAGCGCTTCTGCGCATATGCGCGCGGCGAGACCCGGGAAAATGCTTCCAGGTTTGCCGCGTTCGCATCCTGAAAGACACACAACCAGAGGTGTGCGTACTGTACTGTAGAGCTATAATGTATTGTCTTATGCTGCATACTTTTGCCAGTGTAAATCTTCTAATTCTTTTATACAGTCAAACCTTGGAAGTCGAACAGAATCTGTTCCGGAAGTCCATTCGACTTCCAAAACGTTCAGAAACCAAAGCATGGCTTCTGATTGGCTGCATGAAGCTCCTGCAGCCAATCGGAAGCCGTGAAAACCGGGTCAGACGTTCAGCTTCCAAAAATTGTTCAAAAACCAGAAACCTCACTTCTGCTTTTCGATAGTTCGGGACCGAAACGTACGAGTTCCAAGGCATTCAGCAAACAAGGTACGACTGTATTGGAATAAGTAGAAGAAATGGTCTATTCCTTTACCTTTGTCAGAACTTTGTTTTGATATTTCTGCATTCTGATTGTTTCAGGAAATGAATGTTCCATAGAGCAAATGGAACATGTAAGAGGAATGCAGGAGAAGCTGGCCCGCTTGAATCTAGAGCTTTATGGGGAGTTGGAAGAACTTCCTGAAGATAAGAGAAAAGTAGCTAGTGACTCCAATCTTGATAGACTGCTGTCAGATGTAAGTATAAACAACGAGGAGTTGCTCTACACAGTCACATCTGTATTCAGAAATTGGGAAGAGCTGAATGAAAGTTCTTGTAACAGTAAGAACCACATCTATAGATGCTAAGATTAGTTTTCTTAAGCACTGTACTTCCATGCTTGACTGAATAGAACTCTGAAGCTGGCTAATTCCACTGCTGTCTAAGCCTAAACTTGGGCAACCAGAAGATTTCTGAAAATGGTACAATAATTACGGTAAGCCTGAATTTAGTTTTGCAGTGAACCAGAACAAGCATCTGTACTGGTTACCAAAATGCTTTTGGGCAAAGTGCTGATTGGTATCTATAAAGCCCTTGGGTCCAGGGCACCTCCTTTCATATCATTGGTATAACCAGCCTTCCTCCAGTGGAAGACTCCATTGGATCTCAGTCCTTTCTGTGAATGGAAGGAGCCCTCCCACTTGCAGAAGAGACACACTGGATCTAACTAACTGAAACTTGATTGCTTGGCTAATTTATCACTATCATGCTGATTCTCTGTTTTTTGCATTGTAGCTGGAAGAACTGAATTCCTCTATGTATCCTTTTTGTGAAATGGCCTATGCTGATGAAGCAAGTGTTAATTGCCCAAATTGTACACCTTAGTTCGTAAGCAAATTGTAATGATGAATCTAGGTTAAACAATTTGACATCAGTTCAACTCCTCAAGCAACCTTTTATTTTAAGCCTTTTATTTTAGGTTGTGTTAGATTAACAAACCGATTAAACATATTCTCCTATGTTCCTGTGGCTTCTTAATAATACTCTGCTTTTCTTGCTATTACCTTGAACATTGCTGTTTTCAAAGAACGTTTTTATAGTTTTTATAGTTCAATCCTGTAAGATGCAGTTCCTTAACTTGCTTGTTTCAGACAAAAACTTCATTTAGCAGATGTTCAAGATGTTCCGAACACCAGCACAAGCTAAAATGCACCTTGTCTTTGTTTGTGTTTCGGAAACCCAGGGTGTCTTATTTCATTTCCAGTGGACTCTCTTTCTTGCTTCTGCGGCAAAGTATTTATATGCAAGTGAACATATTCACACATTCCTCTTAGCAGATGCGAGTTCTGCATATCTGTCAGGGTTGGAATCTAGGGTACAGGATGACCATGTCTTGCTGCTATGCTTTGTATTACTGCCTTATCTACCGTGAAGTGTTTGGAAAACTTGAAAATGCATTTTTATGCTGAGTGTTCGGATGATTTTGAGTTCTATATAAGTATGATTTTTAATATAATATGTTCAACTTTGATTAAATTAATAATGGAGCGTGGTGTTCCTGTTGCTTTCCCACGGTGCAGACAATCAGCTTAGACGTTCCTGTGTTTCTTTTTGCGGGAGATACTGTTAAATGAGTGTTTAATTTATTTCGGCAATAAAATAATTCTAAAGATTGCTAGTGTTTTTCTCTACAGTAACAATTTACATGTCTACCACTGAGAGGTTCTTTAAGTGTGGTTTATTTTGGTGGGGGCAAGGGGAGATATATTGCAGTATCAGGGCTTGAGTCAGGCATAGGTCAACAAAAAACAATAACTCACCCAAGGTCAGTGAAGTTAAGACTTTATTCAAGTTTAGGTCTAGCAGTCTCTTCCTAGGAGGTCTTGCCCCGATGACACAGTTGCAAGGACTAAAGGTCCCTTCCTGCCCAGCCTTCTCTAAGGCTCCTCTTCTCCTGGGTTTTTCCTGCATAGTCTCAAACCGCGTATCGCGTCTGCACACAACTAATCTCTGTTCTGCACTCTTCATTTCTCTGTGCATTCTTGGAGACTGGGGGGAAGGGGAGCTGGTCACAGCAGGGTGGGGAGACTCCCTGGATTCTTCAGCAGCCTCTTGACTCCCTTCCTCTCCAGCTTCTGCTTCAGCCTCAAAGTCTGAACTGTACTCTGCCACAGATTCTTCTTGCTTACTAAACCCTGATGCCACTCCAGCTTCTAACACGCCCTCTCCTGAGTCTTCCCCCTCTGACAACTCATTGTTGTCCCACTACCAGTCCCCTGGCTCTGAGTCTTCTGCTCTTGGGGGTTCCCCAGCGTGTGCCTCTTATCACTTCTCTGCACCCAGCCAGTCCATGACATACAGTTTGCATTTAAATTCTTGTTTTATTTTCCAAATCTGTTGCTAGAGGAGTTTGTTTAGCCCATGGTTGGTTTTTACTCCCTGAATCTGAAGATCATTTGGGTTCTTTGCTTTAAAAAGCTTATTTCACGCCTTTTTCAAAGAAGAACTCAAGCAATAAAATATGAAAACATAGCCACGAAATTGATTAAGTTAGTCCAAGAACAACAGCTAACATGAGGAACTAATAATTCCAGTAAGAAGCACTCAGCAACACCAGGAGCAAGATGTAAATAAAGTTCTGCCATGAAGATCTGAAACTTATTTTGAGACATTCATTCTTTTTCAACTCTTAACCTTCATCAAAACTGCAGAATATCAAAATACAAAAACAGAAGAAAACCTATACAATCACTTTTGAATAAAACTCTGTGATGCTGGTTTTTTTTAATGTAGTATTGTACCAAAGGTTTGACAGGCTAACAAATTTCAGTTAAGCTATGGAAATGATGCACCAGATAAAAATGAGTTTCTTTTTATATACATCTATTTTTTTCTTCAGAAGCAAGGAAAAGGTGGCTTAAATGTAGATGCATTGTAGTCAAAGTGCTTCACATCAATTATCTTAGTCATTCTTCTAACACCCCTGCTAGAGAGTCTATGATTATTGTGTGTGTAGTTGCTGATTTCTGCTGGCTGATTTCTGTGAAATGCATTGGAGTCCTTCCAGAAGTAAAGGTGACATCCTAAGAAATGTAAGCTGACAGCTCAACTGACTATGCCAGTGTAAGTCGAGTCAGAATTAGCCCAGAACGATAAAAGAAGCTTTCTCCTTTGGTCCTGTTTCAGTCCTCTTGGCTGTAAGCCCAAAGTGCCTTGTGTTGTGTACTTTGGTTCCTATGGAGATGTAAGGAAGTACTGACCTTCAGCCAATCCTGCAGCAGTTTTGCATTTCATACAGCAGGTCTCTAGTGGCTTCCTCACGGGCCAGAAACGATATTCTACTGAGGTAAATACTGTTCTTGTTCCCTGTTTTTCTTTATAGGGTGGAGGTGGTAAAATAGACAAGATTTTGTTCTGTTTGGTTGTGTTTTAAAAACTGCAGGAGCTGATATTCTCATCCTCCAGTAAACCTATGAAATATGGCAGGCTCCAGAAGAAAAAAGGAAAAAAATAAAGTGTGTGCCACTAATAGAGTGGTGCACAAACGATTAATTTGTAACATGGCTAAGGAGGAAAATGTGAGAAGCTCAATGGGAATAATGACGGAGCCGAGAGATTGATTGTGGGTGCTCAAGCATGAATTTTGGCAGGTTAAAAATCTAGCACATCTCTGCCATGTTCTAGAAACAAGTGAAGTGTTCTTACAATGAGTCAGACCATTGGTCCATCTAGTTTAGTAGTGTCTACACTGATTGGCAGTGGTTTTCTACTATTTGAGGCAGGGATCTTTCCCAACCCTATCCAGATGCCAGGGATTGAACCTGGGACATTTTGCATGCAAACCAGATTCTCAACAAAACAAAGGATAGACAGAAACAGAGACCGACACAGTATAAGGAACTGTATGGAATATTAAATTGATAATAGAAGTAAAATACATGTTTGCTATGGAAACAAACGGAAAACAATTTCAAGCTCTAAAAAAGAGTGTTTTAAACCACCATCTTGTTACATTTTTGCCCCATTTTAATCAATGCCTGATACCTCCTTTTAATGAGCAACATGCTTTAATGATTTCCAGAGGGGTAGCCATGTTACAGCACCATCCCAACCATGTCTACTGAGAAGTAAATTTTGTTGAATTCAGTGGGACTTAATCCCAGGCAAGTGAAGTTAGGATTACAGTAGTCTTGGTCTCTTTCAGGGAAAAAAACAATAAAGAGTTGTGGCCCCCAAGGCTGATGTGACTCAGATACATAGTTCAATGAAATTCTAAACCCAGAGTTTATTTTCCAGGAAGAAGAGTCTCTCTTCTGTTTCTAGGCCTTTAAGCATGTCTGTATGAAGTGTGTAGCTGCAGCGCTATTAGCCACGGAAGATCTACAATGACCACAGCTGACACAATAGATGCATCACACAGTGTTAAAGAATGGCATTTGGAAAGCTTAGGGTTGCTTGCAGGAGGCACAAAGAGCCTGGATCAAAATCAGACTACAGAAATTTTGAAGACACGGTTCAGTACTTGGACACCTATTGAAAACAAATCTCTTAACAATCAGGTGAGCTGCAGTCACACATAATTCATTTAATCGTTGTGCTTTCGGCCTTCATTGTACTCCTAAAGCTTACACACAAACACACCCTTGCATATTGATTCATACTTTCATAATTTGAGTAGGAAGGACTTACACGTTTTCAGATATATATTGATGTCATTGCAGCATAGGTGTGCCTGCCAGCTGATGCCTTCAAATTCTGGAGTGACAGGAGTTCTGACCGCTAATCCTTGGCCTTGCCTAAACCTATCCCCACTCACTAAGTGCAATATCACAGCACTTGCTAAGTTATGAAATGTCAACAATGATGCCCGCTGCAGGTCAGGACTATCTGAGGCATCTTTGGAAAGTGGTATCTACATCGTAACTTATAATCTACTTTCTATAATTGTTACTGAAAACAAATAAAAGAAATAAAGGCCTTTCCCACGGACATCCACCTACAGTAAGAAAAGGTCCCAACGGGTGCAAGTTAAGTCTCTACAGCAGCCTCATCTGCTCAGACATTTCTATTGGAACTTCCATCACTGTTGTATTCATAGGTGAATGGGCTGCACCAAATAGCTCCCGACTTCTGCCTGTACAATGCAAACATATGGAAGGAGGATTTGCCAGAAACCTCCCTTGGGAGCAAGTCCTTGGCTCTTTTGTCTCCACCCAATGTTTCACTCTTTGTGTCTCAGAATGGGTCCAAATAGTAACCTCCTCACACACAGAGAAACAAAGTCCTGCCAACTACAGGTTTTTACATGTTCTTTAACCCCTTTAAAGGGGATAGAAATACTAAGTCCCGTTTTGCAGCCATTTTATGCCTCCTTCTGTTCTTCTTCACAACAACAATAATTTTTTATTTATATTTTTAAAACTTATATCCCACCCATCCAGCTGGGTTTCCCCAGCCACTCTGGGCAGCTTACAACATATAAAGCACAACAAAACATCAAACATTAAAAAACAAGATATCCTATACAAGCAACAAACAAACCAATAAATCAATAAAACCAATAACAATAACAATAATAAATAGTTTACAGTTACAGTGGTACCTCGGGTTACAGACACTTCAGGTTACAGATGCTTCAAGTTACAGATCCTTCAGGTTACAGACTCCGCTAAACCAGAAATAGTACTTCGGGTTAAGAACTTTGTTTCACGATGAGAACAGAAATCGCGCAGTGGTGGCGTGGTGACAGAAGGAGGCCCCATTAGCTAAAGTGCTACCTCAGGTCAAGAACAGTTTCAGGAACAGACCTCCAGAACGAATTAAGTTCTTAACGCGAGGTACCACTGTATACCCAAATTAAAGTAACCGCCAACCTCAACTAAACATTTAACTAACACCCACCCAACAAAAATGAAACAGAGGAACCAAAATTAGAACCATTTAAATCATTTTAAAGCATTTTAGCCAGTTGCCCACAATAATCATGCGAGGTAGGTTAGGCTGACAATTGGTGACGGACCTAGTTTAGGAAGTGAGCAAAAACAATGGGAAGTGATTTTAAAATATGTAACTGAAAATGCTGAGAGTTCCCAAAACGTTTTTTTGTTGTGGTAGGCTAAACGTTTTGAAGCAGCACATGCTCAAGAGACCTAAAAGAACTACACTGGCTCCCAATACATTTCCAAGCACAATTCAGAGTGTTGGTGCTGACCTTTAAAGCCCTTAACTGCCTTGGCCCAGTATACCTGAAGGAGCATCTCCACCCCCCATTGTTCAGCCCAGACACTGAGGTCCAGCTCCAAGGGTCTTCTTCTGGTTCCCTCACTGCGAGGTTACAGGGAACCAGGCAGAGGGCCTTTCTGGTAGTGGCACTCTCCCCTCAGATATCAAGGAGATAAAACTTTTAAAAGACATCTGAAGGCAACCCTGAATTGGGAAGTTTTAAATGTTTTATGTTTTGCTGTGTTTTTGTTGGAAGCTGCCCAGAGTGGCTGAGGAAACCCAGTCAGATGAGTGGGGTATAAATAATAAATTAGTAGTAGTAGTCCATGACAGATTATGTAGTAATAAATCTGCCAGTCTTTAAGATGCCTCAATATGTATTTTCTGGTACCTTATTTCATACATTCCATTTTGGAGGGAAAGAGAGTCCTGTTTTGGGAATTGCACCAGTCCCCCAATCACCTCCACACAAAGGCCTATTTGATTTTCTCTTTTTTTGTGTCTATGTGGCAGTTGCAGGCACACCCTCAAAGGAAAGATGTTTAATGTCCAAATTAGATGGGGCTCATTCTTCTTCCCTCAGAAAAGAGACTGAATGCTCCTTGAGTTCGAAGCAATGGGACAGTAACACTGACGGGATTTCATAATGGTGTTTTCTAGCCACAGAGTTGCACTTCCTAGAAATCCCCAGTGAAAGGGAAGTTTACAAAAGATGACTTTATGTCAGGGTGTGAAAGATGAGTGCCAGGGAAAACACTGTGTGATGGTGGGAGCTGCCCTTTGAGAGAATCCTGTGATTTCCCCCCCAGCTCTTTCAGGAAAGAGTCAGACTGATAAGTCACTGGTTTGACCTGTGGACGGACAAGCAGCGCAAGCAGTTTCTCCATGGCATATTGATCAAGTGCAATAAGTCACAACTGAAGTAAGTGAGCCACAAGTTGTTTCCCAGGCTGCGTTTTGTGAAAAGAAAAAATAGGCTCCAGAGAACACCTCTGGCAAAAGGGATCTTTAACTCAAGCCAGGCTGACCCCAATGCCATCATTGTCCAGTGTTCACAGAAAGCGAAACACTTACCCGTATGCATCCAAATGCAGGCGCTAAGACCACATTGTGTTCTTGCAAGATGGATACTTAAAATTAAGGCCTATGTATTACAACAGCAGAACTGCCTGGTGAAACGCATTTTGACAGAGAACAACTTTTGTGTTTATAACAATTTTGCAATAAAGCATAGCAGCCTTCTTAAACAATGCAAAATGACTATTTATTTCTGTTAATGCTTTGAGAAATCTGTCTCTCTCACATGGCCAGTAAAATATGAGAATTAAGATATAACGATGGCCAGTACATGGGACCTTTTTCTTTTCTTTTTGCATGACTGAAAAACTGCTGCTAAGACTGGGCTGGGGAAACTTTATTCCAACTCCTATCAGCCTCAGCCAAGCAACACCAATAATAAGGGATGATGTGAGTTTGTAGTTCAGCATGTGAGTTTGTAGTTCTGGCGGGCTAGAAATCCCTCCTCTCTATAAGATTAGAATAAGCAGGAGTCCAAAGCTTGTATTTGGCTTTGGCCATGAAGCTTCATACAGTAGTGCTAATTCTTCCAGAAATGGTCTTCTGTGAATTTGTAACTTGTGAAGCAGCCTTAAATTTAGAAAGCCACAAGCATGTAGTGAAGCTGCTTTGAGCTTCTCAAGGGAACAGTGGGGTGTATGTGTCATAAATACCTACAGAGTTTTTGCAGCGACCCGCAATGACTGGGTTGAGACATAACTTCAAACTGTAGTTTGCTTTTATGTCTGAACCCAAACTTGCCCACAATCCATGGTTTATTTGTAGACGACAAACCAGAACCTGAAATCACTGTGTTGAAGTTAGTTTGCAAATTACAGTTTGTGCTAACTGTGGATTGGTGTTGTGTCAGTTCAGAGACCATTGACAAACCACAGTTAAGGTGGTTGCTCTGCCTCAAGAGGCTGCAGCATTGTAGAGATGGAAAGCAACTTATCAAACTAAGTGCTGAGCAGACAAGAGAAATCAAACTATGCTTTGCCTGTTATGTCTGGAAGTTCAGACACTGCTATGTCTTCTTAACCAGAGTTACTGAAAACTAGTTTCACCCAACATCAGAATCCAGTCCAAATCCCAGTGTGCATGACACAGTAAGCCAAACTATGACTTACTGGGACCACTGTAAAATGTAGTTTCCTGAAGAGGAGCTTGTAGCTGCTTTGTTCCTCCTCGATCCTTTTCCACCTTGGTGCACAAATTTGCTTTGCCTTATGATGTTGTCTGGCTTAATTTGGCTTACTGTGCCACGCAAACATGGTCAGTATCACATTTATGTTCTTCTGAGTCTCCTGGCAATAATTCTTCTGGATCTTTCCATAGTTCCTGAAAGGTGATAATTAGAACCTCAGCAGAGGGTATTAATAACCACCCACTTAGGCCTGTCCTGTTTCACAGATTTGCTGAAAGATGGTTTGTAGAGAATATCCCAGTGACCAAAGTGGATTTCACCACTGTTCTGCCACGTTTCGTATCTTTGTACATATTCTCCTTTCTCAACGCTAAGGACCTTTGTGCAGCAGCCCAAGTCAGCTGGCATTGGAAGTTTTTAAGTGAACAGGTAAGCTTTGGGTCTGTATCTCAACTGGGGGGAACCTCAGGCCTGGTGGCCAAATGTGACTCTCCAAGCCTGGGACTCTTGCCATACATGCACTCTGCCTGGCCACGCTCTCTCTTCCCTGGCCATCCCTTTTGCATCCTCTTTGCCTGTTTTTTGCCTGGCTACGATGTGTCCTTAACCTACGCGAATGCCTTTTTCTTGCTTCAAGGATAGAGAAGTGTTTGGAGAAACTAGCCTACTGTACAAAGATAACATTTACATCCATTGCGCTGTTCTCTTCCATGTGGCCTCCAAACAGTTGCACAGAAGGGAATGTGGCCCTCATCCTTGGTATATATGATCTTCACCAGGGCCAAAACTACATTTTGCGTTTGGTGCAAGAACACTGTAGTCCTCTTCGGGCATTTAGGATATTGCACATGTGAGGGAGGGCTGTGGGGATTGGCATGCTAGATCTTTGACCCCTATCATTGTTGCCCTCTGCAAGTTGGGAAATTGCCCCACTTGGGGAGCCTGCTTCTTCTCATGTAGGCTCCCTACATGTGTAGTCCCTGGAAAGTTAGGACTTCTCTGTATGATCCTGGACTTCAGAATAAACTCTGAAGATGTGCTTAGTCAAGGTAGCATTTGGCTGAATTGTGCTTACTTGGGAAAAAAATCTTCTGCTGCTTCTCTTTTTTTGTATGTGAGGGTATTTTAATATTGAAAATCACCTTGTGGGGGCTGTGCACCCTGAAAAGTGGATTTAACACACTTTTAAATAAGTCACACTTTAAGATTCTTGGATGTTTAGACAACATTTTCCTTTTGAAAACAACCCTCTGTTTTTTACTTCCCTACTCAAAAGGATTGTCTGTGGATGCCGAAATGCATTTTGTTTGGATGGTTTCTACCATACGTTCCTGAAAAAAATGAGTATAGTGCTTGGAAACAACATTATATTGCTTGTGCAACTGACCTGGATTACTTAACTCCGAGGGAAGTTGCTGAGTCTTATGGAACACTGAGTGAACCTAAACCAGAAAATGAAGACCAAAAAGAAAAACTACGTGAAAGATGTCTGCGGAAAATTATGAGAGAGAGATTAACTGTATGCAAAAGTACGTTGGATGAAATTGTGACTTGATTTAGTTAATGGGACTTACTTCTGAGTAGATATGAATAAGATTGCATCATAAATCTATCCTCCAAGGACAATTTTAAAAAAATAAATAAAGCAAACCAGCAAAATAATATATTACCCAGGAAAGCAGTGAATGTTTGGCCGTGTGATGGATCTTGTTTCTTGACGCATGCAGCAAAGTGCTAAGAAAGTTAGAGCACCACAGTGATGAATAAGGCTTGTGCACAAGAGCGTGGGTGTATTCTCAACCAGTTCTCATTTTCTTCAATGGGACTTGCAGGGTAGATGGTGTTAGATTGTCCTTAACATCCAATGATTGCATGAGTGGCAACCCCCATTCCTCTGAAAAGCTTCTGCTGTGGTATCTCTCCATCCAGTTTTGGACAATTGTTCTGCAGACCTACAATGTTTAGCAGGTCCTCTTGACCCCCCTGGGAAGGGCTACAGCAGGAAAGACAGGAAGGACAAGATGACTTCCAAAGGCTGTCTTCCACTCATGCAACTGTTGGCTACAACCCTTAGTTTTTAATGGTGTACCTATACCACAATGGTGTTCCTTCTAAGCAATGTTTAAATAGTGATTTATCCCTACAGAAACAAATGGTCAGAACAATTACAGTAAAAAAAATTGAAGGAATAATTTAATAAATAGTATGCTTTATTTGTTATACTTTTTATATGAAAATTAAATATGAGAACATGTGGGATTTTGGTTTTGTTAGATGTGGTTTTCTGACATGCATATATGCTACAGGTATATGAAGTGGAAAAAACACAAGCATGTGCTTGTGACGTGAGGTTGGCACATGGATTCAAACATGTACATACCTTCTATTAAGGTCTGTAATGTGTGCAGCAACTCAGGTTAGCTTAGCTACAATCTATAGGTAAAGGTAAAGGGACCCCTGACCATTAGGTCCAGTTGTGACCGACTCTGGTGTTGCGCGCTCATCTCACTTTACTGGCCAAGGGAGCCGGCGTACAGCTTCCGGCGAACCAGAGCAGCGCACGGAAACGCCGTTTACCTTCCCGCCGGAGCCATCCCTATTTATCTACTTGCATTGCACATGACGTGCTTTCGAACTGCTAGGTTGGCAGGAGCTACAATCTATACCCAGCTGCATAAAAATTGAAATCATCCAGTAATTGGGGAAATGTACACAGGGAGCTTTCAGAATATTCTGTGCCTTTTGAAACATCTGGGATTAAACAGCATTGCCCAATGGTCCTTTTCAGAAGAATTAATCAAAGCTCGTCCACCTTGGAACTCGGGATTTTACAGATCTGGATTACAACCAAAGTTGCCCCAGACTGTCCATGACCGAGTTAGATCAGCAGCAGCGTTGTTTCAAATGAAGGTATTTATTGTTCCATCATGTGTTGCTATTGTTGTTTCTGTTTCAGTGACACATGACTTGAGTCTTGTCTCTGTCATTTCTCATGAATGAGGCTCAGTGCTTGAATAGGTGAAGAATGCATTTCAGGAAGGCCAGTGGTGGAGGCACCAGCCAAGCCCCAGACCTCCTACTCTTCTTCCTTGCTGACACTGCCTGTTTATCTGCCCTCATTGAGTGAGCAGCACAAGGAAGAGTGCCTCTGCTCGATTTGCCCTTCCCCCTTTGGGAGGAATCTGTGCTGATCTAACCCAGAGGAAGAGTCCAGGCAGCAGGAAAGATGCGGATTGACAAAAGGAGGGCAGACCAGTAATAGCATCTTGCCCAGCAACATCCCCCCCCCCCGCCCCAAATCCCCTGAGCTTCTACAAAGTACCTTTTCTTCTTCACAAGTTAGCACCTGGAATCTGAGAAGCAGAATTTCTTTCCTTTTAATTTTCAAAGCATGGCAGTATCTCTAATATGTATACAGTGGTACCTTGGGTTACAGACGCTTCAGGTTACAGACGCTTCAGGTTACAGACTCCACTAATCCAGAAATAGTACCTCGGATTAAGAACTTTGCTTCAGGTTGAGAACAGAAATCACGGGGTGGCAGCGTGGCAGCAGCGGGAGGCCCCATTAGCTAAAATGGTGCTTCAGGTTAAGAATGGTTTCAGGTTAAGAACGGACCTCCAGAACGAATTAAGTTCTTAACCTGAGGTACCACTGTATTTAAAGGCTGCAAATCTAGAATGTATGATAAAAAAAAAGAGTTGTCTCTGCAATTAAATTCCAATACCACTTCCCCAATAAATTGGAGACTGTAAATATTTCACATTATTTCCCCCTTTGTGACTACCATGACCACAAAGCATTGCTTGATATCCTATTCAAATTACAGCTTTGAGGAACCCAGTTTAGCATACAGGGGTTTTGTTTTTCTTTTAACAAGGCCTCTTATTCGATTCTATGAGAGAATCATAGAATTCTGTGATTCAGTGATTGATATAACTACAGACACCACAGTCAGGGGAAGATTATAATATATGCTTATTTGATTTCAACCTCTTAGCAATCCTGGCTGGTTAGACCGAGAGAAACTAACTTTCCTGAATCTCCTCACTCAGTTTCAAGCTTGACTGCAGAGTTGGAAAAGGGAGTCTCCAATAAAAACACCATAACCAGGTTCAATGTTGCTGCAGAATAATTGTTGACCCAATTAGCATCCCTCTGCTGCTGCATGTACTTGAAAAAGAAACTGCAGAAAGATCGAATTGCAGTTTTTAAGTGTAAAGTGATACACTTGGGGTGGGAGAGAGAATCCCAGCTTCCCATAGACACTGATGGGATCTGAACTGGCAGAAGGAATGGGGAGGTACCTGATAAACAGAATGTTCATCACCCATGATGGAGGATGGAAGCCTGGTGCTTAAACTAGGTACCACCACCACCACCACCACCACCTACTCTTTCTCATTTAATATTTTCTCTCAATGATTTTAGAATGGAACGCCTTCCCCGAAGGAAATGCTTTTCAAACATATTTCTGCAGATGCTAAATCTGTGCCACGCGTTGGTCTGGAAGCTGAGACACTTCCAAAAAGGTAAGCAGGATTTGAGATTTCAGAATATCTGTCTTAAGACACAGTTTTCAAAAATAATATCACATAATCTGTATCTATGTTCATATTGAAACTGAATAAAGATAAATGTTTAAAAGGGGGGTATCACATGTTAAGAATAGAAAAGTTCCAATCATGTGGCACAAATTAATTCAGCAACCAGCTGTTAGTGCAATCCGAAATGTGAACTAAATGCATTTTTTTTTGTCTTGCCTGGATAGAGGCGTATTAATGAATTTTTGACTGTGTTTACATTTGAGAGATAATTGTAAGTAAGAAATTTGAGGAAGGCCAGACCCCAAAATGTGTTTGTGTTATGGTCCTACTGAGGGCTTGTTAAAATGTAGGGTGGCAATGGGTCTTTGTGCCTTCTTATTCCCTCTGCAACCAGTCTGCATGGCTGTCTAGCATATGTAATCTCATGTTTTCATTCTGTGTATTTATCATTAAAAACCAGTAATTCTTTATGTCACTTTAAGCTTAAGTTTCACTTGTATTCTTATAGAAAGAAGGCTGTTGGCAGCTGCTCTGATCCTGTCTTACCTCACAGACTTCATCGGACTGTTTTACAAAATGACCCTAATGAAACACATTCTCCTCAGCTATGTCTTATCTTGATATCATCCCATGTTCCTGCTTATGAGGTATTCTCATTGTCTTATTTACAGAAAGTGAAGTTAGGACTTTGTAAAACAGTAGTTTTGAACAATTCATAAAATCTGAATAATATTTTGAATAGCATTTAAATTCCTTTAATGCTTAGTTAAAAAATAATAACACAATAGAAAAGGGTTTTTTAAACTTAGCATAATGCAAGAATAGCCCAGTACCTTAACATTAGTATAATTCTCAAAGACCAATTTCCATCCATGTTTTCCACTTTTTCTGTTACTTTTCTATTCAGTATTGTGATTCTTTATTATTTTTTAGATGATTGTGGACAGTATTAAGCCTGGAGTGATTCCTGTAGTATATGATCATAGTGGCACAACCTTGGAAAGCCTCCTTTATTATGTAGGAAAGGCCTTGGATGGCCAAACGGCAAAGAGTATTGGGATTATTACTGATGGAGACTCCAGAGGGATTAACCTGCTTCAAGGTGGGATTCACTTAAAGTAGTTTAACACTTGAACCTAGCATATCACATTTGGTATTCTAGAGCAATATTGTATGGAGAAAATCAATGAAATCGGCACGTTTCCTTTCCTTTAATAAGCCTTTGGCAGCAGGAGCCTGCTTTGAGACATGTTGTAATCAGCGAACAAAGTCTGACCTGCACATGGTTCTGAATGTGCAGAATGATTTTCGCAGAATATAGTTCCTTCAGAGAGAAGGTGGCTAGTGCTATATGAAATACAACTGTTAATGGAAAAGTCTGAACAGTTCACATGATTAATACTGGCACTTCACCCCTGCAAATGCCCTCCAGGCCAAGATTTTACCAATGTATACATTTAATAAGATGTCATTATAGGAATACGGTTGTTATCTATACACTTTGCTGCTTTTCTATTTATTGGTTATATATAAGGCTTGTCAACACTCTGCCCATTGGCACAGATCTGCCCACAGAGGTATTCATTGGTTGGTATCTTCAGGGCTCCCTCCCCCCACTGAAATTAGGCTTGCAAGAAGCATTGTGTTGTAACCAATAGAATACACACACATGGCAATTTGTGTGTGGTGCCCACAACAGTTTATCCAACTTGCAAAAAGGTTGGTGCCTCATTTTAGGTAATATTTACTGTTGATGGCATGATCTATGATGTATTTATGTATGTTGTGAGGTATTTGTTGATACTATTGGTATGCTATTTATTTATTTAAAAAAACAAACTGCTTAATAAAAACAGCAAGCCCTATGTGGTGTGCATAAAACAGTAAAATATCAATAAAATGCAATTCAACAGAATTTAAAAATATACATGACTGGTTTATATGACCACATAGACTTGATTAAACCTTAAAAAGGTTTTCACAGGTGCATAAAAGTGAACAAAAATGGTGAGATATGTTTTGCATGATATATATAACATTACATTATAGATATGTTTAAAAAAATCCTAATGGATAGTTCGCTTTGCTGACTTATTTAATTTCTTTAAGGCTGTAGCATCAGTACCAAGAACCTTCTTAAACCTGAGGTGAAAGAATTTTGGGTAAAGTTAAGAAGCAGTGTGATGCATCAGGAAGGTGGTTATATAGACATCTTTGTCCCTCTGGCAGCTTCAGGTCAGTTCTGTTGGCGGCAATGGCTGGTCCTTCTATGTTGCTTATGAAAAGTCTAGTCCAATAGAAAACCCAACTGGATTTAAAACATCCATTGATTGTTGCAAAACTATTATGGAATAGGAAGTCCCTGTTTTCATTGGAGAAATGTTGAAGGGTATGGGAAAGAGCCTTTACTGTCCACTCAGATGTGGGGGTTTTGTTAGTAGTTCTGAAACAAGGGGAAGGAGATGATCCACTGACCATTTACAATGGCACCGTCCCATTCTCTGACATCCATATAATTATACTCATTTAGTGGCCACAGCATTATTTGTTCCCACCACATGGAGTAGGAGCAAGAACTATGTGTAGGATTAATTGGCAGTTAAAATGGCTAGAGTATTTGTTGGTTTGACAATGGGTGAGAATCTAGTCATTGGCTGGCCTAAATGCAGGCTGATACTTTCCCAGCTTGTGTAAAGGAATAACATAGACGGGAGTGGCAGGAACCTCCTGTCCACCATGACGCAAACTGATATACTTGGGTGTGTATCTGGTGTGTCATCTCCTAAGCTGGCCAAGACTTTGAAACAGCATCCCAAGGTCCCTTAAGTGTATTCTCCAGTGGGGAGTGAGGCAGCAACCCAGTTCTCCATTTTACTTGAAGAAATAATGTCCTGAATGTAATAGCAGCAGTGTTAGAGGATTAGTTAAGAAAACTGTAAATGGTCAATGAATCTATCTTGCCTCACTTCTTCAACTAGGCAATGTAGACTGATACTGGAGTAAGTTTTAACAACCAACTTCTTGACTACTGACTGATAAATGGGTAGATTTTTACCCTCTTGAAGATTTTAACAAAGTTTAGATGTTCATGGCCACTGAACTAGTAAAAACCTATAATGTTTTATATGTTGGCGATGTATAATTGCCAAGGAAGGTTAGATCAGTTCCTTCTCTGTCTGGGTGGCTAATATGTTTCATTCTGGCAGGCTTCTAGTGCATTCAAATTGTAAGCTGTGACTATTAAAAAAATTGTTTTATGCTGGTTTATATAATCTATGGGTTGGATGCAGACTTTGCTTCCACTGGCTAATGGAGGTGACTTTTGCTGATTTCCCCTTGCCCTCTGTAGCAATCATTGACATCTCCTGCCTTGACAGCTCCTGGGATGGGAGATTGTGCTGTGGGTTGGGCTAAGGTAGAAGCGCTTGTGAAAATTGCTTCCATTTTCTGACAGAGGGAAGTCTGTGATAGAATAGAAGCCTTCAGTGGACAGGAGGCTTTCCATCTGCGGAAGATGAAGTCTAGATCCAACTCTTCATTGTTAATATATTGAAGTTTAGTGTTGTAAACCACCCTGGGGTGCTGGTTGGAGCCAAAAAGCAGTTTTAAAAGGTTTGAATATTACATGACCAATATGAAATATGTAATTTTGCAGAGGCAGGAATGGAGGTCCTTTCCCAGCTGTCTCATCTAACTGGACTGTTTTTCCGAACTCCTGCAGGAATAGCAACCGGATCATATCAACACAGTAAGTGAAAACTACTATACATATGCAGAGTTTGCATAAAGTATCTGATTTCAATGCATATTTTAGATATGTTAGGGCCAATCCTATCCCCCCTGTGGTCACTTGGCCACAAGCAGAGGCTGTAGCAGAAATGCTGGCATCCCATCACAAGCAAGGATGGACGAACTTTTAAATGCATTTGTAATCTCCACCGCCACAGATTCTTGCAAAGAGCAATGTTGCCTTGGTTTTAGGAGGGTGAGGCCACTGAGAGCTTGCACATTGTGGGTAAATCACAATTAGGCATGGCACAGCTAAATGCACCTATGCTCTGTCTTGGCAGAAGGCAAATTCATATATATATAGTCTATGGTTGTAAATACCCACCACCTCTCCCACACACACACACACACACACACACACACACACACATATTTAAAGGAGGCCATTACATTGCTTGTTATTGCTTGTTAAGTAATGGCATTTCAGAAATAACTTGTGTGTAAAGCATACATTGTATTATAATAAAAATGCTGCATATAAAAGCAATGGCTGCGTATCTCTCCCATCTATTGATAAAACTCTGTTTAGACACTTGGCCAAGTACTGTATTTATAGTGGTGAGTATCTCAACAGCTGATTTAGTGGGGACTGGAGAGAAGAGACACTGAGCCACCATTTTAATGTATATGCTGCATTGGTGTGATTTTCAAACACAATTAGCAGCTGTTTATTTTCTTAAATACATTTGATAAATACATTGTGCTCACAAAAAGCAGACATATTGGCTAATCTATTCCTCTAATATATAGCTAATATGGTGCCCTCCAGTTTTTGCTGGACTTCAGCTTCCGCCATCCCATTGGCAATACTGACTGGAGTCGATGTGGGTCTTAACATCTGGATGGCACCATGCCGGCTGCCTCTGCTCTAGTTTGTACAAATCTGTGGGATTTAATAGCCCAGTTGAGTATCATTAACACAGCTGAGGCTAATTTTGTTCTCATTATACTCCCTGCTAGAGGAAAAAAATATGAAATCTGTGGCAGAGTAACCCAAAGAATGGGGAATAACTTGCTGTGTCGTTATAGTTCTCAGTGAGTGGTTGGGAAACCAGAAAGATAGTCCTCCTCCCCCATCCATCTACTTTACTGAAGCAAAACTGCAATTGTGGCTAAGATTCACAGAATTGCTGGAAGACGCACTGAAGGCTGTCAGGAAAAACCTGAGACCCTATTTTTGTGATTTGCAGAAGAACATGACTGGCAAGATTCTTGGTAACTTCTCTCTCTGTTGCCTCCAAAGTAATTTTTAAATTAGAAATATTAGAATTATTGCAAAGGGTTATACCATGCACCTGAAATTCAGCATTTTTATGAGACTGTTGAGGATCACTTCCTATTCCATAATATATGTATGGCTCAATTCTTATTTGATGTTCTGTTCTCAAGTACAGAATTCATGTGCACACAGCAAAGTATGAGGAGCATCTATGTAATTTTCATGGTGGTCCCATTCGGTCAAGTCCCAATCATGAACAATGAGCTTGTATTTGTGGTTAGCCTAGATCATAGCTGTCAACTTTCAGATTTGAAAATAAGGGATCAGCAGCCTCGAAAATAAGGGATCAGCAGCCTCACCTGTCCCGGGGACAGTCTACGGGATATCTAACAATCTGGGATAGCAGTGGGAAACGGCGCTGGAATAAGGGAATTTCCCACAAAAAAAGGGAAGGTTGACAGCTATGGCCTAGATCATGGTTAGCCTGGATGATATATTTTCCTCTGTTTGGAGGAAACTTGCCTGTGTGCACTGCTTATAAGTGAGATGCTTAAGCCTAAAATGCATTTTATATGTTTGGCTGCAATTTCCACTCAAGAGGATGGAAAAAACCCTTTTGTTCAAAGATACTAATCCACATCTGCTGACTCTTGGTTTTTTGTTAACCAAAATACAGTATCATATAATCAGGTGGAGTCAATAAGGCAGCCAAAATGTTCAGGTTTCTTGTTACCTTGCTTACATTCCTAGATATGATCAAGTCGGTCAAATAGATTAATGAGAAATTATGAGAGATGTCCCTCCTTAGCAGCAGGGTTTAGTGTAATCTGTTTGAGGACGAAAGCAATCCAGTGTTTTTCCTCTGCTGCATAAAGACACATGGCTTGTTTGCTGAAGTAAGTTTGTGTACTTACTGTGTCATTGACCCCTACTTGTATGTAGGACTGCACAGCAGCGTAATTTGCCTGAATACACTGGGTGTTCCTGAAGTTAGTGGAATTTAAGTCTTGTATGTTCTTGAAGGTCCTGACCTACCCCTGCTACTTGATTGACTAGTGCAATTAAAGCTGGATGTAGTCATATTCATTCCTTGAATATGACGCTGTGTCATATTCATATTAGTAAAACCTCAGCGCCTAGGACTTGCCGATCGCATGGTCGGCGGTTCGAATCCCCGCGGCGGGGTGAGCTCCCATCGTTCGGTCCCAGCTCCTGCCCACCTAGCAGTTCGAAAGCACCCTTAAGTGCAAGTAGATAAATAGGTACCGCTTTATAGCGGGAAGGTAAACAGCGTTTCCGTGTGCTGCTCTGGTGCCGGTTCGCCGGAGCAGCTTCGTCACGCTGGCCTCGTGACCCGGAAGTGTCTGTGGACAGCGCTGGCTCCCAGCCTCTAGATTGAGATGAGCGCACAACCCTAGAGTCTGTCAAGACTGGCCCGTATGGGCAGGGGTACCTTTACCTTTATGTTCTTGAAGGTCCTGACCTACCCCTGCTACTTGATTGACTAGTGCAATTAAAGCTGGATGTAGTCATATTCATTCCTTGGGTGCTAAAGTGAAAGATAATCAATTTCACCTAAGAAAGGTTAGCATCACTTCATGGCGGGATCTACCAGCAATTAGGTCATGTGGAAAGCTCTGGCTGGCATATGATCAGCTGCGACACCAATGCCATAATGCATTTGAGCAGCGAGCTGATGCCTTGGAACTGATGATTAGCCAGAGCAATTGTGTCGGCCTTGCTGTCAATTGCATGCTACACCTCATCAGATAATCTAGTTTGCTGTGGATCCCCCTTAGCTGTCCAAAATAAATAGAGGAAATAAAATTGACTCCATCTTTAATGTCTAGTCTGTTGCATCTTAAAAGCGACTAATGTGTAACTATTTATGTGCAGGTCAAATTATGTTTGATGCTGTGAGCTGGTCAGATGTGCAAGAAAAGCAAAGAATAGCCGAGGTTTTGGTTGAAGGATTAGTTGAACTCTCAAGAGGAAACGATGTAAGATAAGCTTATTCTCTTTAAGTATAATGGTTATGCCCCTCAGTTTTGATTTTTGAAGCTTGTTCCCATTCCAGAGGCTATTGTGCTGTATTTAAGCCAATTTAATGGACTGTAACATTGGTGGGAGCAGAGAATATTCTCATTGCCAAGACCCTAATTGGCAGGCTCATGGATAAGTGTTCTCTTTTTAGAAACTTTTATTAGCTGTGCTGAAACCTGGCCTTCAGTTTCTCAAAACTTTTATTCACCTGCAGAAGTGAGTTTCAATTTTCTGCTTCTTTCTTGGGGCACTTTAGAATTTCTTTATAATTTTGTGGGGCGTGGGGTTGAACTGAACTTATTGTTGAGAGATAGCTGAGGATGGTGTGTGGGTGTCTATTTTTCCTTTCCGTTTTGTGGCACTCAGCCTCTTGAGTGCTTCCTGAACTGAAAAAAGCCTCTTGACTATTAACTGAAGCACAAGAGGCTGCTTTATCAGACCAGGCCATGAAATAATGTTGTTGTGCAGCCTCCATTTATTGCTATGGGACTGTGTAAATCTAATTTAATTTAAAAGTGATATACGGACTACAGTATCTCTCTTATTAGCTGATATGACCATTGACTGCCTATGCTTGGGAAAGGGGTGGCATGCATACTGCCATACGTTAACCTTTTATGATTTCTTAGGAAAACCCTTTTGAATTTCTATCACGCTTCCTGATGAGGAAATGTAATAAAAAGGAAGAACTCAAAAGCCAGGTTCTGACAACTGAAAGCAATCCAGAAGCAAGCCTTGGTGTGTCAGTTAAGGTACAAAAGAGCCGCTTGTTAGCTTTGGGCAACTTCCATAGTTCTTCTAATACTTCCTCGTTTTGTTTTGGAACACTATTCTTGGACAGGATTGAACAGCTTGCTCTAAGATAAGTGAAGCAATGCATATAAAGTAGTTTGAGTTCACGTGTGCAATGATGTTCGTAGTGTTTTTTCTATGTTTTATTTAATATATGTTAATAACTCCCTCATATCTCATGACTGGGAGACAGACAGTGTATAATTTTATATTTTTAAAAAGTGTTCCCATTTAGGTTCTGTGCTCTAATTGGTAACGTGATGATGAGTGACCTTTGAGTACAGAAACTTGTAGCCGCAATGGCTGCTGTTTAGCTGATGCAATACAAATGAAGCCTGTTTCTATAGCTATAAAGCAAGTGTATTTCTGAATCTGTTTGAGAATAGCTTCAGTTTATATTCTCAGAATAAATCTATGTAGCAGCATAAGAATATTTAATGATATTACCTGTGAGAACAAAGTAACAGCACAGTCTTATACATTACTTAGAAGTAAGCTGCATCGAGTTCATGGGGCTTGTTTCCAGGTGAATGGGTATAGCGCTACAGACTAAGAAGCTTTTCAGGTAACACAAACCTTTATGGTCTTCTTTTCTGCTTGCTTATTTATATATTTAGCTTACCTTAATAACAAACTAGGATGCCTTAGAAAATTATAATCAAAACTTTTAAATATACTCAGATTATATTCCAGCTACTGAAACAAAACAAAACCCCTTTAAAAAGTGTTACTGATTTGTTTCTAATGTATCTTGGGCTTTCAGACCAGCAAACTTGATAAAGAGATAGCAGAGAAGCGAAAAAGCTTTGCCAGAGAACTTCTCTTAAGTGAGAGGAACTATGTGAACATGCTGGAAATTGTACGAGATGTTTATGTTAAACCGCTAAAGGCCGCGCTGGCCTCACATCGAGTCATCCTAAGCTATGCCAATGTTCAGACCATCTTCTCTGATATCTTGAACATCCTACAACTGAATAGGTAAGTTTCACTTATTGTTCTGAAGCACATTTAGATTCTTTAAAAATAAATATCCCAACACTTAAGGCCTGAATTCTAAACAAAGTAGATGTGATTGGGATTTGGGATGCAGTATTTCTGAAATTATTAGACATGGATCATTTAATATACCTGTGACCAGTCATACTTGTAGACACATTTAACAGAATTTCATTATTATCAACAAGAGAAAAGCAGCCATGGGAGCCATGTGAACTTCATTCAGTACAGGAACTAATGTTATTTAGCTAAAAACAAGACAAGACTGGGGTCATCGTAAGCCTTGCAAATCTGGAACTATACTTGATGATCTGATAAAGCAGACAGTCTTTACTTCAGTATTTTAGCTGGTGTGCAAACTACTCATTCTACATGTATATTTTCACCTTTGAATTTTTGTCTCTGGTTATTATTATGATATCTGTTTTGTTGTATACATTATAAAATAAAATAGTAATACAAAACTTTATACCAAAAAAGAGAGAAAAAGCCAAGACTGGGGAACCTGTGGCTTCTTCAGATGATTATAGAATTGTAGATTTGGAAGGGACCCTGAGGATCATCTAATCCAACCCTCTGCAATGCAGGAATATGCAGTTGTCCCACATGGCAGTGGTTTTCAACCAGTGTACTGTAGCACCCTGGGGTGCCTTGAATGATGGTCAGGGATGCTGCAGGCAACACTGGCCTCTGTCCCTCTCTTTCTTTCTTTCTTTCTTTCTTTCTTTCTTTCTTTCTTTCCTTCCTTCACTTCCTCCTCTGGTGCCCTCTTGAGTCTCTGCCTCCCAAAGGCTTGCAAAGCTGTTTTTGTTGCAGCAGCTCTGGCTACAAGCTCCCCAGGCAAATGGTGCCTCTAGGGCTGGCCAGGGGGTGCTTCCCAGGCCCCTGTGGGGCAGTGTGAGAAGGCACCTCTCTTTGGGGGCAGTGGGAGCAGCTCAGAGACCAGGGACAGCAGCAGCAGCAGCAGCAGCAGCAGCTGCCCGGAGGATTCCCAAGGAGAGGAGGCTGAGGGAACACTCCACAAGGGAGGCTGTTTGAGAAAGGGTGAGATGCTGCCAGCTCTGCAGGCAAGGGATGATGTAACTGGGCTGCTGAGCCCCACAGGGGCGCTGCAGAAAGAAAGTAGTTGGTCAAGGGAGCTGTGGACTTGAAAAGGTTGAAAACCTCTGCCATATGGGGATCAGACTGGCAACCTTAGCGTTATCAGCACCACTCCCTAACCAACTGATGTTGATAGATTCCAACTTCCATCAGCATGGCCAGTGGCCAGGGATGGTGGTAATCCAGGGTGGCAGCTTCTGGGGACTGAGGCACTGTGTCTCCCCCTCAATGTTCAGAGGGGCCCCCCGTGTAATGTCAGAACATTGTGTCTGGTCCCTCAATCTTCCAGAGACGGTGGCACCTCTGATGGTAATTGTACTCCAGCCACATCTGGAGACCCCCCAGTAAGCCACCTTTGGATCTGCAGGATGGACATGGCTGTAGGCATAAGACAGTATGAGAACATTGCTAAGATAGTATGAGAACAACCTCACGTGTCCCCGTTGTACTGGCATCTCCTTGATTGTGCTTCCCGTGGCCCAGTGGAAAATTGCACCCTTAAAGACAAGTTTCTATTGGCAAGGACTCAGTTTATACATCTGATGTAACTTATTTCCTAGAGGCGTCTGCCTGGAACATTTAAAGACTTAACAAATGGCTGGTTAGGCAAGTTATCAAATGTGTTGAGGGTTTATAGGAAGACGTGTGTTTATTACAGCTGATTTAATGCAGAAGGCTCCCCAAAAATTGAACACAGAACTGTACATAGAAATATTATCAGAAGTGACTAAATGGCGCCACTGCATGTGACAGTACTGATGTAACCGAGGGAGTAAAGAACCTTATGCTTTCCATGTCTTTCTTGCTGGATTCTAATTTTCATTAACCCCAGGCAGGGTATGATGAGACTTTAGGCCAACAAGATCTGATTGTCACCACTTGGGAGGTCAGGAAGCAATCCTACACACTTACCTGGGACAACTTACCATTTAAAACATTGGAATGAATGCTTAAGTATACATGCATAGGATTGAACTTTTAGAAGGGCTTCCTAGCTTGTAAAGTGGTGATGTAAATCCTATTCATTCACCTTGTTCCCCATATTTCTGATTGTCTGCTGAAATTCTTCTCAGTGGTTGTGGGTGGAAGATGTTATGGATGGCCAGCTTACCACAGAACCTATATAGTAAGTTATTCATGCCGGATGCCTAGGGTGGACCAGACAACAGCATAACTTCACAGTAACTTTGCAGCCTTGATATTTATGTCACTCGGCTTGCAGGAAAACATGTTGTCATCATCACTATCTGTTGGAACTTGCCTGGAACCTGATAGGAAGAGAGAAACACCCTTCTCTCTGTTTCACACAGGTGGTTTTCAGATGAGTTAACACAAAGACTTAATGAATGGAACCCAGCCCAAAAATTAGGAGACCTGTTCATTCAATTTTGCCAGCAACTTCAAACATACACAAACTTCTTCAACAATTATGCAGTAATTCTGAAAACTATAGACAAGGTAAGAACACACCAAACTCTCATGATTCTAAGTCAGACACTCCTTCCACTGCAACATTTATTTTTTTTAAACTCCTATGCTCACATATCTCCCTGTCCAAAGCAGCATCCAACAAATAGTAACTAAATATTAAAGTGCATTTAAATATCTTTGGAAAAGTATATTTATGCTATATTTTGTTAAAAGAAAAAGTAAAGCTTAGATCTGTAAGCAAGTAATCGGTTATAAGAATGTTTGTTTATTAAAAATTAATGAGATCTGAATTTTGAGTAAGTCTTGTTTTATTGTGATTTTAGTTCTTATTTTTATATTAATTGGTATATTTTCCATCATTAAAAATTAGATGCAATCAGGAAAATAATAAAGTTACCTTATGCAAACTGGATTACATGCCTGTATTTGTTTCACTGCTTTCTGCCCACCATGCCCTGTAGATAGTCTTAACATGATGCAGTTTCCAGGATGATCCTAGGCTGTGTTCTTCTACTGTATGATATTATGGGGTTGGGAATACTGGAGTGCAATAGCCCAGTAATCTGTGCACAAAGCATGTAATTTGGAAGTTCCCTTCCCACTCAGCCTTGTCAATCTGGCATCTCAGAGCCCTATCCTCCCGAGGATTTGTGTCACAACAGTTCAAGGTGCATCGTGGGAAAGGGCTTCACCAGCCTCAACTTTCAATATTGAAAGGGAAACTAAGTGTTGTACCCAACTACATTTTAACTTGCCTAAATTAGGCTTGTCCATTAATCTCAGTGGGTCTGCATTTTGTAAAACTAACATTGACTAAACCCCAAAGCACAAGAGGTGCCTGCAGCTTCACAGCCTTACCAAAATGTTTTTGAGCTGCCCATATTTACTGAGCAGCTACTTGCCAGATGCTAACACCACTGTGAGCCGGAGTCTAAGGTTCAAGTCTGCCTCAGTGCTGGAGGCAAAGGACAAGGTATTCCACAGCAGCCCACAGAACTGGGTTATGGAAATGCTGCTGTTTGCTCCTTATTTGGTCCGTAGTTTTATGGATTACATCACACTGATGGTCAAAACCTTTTGCTTTCACAGTGCAGGGAGACTATTCCAGTATTTCGTGCCTTTCTGAAGAGACATGACAAGACTGTTGCTACTACTATGAGAAGGTAAAGTCTTGTAGTTTAAAATAGGAAGGAGGACACTGCCAAAGCATGGGTGTTTTGTATATGCTAGAGGCAAAAATGGGCAGAGCAACATATGTACATTTTACCTTTGTGCAGTAGGCTAGTTACTATGTACACACTTGTCTCTATTCTCCATCTAGACAAGCAAAGAGGCATTATCTGAGTTCAAAGGTACATTCCAGCCAGGCAAAAACATTGAGGGTGTGAAGCAGGGCGCATGAAGGACATGGCCTGAGGAGAGTTTAGAGTGCCCTATATGGAGGGCTAGAGGGCTGCATTTTACCCCATGGCCTAAGGGTTCCCTGCCACCCGTTTCTTCAACATAACTGTCCCTTCAAAAAGAGTGCAACCTCATCGAGAACAGGCAAACTGCTTACTTCCTGGACTTGTGAACCTCCTACCCACAGAACCTATGTCTTACCTGCTACACTAGGCCCCTAAGATATGGCTTGACATACCTTTGTTGGTCTTGGGACATGCAATGCAATTTGCTACTTTTCTAATTAAAGCATGGATTAAGTGCATCTATGTAACACGTAGCCTCCAAGAATTTCTGTTGTGCCCATCTAAGAGGATTGAAGAGTACATCACGCTCCTGTATGCTCTGAGGCTTCACACTCCTCCAGAACACACTGACCGTGAAGAGCTGACTCCTGCAATTAAGCAAATGAAACAGTTCAAGGATTACTTAGATCAGGTTTGTCTACTACGTTTGTTTTAGCATGACGACCTTGCATGGATCACTAAGGCACTCAGTAGCAAGCGCTCTCATGGGATAGCTGTGACTGTGGAGAGCCAACATAATTCAAGTTTTGGTTTTGGACTATTATTATTATTATTATTATTATTATTATTATTATACCAGGGGGCAGTTCACAACATAAAAATACAAAATGAGAACACAAAATACATAATAAAAAAGGACCAAAACAAACCAATAACCCCCTCCCGCAAACACATTTAAAAGGCCATAAAATTCAGCTCAAGGCCTGGTTATATAGAAATTTTTTCATCTGGCACCTGGTATGTAATGAAGGCAGCAGGCGTAGATGGGGAGCTTGTGGCTCCTCCAGATGCCGCTGGAGCTGCTGGGTGTTGGAGTCTTGAGGACCTAAGTTTCCTCTCTCCACCTTAAATGTCGCAAACAGGAAGATAGGATATGTTGGAGGGTTTTTTTATCCTGCCCTCCCTCCCAGAGAGGCTCAGGGCAGCAAACACCAAAATCGTAAATAATACAATTAAAAACATCCACACACCCTCACAACTAATTACTTCAAGGTTGCCAGGAAAAGCATCTTTCAGCCATCAAATGCCTGAGTAAACATTTATTTTTTAAAAAAGTTCCTCCATAAAGTTAATGATGAGTAAGACAAGACACATCTCACCAGAGAGGGCATCTTGCAAATGAGGAACAACCTATGGGAGCACCCTTGAAGGATGTTTGGCTAAGAGCATTACAGATAAGATCTCTCCTTTCATCTTCATCCTTGAGAAGCTAACTCACCTTATGTTTACCATACTAAAATTCTAGCTAAAACTGAACGTTGGCAGAGATGATCAGATATTAACTACACAAAGACGCATCCAAGGATGTCCTGTAAGTACTTTGTATAGACAAACGTAGTGTGATATAGAGGAAATGCATGTATTTGTGTGATAAAGGCAGAATAATTTGCCATGGAGTAGGTTGTGCTTGTGAATAACAAAGGAAACGTAACTATTTTGTAAAAGTAGTAGTTTCCTCAAAAATGAAGCACAAGATAAGTATTAAAAGAACACACGGCTATGGCATAGTGAACTCAAATGCATTTGGGAAGAGAGATTCTATCTAGGAGATAGAATATGCTGCATAGGCAATTTTTGTCTGTGAAACTGTGTGCCTTCGTGGATACAAAGCACATCATTGGGGTAAAGGGAGATGTATAAAATTCCTCCTGATGTTTAACAGAAGTGTGTGATTTAACATACATCAGCAACCGAGGACAACCAAACAAAAATAATCAAACTTTATCCAAATATTTTTAAATCTTTTCATGTTTAATCCACAGAAGTTACTGAAAGCCAATAGGTATCTAATTGCGATGCAAGATGTAGCCCAGCTAAACTGCTGCTCAGAGAGAGTCCATATGTCATTCAGGTAAACAGACAGATAAAATAATAGGAGGGTAGAGGAAGAAAAATGAAGGATGCCTTTCAATGACTGGTTGCTAAATCTGTTTTGCATAGTTTATTATTTGTAGCTGAGGACTGTTATGTTTATGAATTGTTTGCACATGAATTCTTCAGTTAATAAAGGAGAACCTACCGCTTAGATGCATTGATTTCTTTCTTTCTTTGCACAAAACTGGGTGAATTCTTTCCGCAGAAATGAACAGTGCTAATGATGAACTAACCGGCAATCAAGTCTAAGCTTTTGGGTGGGACAGGACACTCTGTGGTTAATGCCTTCTAATTACCTCTGGGTATTGCTTTAATTGTATCAGTGGCCCAGAGATCATTCCTTCTAACAGAAAAAAAATATATTTTTATTAGCCATTGGCTTATTGATTGATCCCCTAAGAAAGAGCCATTACTTTCAGGAATGTGTTGCAGGACAAGTTCTAATGCTTAAAACTGAAAAATTAGAAGAAAAATTAGCTTGAGACTAAATGTTCCCTGATGTTGGGAAAGATGGGAAAGATGGAGGGCACAAGGAGAAGGAGACGACAGAGAATGAGATGGTTGGATGGTGTTCTTGAAGCTACCAGCATGAGTTTGATCAAACTGCGGGAGGCAGTGGAGGACAGAAGTGCCTGGCGTGCTCTGGTCCATGGGGTCACGAAGAGTCGGACACGACTAAACGACTAAACAACAACAAAATAAGCACACTGAATTAAGAGTTGCACTTTAACAAGTACAGGGTTACTGATTTTTTTTCATTTTTTTTTCATTAAACATTTTCAAAAGCTTAATATACTACTGATTAATATCTGTGTTAGTTTCTCTGAAGTCTAACATGGAAGACTAATCCTTTGTTTTCAATTTTGGCAGGCTGTATGAGCACACCCATGATCTTAGCCTCTTCCTTTTCAACGATATACTTGTTATCTCACAGCGCAGCATCTCTTACAAGCCATTCGAACGTATCTCACACGTTACTCACCAGTTCTTGGCAGTGGTAACACTTCACCAACTCCTGGTTGAAGATATTCCAGATTCCAAATGTGAGTTTTCCCCTACCCTAAAATGATATAAACATGGCACAAAATCTGTCAGGATATTTTAAAAAAATGTATTTCAAATTAAAATTGTAATATTGTAACAAAATGACTCCCCATACCAAATACTTAGCTAGCATTGCAAGGTCACCTGGATATTCTTGAGCTTCTGTTAAAATTAAAACCAGTTGCAATAGTTAGGGAAATAGAGGTTAATGTGTATCGAGTGCAGATGAGATGGTATATTTTTCTGCCAAAGCTGATTGCCTAACAGCAGATGAATTCTGCAATAGGAGCTTGTGTTAATGACAGTTGTCCTCAGAAACCCATCCTAGTTTTCCACAGAGCTTCTGGAGATGGAAAAAATATATCATATGCTTCTAAGAGATCCACAGAAGCTCCAGAATTCCTTTGCTGGAAAGTCTCCATTACTGTCTTAAGGCATTCCAAGTGCTTGCTTACTTTAAAACCAAGAAAACAAATACCTAAGAATGTTGCATGGTGAGGTCCACAATCCGAATGCATGTTTAGGAAAGATAGCTGCTCAGTATCTTTAGATCCAAGGGGAAAGAACTATTATACCAGGAAGTATAGACAACAACCTTTCTGAATGCCTTGAAATCAGCAATTATCTGTGGAAGCAGCTGCTCCAGGCAAACTTCTCAAAACTCTGTGCAAGGACAGGCTATTGCCATTCTAACGGATGCTGAGCGGCCCCAGTAATCCCTCTATTTAAAGGACAGAAGGGGTTAGCAAAACAATTAGGGGCTTAATTTTTTCTTAATAAGTGAACAGACCCTGGCTATTGGCTCACTGGTACAGCTGGTCTGGGAGATGGTGTTGGCTCCTCCTGCAGGAGGAAGGAAGTTTGCATGGCTCTGCCTGTGGACTATGGTAGGGGTCTCCATTCCAAAGGTGCTCTGTGCCCTCCAGGAGCCTCTGGTGAATTACCCTTCCATCAGAAGAACTCAGGGCAATGCAAGAGTACAAACTGTGTTAACACAGGTAACATAACAATGCCTGTCAGAAATAACACAGAGTGCTGTAAATCTCCACATTATTCACTGCAGTGGAAAGATGCATTTGCTGGTCAATGAATGATTCACTTTGAAAAACAAACCACTTTGTACAAACTTCCCTTTTTCAGTATCTGCATGCAGACGAAAACCAGGGATGAGGAAAAGTGCAATACTAATTGAGTAGTGGGATAAGAAAGGTGTTACTGAATGGCAACAAGGCCTGCTTTACAGGTCACCATTTCTGGAGGGAATGCAATGCATGGAACACCATAAATGGGTCAAGCTTTCACCACTGCACATATTGCTACATGATCTCCTGTCTTAGCTTGAAAACTGATCCTTATTTATAATCTTTCAGAAATCAGATTATTATTATTTTTACAGATATCAAGAATGCTTTTCTTCTGCAAAGTCCCAGGTGTCAAATGATTTGTTCTACAGAGGACCATGACAAGTTTATATGGCTTTCTGCACTGCAAAGGGCAATTATCTGCAATATTGAAGATAATGTAAATTGTTCTTGAAATTTCCCAGCTTTATTTACTACCTCACCTTCCTGCCGCTTGTAACTGTCATGCAGCTCCCAAAAGAAAAAGATAACCGTTCAGTGTCTACAACAGACATGGGGAAATCAGGCTGACCAAGGGCCTCATTTAGCCAGTGGGGCTGTTTCCCTGACACTTAATGTCATGAGTGATGTCTGGTGAGGGCCAAATGGACACAAAACTGCCAACACACAATCCGGAGCCTTAATAGTGCACTCCTGATTGCACCTTGGCAAGCCAGCTGGGATTGGTTGTGCTACTGAGTTCCCCCCACTGAGAATTTTGTAGATAGTAGTGCATCAGTAGAAAACAGAGCTGACAGGTGATGACTTCAAAGTTGCTGGGATCAGCTGTGTAGCTGCCCCTTGCAGAAAGTGGAGCTTGAAGTCAGCACTGATCAGATGATTGGTGGGAACTTCAAACCCTATTTAGGCTTGAATTTTCCTCTGTAGCATGGGGGAAGCCAGAGATCCAGATGGCTAGACCTAGTTCCCTGCCCCTGTCTACAGTAAAGTACATTTGCTGTGACTTAGTATTTCTCCTTGCTGTACAGTAGATAGAAATTGTTAGTGTGTTGTTAGATGTCTATTAATGCATGCAGTTACAAATGTTTATTCTTTCTCACTCTTTGCTTTGAGTCTCTTTCCTGCTTTGACACATACCATGAATTTTTTATTTTGTTTGACTTTTCCCTAATGTTTGATTTAGGGTGATAAATCTCCCATAGCACATAAGTGGACTTCCCTTTCTACTCAGCTCCACATGCCACCAAAATCTACTCTGGAGGGGAAGGGGAGGAATCCTGTTGTGTGAGTGTTAAGTTTGTTCTGCTGGCTGGGCAAGCCAATTGGCCAACATGGTGGCCAAAGTAGTCTTAGCATTATGGTTTCTTCATAACCAAATACTCAGTGCAAAATCCTATTTGCAGGCTCATGAAAAAAAGCAACCTAATTCAGTTTGTTAAGCCAAACTAAAAGGATCCACCCAAGTTAAAATATTGTGCTGTTTTATTGGTGTAAAAATCACACAATTGCTAGTTCTGATTCTGCTGAGATACATCCATGCAGTTTAACATCTATGATCCCACAGCCAGAATAAGCCATTAAATAGAATATCTGCTGTTAGTCAGCATTAATGCAAATTTACATATGAGATCAAAAGGTGTGTATTATACAATATACAACAAATCCTAATACAGTACATCAACCTGAATAGCAGGATACACTCAGGAAACTGTGTTAATGAAGCCTGTCTGCAAGCCAGAAGAATAAGGCTTGGAGAGATGAAGCGAACCTTCTCAGGAACAAAAATAGTTTTCAGGGGACTGGGAAAGAAGAGTTGAGGTACTGACACATTTATTGACCATAGTGTGTTACAGTAAAGTCTGTTGGATGTGCCAGTTAATAAAAGGGTAAATGTGCAAAGCATGCAACTACGGGTGGTGTTCAGGAAATGTGCATGGCAGAGAGATCAACACCCAATCCTTTCACAGAAGGTATGCACTTACGTGCATGCTGAAAAATGACAGTCATGAATGGAAACATTGAAACAAATGTCAAGCTGTGGCCACATACAAAGTACATAAAGAGGAAAAGACAACCAAATGCATTTGGTATGGCAAGGTAGTATGAAAACAAAAAATAGGGTATTTGTGGCACTTGGAAGGCGCAAAATGAATCAAAATGGCTGCCTGAAATTTCAGATGGGTTGCAAAGTGTGACTCAGGAAAGGAAAAACTGATGACCACAGCTGGTTAACCTTCTCTTACACAATCAAAAGAAAGGTGTGTAAAAGCATGTGCTTCTGTGTTTAAAAAGTAGATATCTGGGATGTTTTTTAGTCATGATCTTTGACATGAAATATAGAAAATTCATAAGGTAATCAAGTTCAGTTTGGGATCTAGGCCACTGAAGCTGTACAAACTTTGCTCCAAATTAAAAATGTGTCCTCCCAACAAAATGGGAAGGTTGGCAGTGCCAATATATAGAACATTCAAGGAAACAATTATTCCATTCTTTGTATTAAAATTATAAAAGTTACTTAAATACAACTGTGGACAGAGGACAAAACAATCACAAAAAAATGTTAAGAGTGCACTGAGCTGAACATATGGGTCTTTAATTAGGCCTTTTACCCAATTTCCCCTTTCAGAGTTAATTAATTCACAGTTAATGGCAATTGGCTTATAAGTGAGAGAAGGGTCGAAGCTGCTCCAGTTGAACTTCCAGCGAAATTCTCTCTTCAAGAACATCCTACAAAGGAAAGATTTGCCATTTATATAAAACAAATGAAGAGATACCACGATAAACATACATACATTTAGTTGGAATGGTTACAGTAATCTTTACTATAGGCTAGCACAAATGTTTGTAATACGTTAAAACTCTATTACATCCTCAACACTATGTAATAATTTTATATAAATAGCCATGGAGAATTCTTCTAAATCTAAATCAACTTATTTTCTGCGGTTTTTAAGGGGGAAAGTGTGCACATGTGTCTGGGGGGTGGGGAAGAAGACTAAAATAGCAGACACTTGGCTCATATCAGTAACCAAAACAAAAATCCTGCCTTTGCTTCATGAAGGAAGCTGCAGAATCGCCCAAAAATTGGGGTGGGGTGTGATCAGAAATATGGCCTATGTTGAAAGCTGGGATAAAAGGTTTTTTACTTTAGAAAAGTTGAAGATTACGGCCTTCAAAAGGTAACCAATCAAAAGATCTGGTGCAGAAAAAAGGTGTGTTTAATTTTTTTAAAATGTCATTTACCTTTAATTGCTGCTGTAATTCACTATTCAGTCTGGCCAAAACGGTATTGGTCTCTTTATTGCGTCTGATTGATGCCTGAATAGCCTTCTTGTCCTTTCCCACCGATCTGAAGAGATAAGTTCATGAAACAACATTCAGAAAGTGCTTATTATTTGTAGACAAATGGCTCAAGAAAGTTGTTCTGAAATCAGTTAATTACTTTACTCAATGCCTTAAGTTTCTTTAATGTATTATTTAGTTGCACGTCAATTAATAAAAATGTGAATTCTGGCATCCTCTCCTGTCAGTGGCCACAGCCTACAGAGCTACAACAAACGTTGCATGAACCTAGTGACACTTCCCAGGTTTTCCCTTGCATTGCATCTCAAAACTCCCTTTGAAGTTTCCTTGTGTTTCAAAGCTATTTGAAACTAAAGCAGTGCATACAAAGACTATGCTTTTATGCAGGTCCATGGCTTTCTTTACTAGCTTAGAATCAATTAGCATGTTTCCTGTACTGCAGGTTGAACTGAATTAAGCTGTCTTGCAAATTCAAGCTTGTATCCAGAATTGTACATTTCTTTCTGCCAAGCAACCCAGGCCCCACAAAAAGTGCTAATACTCAATTTGTGTGCAATGCATAACCATCGATTTAGTTTGCATAATATTCTATTTTATTTCTGAGCCGAAACAGCCATGCACACAAAAGGGGTGTCACCAGATTCAGAGGAAGCTTTGAATATTTTGGAGATCTGTAATATACGCCTCCTACAGTTTGCAGAGCTGTGCTGAGATGCTAGGTTTACAATAGTCCTGTACATGTTGTCCAATGTTAATACTGCAGGTCAAAGATGAAGCTGAGGCTGGTTTAAACTCCAAGTCAAAAATGCACCACACCTTCTCATGATACAGCAAAATTCCATCTACTTAAATTACTCCCTTAGAACACCTCCCAGGTCAAATCAAATACTCATTGCATACAGAAATCTCAGCCTTCACTGATTGCATACAATTTAGTTGGACTTTTAAGCTTTCAAGAACTAAAACAACATTTTTTTCCACTTGATGCTTTCATGTTTTTCATTCCCATCAGCCATAGGCTTAGGAATCATACACATACCAGAGGTACATTGCAACCTCTTTGCTGCAATGTAGCCGCTGGTTTCTTCTATTTCTAAAATGCAAGGCTTCTGAATATTTTTAGCATGGACTGGTTATGAAGCAAAAAGGGGAAAGAGAAGGACATGGTGACTAGCCTGGGAGTAGAACAATAAATAGCAGCCTTTGGGAAGGGAGAGGGAGCTTTATAAGGAATTAAATCCAAAGCCCTTGGTCAGCAAAGTAGCCTGACTAGTCCCCCTTGGGTCTCTGATGAACATTGCAGAATGCTAAATTCTCTTGCTTAGTGAAAACTGATATTGTCAAGTGCATGCAGCCATGTTTATAACAAGAGTGTGACAGACTGAACTGTACACCTAATATTGAAATTAGATTCTTGATGCAATTTTAATAAATGCATGGAAAGACATTTCTTTCAGATTGTAACATAATGCAAAACGCTGTGCATCAGAGTTTTCTAAAAATCTATACTGTGTTTAGGATTCAAGTTTGTTCACAGCGGCTTTACTTAGCATTTCAATGGTTCAAATATCATAGATACTTTGCTACTAATGGCTATAATTTCTATTTAAAATGAAAATGCCTTGTTATCAGAGGTACTTATACACATCTTGGGTTACCTAGGAATAGATGGCTGTGAAGCAAGAACAGCAGCTATGACACCTGTTTTCTGTGTTTGCTCCTCAGCTTCCGGTCTCAGCTCATCTTCTGATTTTGGCCTTCTGCGTATAGGCTTTGGTGGCGGTGCCAGAGGCGTTGTACCTTTGCCCTGAAAGATTACAGAGGGTATCTTAATACGTACAGCAATAAACATCACCAGCACTCAGTTTTAATCATTACTAATGATTAGTTAATAAAAAACCCGTTTTATTCACCTACTAACAGCATAATCAAGGTTCCCAACCATTGAACACTTACCTCGGTATAAGTCCCAGTGAAGATGGTAGAATGTAGTTCTGAGTGAACATGTATAGGATCATGTTGTAAGAAGGTGTACTAAGATATGTGAGGATATGTGATGCCAGTTACTTGTAGGGATATTTTAAGCCTCCTGGAAGCATCACTAGAGAATGGTTAGGCCTGTTTTAAATGTACAGTACATAAATAAACCTCCAAGCACTGGCCATCTGGGATTCTGCATGTTCAGTGTCATGCTTAAACTGGCTACTGTGCATATGAAGCTGAGGAATCCATAGCCTGGAAAGCATGCTGTTACACTTGAAGGCATCAGCATTCAGATGTAAAACTCTGTCCATCTGGGGTAATTGAAGAAACAACCACAACTTTTCAACTGTGTATTTAATCTGGGCTATAGATGAATGTCAGCTGCACACCAGACACAATTTGTTAAGCTTTCTTCGACTTAACCCTCTGCCTGTCTTGGATTGACACTGGATGCATAACAAACCATCCAAAAGTGACATTAAGTTGTAAGGGAGGATCAGCAGTATCTCCAGATACCTTTTTTTAAAACAAAAGTACTTGTGGGAAAAAAGTTTAAGGTATATCAATCCTGCCTGTGTGTCATTAGAAGTGTAAAGGAAAGAAGTGTAAAGAAGTGTAAAGTTTCAAAGGAATACCAATATGCTAGGAGGAATTTAACATTTCACTCTTCTGATTGTTCCATCAATGCAAGCATATCGGCTTTTCAGACAGTATGAACCCTCTTCTCTCTCAGCATGCTGTTCTGAGGTTCTCCCAACCCCCTAGAGAAAATTGGGAGGGCACAGGGGGGAGGAGAAAGGAGAACCCCCAATGGGCAACACAAGTCCTTGCGCAGGGCTTCTGCTGACAGGACGAATTACTGTTTCTGCCCTTTAGTTTATTTATCTTTGCCAGAATGCAACAGGATGACTACAAAGTGGGTGGTTGTTTCTGTAAGAAATAACCCACATTTGTGGCTAAGTTGACCCAGCATGTGACAAATGGGTCAATGTTAAGTTTCTGGGGAACTGGGTTCACGTCTCCGCTCCTCCACATGCAGCTGCTGGGTGACCTTGGGCCAGTCACACTTCTCTGAAGTCTCTCAGCCCCACTCACCTCACAAAGTGTTTGTTGTGGGGGAGGAAGGGAAAGGAGAATGTTAGCCGCTTTGAGACTCCTTAAAGGGAGTGAAAGGCGGGATATCAAACCCAAACTACTCTTCTTCTTCTTCTTCTTCTTCTTCTTCTTCTTCTTCTTCTTCTTCTTCCAATGAGAATGTCAAAGTTCTTCTGCTAGCTCAACCCCTCTATTTCCAAACAAGTACAGGAATCAGACTTGCACCCAAAGGTGCTGTGAAGAATGAAGAGTAAATTGAATGAGGGCTAGGATATGGTGTGGGCTGTGTTCCTCTTCTGTACTGGGCTGTACTGAAAAGACTTAAAGAGTCTGTAAGGGATCTCCAAAGCTTTCAAACTAAAACCATCGTGTTGTGAAGGCTCAGGTCCAAAGGAAACTGATTTTGGTGTGCTTCATCCATAGATGGGGAATCTACAGCATGAATAGGAGTTGCAACCCAGCACAATAGTGAGAATCAAAAGTGCACACATGCCTGCTCCTCACATGATGACCATTAACCAATGGTGGCTGAGCCATTACAGAAAGAGTTTGTTTCTCATCACCTCAGACCCTTGTTTCAATGGAGCTAGTTCACACATTCAGCAAGTGATGCATTACTGTGAGAGATACCTTTGGCTGCAGACAGTTATGTATCTATCAAACAGCAAAAGCACTGAATGAATATGAAAGTCGGTTATCAACTGACTCTTGCTTTATTCAGCCAAATTAAAGTAGATTTAATCTACAGTATTGACTCGTCTTATATTTTTTCATTTATTTCCAACCTTTCTACCCAAGGCATAAAAAAAATTACACATAAAAAATTCACCACAGCAAAACAAGCAGCAGTAATACATCATAAAAATGGCATCAGCAAGCAGCAATCTGCAATATTATACAAAACCTTTTGTGCAACCACTGCTTTTCAAGAACTGAGCCATGACAGGAAGAACAATCCCAGTCTTACAGGTAACTCTAGCATCTGTTAAGACCCTATGGGAACATTATAGTCAATTTTAGTTTTTAAATTTAGCCACTACAACATGCTGTTATGCAAGCTGCTTTAAGAACCATGTGCTTTTTAGGTAAAATGGAGGTTGAAACCCATGATCAGTAGTAGCACTATTAATTAAATTTCTAAACTTCTTCTGAAGATCACAGGGCAGTTTACAAAATAAAACCACAAAAATACTTATCATCACAGCCACAACAACAAATACCCCGCCCCCAGTTTAAAAGGCCATAGACTTTAATTAAAACAATTTAAAGAATATTATTAGTAAAAGGCCTGGGAAAAGAGACGTCTTTGCCTGGTACCTAAAGATATGTAATGAAGGTGCCAGGTGAGCATTCCACAAGTGGGAAGCCACCACAGAAAATACCTGTTCTTGTGTTGCACATTTTACATACCGCATTTGCAGGCGTACTAGAAACTGTTTTGTCTTCAAGTCTTCCATCACCTTTGGCAACTCTAAGAGGCCCAGCAGAATCAGGTGTTTTTTCTACCTAGAGACAGAAATAACTCAAAAATGCATCATGGCAAGCAAGCAATGATTCAAATAATCTTCAGGTTTGGGGAAGGGTATGAGATCAGACACTTAAACTGAGACCAAATGCACACTCTGGAAGCTCACATATAACTACTAAAAGTGAAGCCTATAACAGCCAGATCACACTGAGAAGTACTAGAATTCTCAGAAACACTATTGTGTGAGGCCTTTATATTTCTTCAACTGTAAGTGCCAGCTACGCCCTTTCCCAGATAAAACAGATCTGGACATGATCGAGTGTCCACTGGGCACCGGCATTCAACACTACCACATGAATGTAACTGGACATCAATTAACAGATACTTGCAGATAATATAGCCAGAATATATAGTGTCTATGCTAACCTGCAAAACCTCTGGTTGTTTCTCAGTTTCATCATCCTCTTCTTCATTTGCACCTGATGCAGCAAAAACCTCAAACTGGCTAAAATCTGCAAAGTTTGGCTGTTCTGGTATTTGCTGAGGTGAGGTACTGGTGTGTGCTATTAGACCTTCAGCATCTGATGAACGATGAACATGAGCTCCAGCCTACAGGAAGAGAATCAATGTCACAAATCATGTTGGTACTTTTAAAAAGTTTACTAATGTAAAAACTCGCTCAGATAAGAAAGTTTGCTTGGATACTAACCAAGTAAACAGAGTTCTTTTCTGACCTAAATATTCAAGGCATATTTGAATTAAGGCAAATGTTTATAAGATGACAGGGGGAGACATTCTGGATAATTTGTCACCATGTATGTTACATATGTTTATTTTGCTAGTTGTTTTCTTCCATATAAACATATAAGAGAAAAACATTTTTAATATATATTTTATTGCTGTGGGTGCATGTAGACAATGATTCATGCCACTCAGTGTGACAACTTGGGTAGGGTGGAGAACAGGGGTAAAAGTTGTTAAGCTGCTCAGAAGCCACAGAGTGAGAGAGTCTGTTGGCACAGAGTGAGGCCATCATTGTCTCTCATAAAAAGAGGTAGTAAAGGGGTGCCCCTGGTGCAAGCTGCAGTGGGAAGGATATTTGATTGCTTAATACTAATTACTATTAAAGTAATTATTAAAATCCTTTTTCCAGAATACCTGGAACATAATGTCCTGTGAAATACAAAAACATGACGGAATGTAGATGAATAGAAACTAAGAATTCAATAAGTGATAGGCCCCTGCTTATGATTTATAGATGACAATTCCCATAAAATGTTGAAAGTATTACTACAAATAAAATCTAATGATGATGATATCCATAAATTAGCATACATGCTAGAGACCTTTCTTTTGTTTTCTGGCATGTTTATGAAAGCAATACATTTCCACCATTCTCTTACAAAAGTATCTGTGCATTTAATTCCTCTCACCATTCTCAATTTATCAGTTATTTTTTCAGTGAGAGATATTTGCCATATCTTGTACCAAGATTTTAAATTTGCTCCTTTATTAAAATGATTTTGTCAATTTTGCAAATCACCTCGTCCCAAAATGTCATTAGGTTATTGTACATGCCTGGATGTTCCATTTTCTTTAGCCAGATATTTGGTTAAATTGAAAATTTTAAGAGTTGTCCTCACTGCAGCTTAGCTTACCCTGTTTTATGATGGAATTGTTCAGGATATTTATTGGACTTTTTTATGGATTCTGTAGTTTTTGTTTATTATCGTTTTCCTGTACATTTATTTCATTTCATTTTTCCCTGTTCTGAGATGGAACTATTCAGTGAAGATATTATTACAATATTATTAACAGAAATCGGTACCACCACTAAACAGATGCAATTAATTTATAATTTCAACAGAAATCGAAAAATAACCTGTGTGGGTGGAGGTCTTGGAGGCACTGCAGGGGGGTAGGCAATCACTCCAGTTTGCTGTTGACCTACAAGGCAGTAATATTTAGAAGAGAACACTAAATATGTTTTCAGCTGTGTTAACAACTTTTGGCTAAGTACTTTAAAACAAGCAGTTGTTTGGATTTAAGCAGGGTCAAGCTTCGGCAGTCACTTGCTGTATTTTAATTGTTACATGGTTTAAGGGGCTCAGCAAGTTCCAAATCCTAGGCCTTCGGGCAAGTTTACTGACTCATCAAATTCCTACAGATTAGCCTATGTAATCTTGATCACGCAGGCTGCAATCCTGTGAACGCTTACTCAGCAGTAAACCCCACTGAACTCAAGGGGTCTCACTTCTGAGCAAACATGTATAGGATGGCGTGCCTCAAGCAGAAAGAAGAAGAAAGTAAGGCACACTTCAACAAACCAGCTGCAGCTCCAGGTGATTCCCGCAAAAAAAGCAAGACAGGAGCTGACAGGAGAGAGATCTAAATCTTCAGGTAGGCTTTCTGCTGAAACATACTGTGAAGATTTCTCTTGTGCAACATGTTCCCATTAATAATTATATTTTAGGACACAAATATTAACACCGTCCTCCACCCAAGATTGCAAACATGACCGAAACAAACAAGCTTTCCTCCCAACTGTCTCAACATCATGAACATTCAGTACCGTTCTAAACAGAAAGGAGAACTACCCAAGTGACCCTGAACTTGATTTAAGAATGAATAAAACAAACTGACTTTATAAAAGAATCTGAACCATGCCCACCTGGAGTAATAGTGAAGGTTCTGTTCATATCTAAAGATGATGATCTTGAGTGCGAAGGGTGAGGCCTTGGTGGTGGTGGTGGAGGAGCTGTATTGTCGGGAGACGTCCCTGAATGTGATCTGAAAAACAATGGAACTACAGAAATTCTATTGCAAACTGTAGTTCATGAGCCCCATATAGTCATCAGAACACAGCAACTGTTTCCTTACCAGTAAAATTTGCTCTTTAAGAAGGTGGATATTAACTACTGAAGATAACTGAAAAGTACTGAGTTGTGATCTGCCAGCCATGATGCAATGAAGCTACCTGCACTTGTAGATTAAGATCAGCTATATCTCAAAGTAGCTGTCTTATTACAAAAGAATTTCAGAAATAGATTGGAAAGAGAAGTTGCTGATTTGCAACTTATTACCAAATTTAAAACCATGGAGAGATCTGGTCTGAATAGAGACATTGGATTCTGATCTCATTATACATGATACAGCTATTTTTAGCCATCTCACCCCTTGCTTTTTCCTGTAAGCCCAATTGCAGTCACAGTCATCAACAGGTTTACCACACCTATCAGCCAATCACCCATTCCCACCACCCTTCAGAGTAATACGCTTCCCCACCCTCTCACTATATATAAGGGTCTGGTGACTTCTGTTTCAGTGTATCTGAAGAAGTGTGCATGCACACAAAAGCTCATACCAGGAACAAACGTAGATTTTTTTTAATTTTGTTTAGACTGGGGAAGTCACCTTGTTCAAATTATAGGGCCTGTTTTCTGCATGGATCTATCAAACCAGCTTGAACATGGATAGCCTATTGTTTCCAGAGAACACTTTCTACTCTAAAATGAGACAAGCTCCTTTTTCACCAAAAGAATAGAAAGACTTTATAGTCATCCTTGTATAAATACTTTAGAATGTGTACATGTGGCAATGCTGGGAAATAGTTTTATATCATTAGATCTTTCTGCATTCTGGAAAACTCAGCTCCACTGCCCTTGCAATTTACAGGTTTGCATCACAATGCTGGAAACTAGAAGTTTGCTAAACAGCACACACACATATTTCCAATGTTCTAATAGCACCCTATGGATCATGGATCTGACCTGAGGGCTTTATGTTGCCCATCCTCACTTCAGGCTGCAGAATGGAGGAAAGGAAATCTTATTCTATGACTGACAAATAGACAGTTAAACAATGGTGGTAAGTGAATACAGCTTGCAGGAGTGCTTAAATTCTTTGAGAATATATTCTTGGAGCCAGGAAAAGACACAAGACAAAAACAGTTGTGTCAAGAGGCATTGTAGTCGATAATTATGTATAACAGAACACCACCACTGAAGCACCACCCTGCACCCTTTTTATTCTGGAACTCAGTGCACTTTTCTGTGAACGTTTTAACACTAAGTGCTTGTTAAACTTATGGACTGCTATACCACCAAATAAACACTTAGGACAGGCATAGCCAAACTTGGCCCTCCAGATGTTTTGGGACTACAATTCTCATCATCCCTGACCACCGGGTCCTGTTAGCTAGCGATGATGGGAGCTGTAGTCCCAAAACATCTGGAGAGCCAAGTTTGAGCATGCCTGACTTAGGAAGTGACGCAGCAGCTCTTATGTCAACACAAACACACACAAAAAGACCAATCAGGAAATTGACTCCTTCTAGAATTATGAATTTCTATTAAAGATTACCAGGCTGTGTGTTTGGGGGGACAAATTGTGGAGTAGGAGATGGGTACTTTACCCTTGGATAGGAATTGCTACTTTAACATCATTCATATTTAAGCATCTAATTACCGTTGTCTTGTTACAGTGCTTCCAATATGTTCTGGGTCAGAAGTAAAGGAATCTGAGCTGCTGTAACCATCTGCTGATATAAGAAAAAGAAAATCATACATTGCTTGTTGATTAATCATGTTTTGATTATTCCACAGAATAATCTTACAGAATAAAACTTACAAGTGACTTTTCTATAAATAAGGTATATTGGTCACAAGTGACACAAAATTGATAAGCAAAACAAGTTTCCATACCAGAATCTTCCTAAAATGGATCTGGCCCCTTCACATATATTAGATCATATCCTTTTACTCTAGAATAATCAACAATACCTACCAACCAGGGGTCTGTACTGCAAAAATATACTTTACTATTTCCACCACTTTGACTGAAGATCTGAGAAATTATATAGGTCTGCATGGATTCCAACTGGCTAGCAGCTACCAGACACAATCCTTAAAGTATGCGTAAAGAGGTCTAAGAGGGCATCAGAGTGGCTAGAGTGTGTTAAAGAATAAGACTTCTGAATCCCCAACTCTGAAGGATGCTTCACATCCTTTTTCAAACACAAAATAAATGTGCATTTTAAAGGGTTTTCCGCTGCACACAGATGGACAGAGTAGCTGCTGAATGTACTACTTCCCCAAATCTTGAATTTGGTATTGGGTTACAGTCATTTAACTATTTGCAGTGAAATGAAGTAGGCTGATACCCTACTAGGAAAGAAAACACTGATGCTTACCAACTGTGTTTCCTCCTACAAATTTTGCAGATGAACTCATTTTACTTTCTTCTACAAGATCAGGTGATTTTACAAGTAAAGGACTTGTGGGATTTGTGTGATCTAAAAGGGAATAAAATATATATTTAGTAACAATAAGCTAGTCTACCTCTCTTCTTATGGCAAATTTCACCTAATGCTCAAAGTCTGACACCATAGTAATATGTAAAAATTAAAATTTTGAACAGCTAAGATCGTAACTTGCATTTCTGGCCACACGTGTATATGTGGATATCAACTCCCCTCTACATGTGCATCATATCACACACCAATCCCCAGGAACAGATTTTGGGGGAATGCAAAGGGAAGGGAAGACTGAAAAGCCAAATTACATGAACAGGATATCTGTTCTTTTTAGAGAAAGAAAAAACATTTTTTATTTTATTACTAGATTAATGGCCACGCATCAAAACATGCTTTTGAGTGGCTTACAAAAGAATAAATAATACACAATATTAAAATACAAGACAATAATTTTAAGAACATCAAAACTGCTCAAATGCAACATAAAATGATATCATTCAAGTCTATTATTTGTAGGGGTTTAAAAGTTTGTATTATAGAAAAATGGTATAAGAAGCCACAATTACCGGTACATTTTTTTAAATTCAAGCACCCTCAATCCATGTACTTGTTGTTGTCTGCATTGTCTTACAGTATTTTTATACTGCCACTTCTATATAGAGTGCTACTCAATGCTAACCCCCTTTGCAATTTTAGCTTCTCAACAAATGTGCAAGCTAAATCAGGCTAGAAAAGTGTGGTCTGGTTCAGATGCACATGAACAAGACTTGTTCCTGTCAACAACCTGCTCCCTTTTCCTCCTCCAGTGGGGTCCCTATACTGTGCTTAATTTTGACTATGAAAGCCAGATTCACAAACCATGGATTGGAGATGGTTTGTTTCAACAAGCTAGTTTTTCCCAATTTCGATGTAACAAATTGCAGATAGTCAAAACCAGAAGCTAAACCTTCTGATCTCCTCATGGCCATACCAGAGGAGAAGTTGGGGGAGCTGATGAGCCCTAGCCTCATTCACACAATTAAATGTGGCAAGTGAATGGCTTGTTTCTTGGTTTAGCATTTCATGTGAATATGACAGTGTGATAACTGAATAGGATAAAACTATTAATGGTTTCAAGAACCCCATAGTGACAATATCAATGGATACAAAAATGAATACATTGTTTGATAGGCTTGCAGTAACTAATTATGTTTGTGAAAATTAATGTTTAGCTACGTAGAGGTTGTTCTAAAGGCACCACCTAACAACTTACCATTTCCAGTTCTTTTAAGTTCCATTTCTTGCAAATGAATTTTGCTTGGAGTCATTCTAATAGGAACAGGATGAACAATAGCAGTATCCTAAGACAAAGAGGTATAAATTGAACTTAGCTTAGTAGAATTAATTGGTCTAAAGTTGATAACTTAATCAAAAGTTTCATTAAAAAGCTTGAATACTAAAATAAACTCTGTTGCAACTTTGTTGTGATACTCAAAACAGTACATGACAGCTCTTTCACTAGCAAAGTACATGGAAGCATATCATTTGCTTATCTGCATTGGGCAAATCATCACTGGAGCAAATCTTACTGGCTGCCTGTTAAACAAACACTTTAAGCAGTTTGCAAACAATATTCTGCTTGCACAAGGTTATATGTGTTTCTAAATAAGTTGTTCAGGAGCTCATGTGCCTTAATTTGTAGCAATTTACATGGTGAAGTATATATGAAAGTATATAGTCACGGCACAGTGGCAGCTAGACCACACTGTGCTGCACACTGCTTCTGTTGTACAGCAGTACGTGTAACACAGGGCTGGTTAAGATTCTGCTGGATCAAGCCAAAGGTCCATCATCCTACTCTCGCTATGGCCAGCCTGATGTCCATAAAAAACTGGCAAGCAGGATGCAAGTGCAACAGCACTTCACTTCTGGCCCTCCAAGAAAAACTATGGATCTACAAAAGCTGTCATCCCACCCACTTGCTGCATGCCACCTGCCAAGATGCTTCACAGCCCACCCCACATTACCTGCTGCTCAGCTTTTGCATTCGCAAAGAACAAAGTCTGTGCCTTTAGTACCGTGTTTCTAAAACAGTATGACAAGTCACATGGGAGAATGTAGTTCTACTGAGGGAAACGCTACAGCACACACTGATTTTCCTCTCATCAGATTTAACTTACCAACTACGGAAACTGCAGACAGCAAGAGAATATACAGGACCCAGAGATGTTCCTTTCTAGTGCTTTGCTCTGGCAGTGTGGGAGTCATTCACAAAGCAGTGAATGAAGATTATGCACCATCACATGCCCAATACATGGCTCTCAGTGGGATGGGGTACATGAGGGCAGAGTATGTTTGTTAGAGGTCCTGAAATTAAAAACTGCGAGAAACACCACACTATGGAGAATGAAGGATGTATATATGACTTGGGCAAATTGTCACATACGGGCCATTATACAGACAAGCAACGCCTGTTGCCTTGGTGGTGTCCATAGAGGACAGTGGTTGTGTTCATGAAAGCAGTGACATGTACTTAGGAGAAGTAGAAAAATGAAGATTAGCAAATGCGATTACATGGTATCTATAAAAAAGGGCTTTATGTGTGGGCTTTGGGATGAAAGGACTGGATCTGCATGTGACTTTGGCTATCCTTGTTCAAACTGGTCTTTGGCAAGTTACCATACTTATTTTCTAATTTCAATCCTGTTTTTCAGCACAAGGCAGCTAAGAAGTGTCACAGCCATAATGATTAAGAATTTCAACACACTCTGTACACTGAAGATACTTCAAAAAAATGAACAGACTGCATTTTATTTCTTGAACTCATAAAATGTTCTATAATTAAACTTGAATCATACTGCATACATATGATTCCTCCAATAAATTTTAAAGCAGATAAAATTTATGACTTCTGCCACCATTTCCAACCAAGCTTTGTAGAATCATGCATTAACAGGCAAGATACAATTAATGAAAATTCAGAGTTAATAAAATTAATTTCAAACAAGCAAGCTAAGTGATTGACTTACAGGATCAGCTGGTGCAATGTTAGAATCAAATTGGGTCAGAGTTTGTGAGCTTGAGGAGCGTTCGCTAAATGTCTCCCACTGCTGAACAGACAGAGGAGAGACAAGTCAGCATGAGAGATGGAGTAAAGGTTTCCTGGAGAAGATTTAAGGTAGGTTCAGAGGTTGCGATGGCAGTTGTTTTATTTGCAAAAACTGTCAACACACACATTTTTAAAAATGTATTTTGAGCTTCATCCTTTCGGCTTCTCAATGCTACCAAGAATTTAACTGTTAAATATTGCATAGGGTATGAGCAAATCAAGAGATTTCCCTTCTGTGAAAGTAAGTGTATATGTTTTAACAACAAAATCAAGCTACTGACAATGGAAACCTCTTATAATGTCTGATCATGCTGTATGTGTAACTACAATGGGCAGCATTCAGCTAACATATCCATGTCAGCGCAATGATTTCCACTTGTGCAATGGGAATTCCCTCCCCCTTCCCCATCCCGTGCCATCCTAAAAATTTCAACAGAAGGTTGGGAAATGTGGGGGGCACGTTGGTGGAGGGATGGGGGAGAATGTTTCATTGCACAAACAAAAATCCTTGCAGTGATGGAATATTCACATAGTGCTACTTTGGATACAACCCTGTGTACTCCAATTTTTCCTGGATTTTTGTATTAATTTTCACCTCAAAATGAATCAGGAATAAAAGCTACAGATAACACGTTTACAAAATTACCAACAACTTGCCAATGCAATTCCCGAAGCAATCCTCAAAAATGTTTCTAATCTGAGTACATTTTATACCAGTGTAGAAATATTTAATTTATAATTGAAACAATGCTGAGGATTAGAAGTTCAAACTCGGTAAATCAATAGGGAAGTCCACCTTGGCAATCATTTCAACAAGATACAGGACATGCTCTGGCATAATACACAACTGCCAAGTCGGTTTTTCATGCTAAGAAAAGGGAAAAGAAGACATGGACACAATAGCAATAACCAGGCATCAAAGAAATTAAGATTTGATCTAGGATTTGAAAGGCAGATTACTTTGTAGAAGATTGGTGTTAATGTATCTCACGTTAGTGGAATGGTGAGTAACTTATTAGTCAAACCAAAACACTTCAGCAACCTCTTTCAGGTGGTCTTTATATCTTTTCCCAGTAATATGGGCCCGCTTATCTATAAACAGCTGCTCAGGGATAAACAGATCACATGTGGCTGGGAAAATGTAGAAGGGGCACATGAAATAATTAATATGCATTGATTTGCCATACATATTGCTTAGTAAGAGCTCTGAAAATCAAAAATTTTCTATCATAAGAAATAATATTTCCAGATACAGAAATATTATGCTCCATTTAGAAAAACACACTTTATGAAAACTTGTATACCCTAAGAATATGAATATTAGATATAATGACTAGTCCATTATAACTAGACATGTTTCCTCAAAAGCAGTTCCCCATACTGCATGTGGGCTGTTTGTGATATGGCATGGAGGTTAGAAGTTCCCACCAGGCCAGCAGAATTCCTTGGAATGAACCTTAAGCCGCTGTTTAGATTCTACCCAAGATAATGCCTGATGTATCAGGGATTTAAATCTTAATGCTTTCTGTTGATGGCTGCTAAATGCCACATCATCATCCTGCTTGTGACGTATGTCAGTACCTGGCAATCAAATCAGGAACCTTAAAAAACAACAAACAGAATGTTTCCTACCTAAGAAGAGAAATCTAGTGGGGAGCTCTGTTACTTGAATTACCTGTGGGGCCACTTCTGTCACTCATCATCATCCCTTGTTGACCCTGATTCTGGATATTGTACTGACTTCCAGTATGTACAGTATTACATTTTCAGGCCCTAACCCTGTCTGATACTGGTGATACTTGTAGAGTAACAATTAATAAGTTCTGGTCATTAACTGCTACACCTTTTTAAGTGGACAATGAAATAGTTTATAAAGGAACATTAAATTGTAATATTACTGAAAATATTCTCACACTGCTTCAACTTGCTTTGCTAGATGTTTTAGAGCATTGTATTTCACAACAATTTGATCTAGTTAAATGAAGAGTAAGTTACTGCGCATTATGAATTATAAGTGAGACAGTAGCACAATCTTTGTTATCCTAAAAATGCCAGACAGATTAGCATGTTGGACAGTAGATATATTTTAAATAAAATAAAAAATAAATCAATTTGACAACCCTAGAGGCAGTTCCAATATGAAGAATCAAGACTCCTCAAGAAGACCTAACTGTTAAAAACAGTGTAAGAATTTGACATAAGTTAACTTTCCAAGTAGGTAGGTGAGTGTGGGGATGACAGCATCTTTAAATACAATCTCCACATAACCCCCAACAAACCAAACAATTCAAAGAAAGGCAAGTGAAATCGTAATCTGAAAATTGGATAGGTTTCCCAAATAAGCAAAACAATGCAAAAGTTCATTCCAAGAAGATTAAACATGATTTAGCAAGTATTTGAACCAGATACATTTGTACATAAAAACTCAACTGGCCTCAAGCCTGCCATGAAATGTAAACATATTGAATTTCCTACATAATTGTTTACACTTTGATTTGGCAGTATATAGGATTAATAATTCAAAAGAATCAGAGTGCTAAATGCTGTCCTAGAACTTTTGGAAATATAACCCAATACACATTAGTCTTAGTAGTATTTGTCAAGTATTCTGTATTACTTTCAGTTAAAAAAAACACACTACCCCTTTTTTGTTGGTCTTCTCATTCACATACCTCTGATCTCTTGATTACAAGGCAACACCTTTCAATTCATTTTCTTATAGTATATCAATTGTGTGAAATAAATAACTAAATAAAAATCATATGCCTGGGTATTTTTACTCATTCCTCACCTCTAGGCTTCTAACTTCGGAGGAACCTTGACATGCCAATTACTAGTGGATGCCTGAAGATTTACATATACAACAATTTAGGAATTGCCCTGGCCCTGTAGGTTCCAACCAAGAAAGGTAGTTTAGGGTCTGCTGGAACAACAGGAGCCTCTGAAAGCTCACAACTGCAGTGTGAAAATAATGGCCATCTCTAGTTTGACACCAGTAACTTGCAGTCACAAGGCACACTACCTCACATACATTCCAAAAGCAACTATTTTGCCTAATAGCCATTAAGACATCTACCCGTCCAGTAATATGGCAACTCTTTAAAAATTTCACCTGTTATTGTTAATTATTACCCTTTGCAATAAGCAATACCATAATTATGCATACTAGGCAAATCAATAGTAATTTTTGGCCCTTCTTTGAATCAAAATTTCCCTATAATTATGCTTATTAATTGAGCCAGCATAGCATAGTAAATGGTAACTGATATTTCTGCTGTTAGAATATGTATTTCTTACCTAGTGGATTTTACTCAAGTCTCCTAAATGTTATATAATTACTCATCTCCTTACTATGTGATGGGAGGGCATTCTATAGGGTGGGTGCCACTACCGAGAAGGCCCTCTGCCTGGCTCCCTGTAGCTTTACTTCTCGCAGCCTAAACAGCAGCCTGGCTTACAACAGATCTTGACAGTGCAAAACTTGCCTATGCTTTCAGGACGTTCAGGAGGATAGTTTGGAGAACTTGAGATCCTCCTGAAAGACCTGTTCCAATCTTGGTCTTCTGCACAGGCAATGTTACTGTCAAGAAATTATGCCACCGAGGTAACAATAGGCCTAATGCTGAGTAGAAGACATATCACCGATGGAACAGTCCACCTTTAATGATTACGAGTAAGTATAGATTAATAATCAAATGTTTGAGCACCTATTGACAATCTCAAAATATACCCTTATGTATTATGGCTTAGGATCAAGGCCATATATTTCTGCTCAGTTTATGCAGTGAACACTCAAAATGAGGTACATAAGCCAGCTTTTATGGCACAGTGGCATCTAGTTCATATTGTGCCATACATTAGATTTTAAAATAAGAAACTTTCAAAGTAAGATACTGTTTGCTAACCTCACTGCTTTGATTCAGCTCGGGCCATGTTTGATTTAGTGATGGCATTGACGGTGATTTGCTTGGAGGTGCTTCTGCTGGTGAACTTGCATAACCTACCTCACCAGACTGATCCCCTGCTTCTGAAACAGGAACCACTATGGAAGTCAAGCACAATTGTGTGTTAACGTCTTAATTAGGTTTCAGTTCAAAGCTTTACTAACCATAATTTGTTCTGTGTATCAATCTCACTTATTACAGAAGCTTGCTTGTAACGCAAGGTTATCTATGCACATTACAAAATATATACACGGCAGCAGTGATAATTTAAAAATTACAGGGCTCAAGGAATGTAACAGTATTCTATTTTAAAAGGTTTTTCTAGCAACACTCTTGCAATTTAAATTAATAAGACACAGATACTGAAATAAGCTTGAAAACGGGATTTACAAACTGGAGGAAGTTCCAATCTCTCTTCTCCTACAGAGGTTGGGAGAGGTGATAGAGTCTCTATTAGTAATAGACCCTCATGGAAATTCTATTCCAAAAGGTCCCAACCTTCAAGGGCAGCCCTTGGGATATCAGCAATCATACTAAAGTCTCAGACAGGAACATTAATATAATTTTCATTAACTTATTTGTGGAATCATAGGGATTTCATATATTGCTTTTGGGTACATGAGTTTGCTAAGATCAAACACCCTCGAATCTGTTACTTATAGTTTCCAAAGAACAGAGCTGTCTGTCCTTGGCTACAAAAATATAGTTGCTAGCTTGAGACATCATACTGCAAGTTCAGTCCATTCTAACTTTTCTCACCATCTCTCACCACATTTTCAATCGCGACTCTAAAACCGTGACTCACAATACACAAAACCACCCCAAGAATAAGAAATTGCTTCCTTATTAACAGGCCTTTGTGTTGCACTCAGCTAAATTTTACTCAGTGCAGACCCACTGAAATGAATGATCATGACTAGTTTAAGTCCATTAATTTCAATGAATCTACTCTGAGTCAACCTTAAATTAGTACAATTTACACTGTAAATTTAATGTTGCCTAATGACATCCTACTTTTAACAGTAGTTTTAAAGGAACAAAACTCTACAGAAGAAAGGAAATACCTGCTGAGTCCTCCAAATCAATCAGTTTGGGCATTAAACTTTCAGGCAGTTTCTCAGGCAAGTCATAGCCATTCTTCCTAGCAACTACTAGATGGAAAGCAGCACAGAATTCATCCAGTGTTAATGCACCATCTTTATCAAAATCCGACAGCTCCCTGAAAAGGCGAGGGAAAGTATTACTTCTAAACTATGTTTCTACTGAACTTCACTTTTACTGAGAAAGCTTTAAGCTCACACCACACAGTCTGGCATTCTGCTTCTAAAACGAGGTCAATGTTCAGCAATTTCACCTTCCCACTACAGTCCACTATGCTTCCTGAATATCTGCTCCAAAAACTGGAGTACCATAGGTAATAGCATGGGTGGTAGGCACAAGGGACTAGAGGGGAAGGTGGAATTGGCAAAAATCACTTCTTCCCATTTCAGCCAATGGGAGCCTTCTGTTACAAAAAAGAAAGAGCGAGCAACATGGGATCAGAGACACTATATACAATGTTGCTGAATCAAATGTTGGCTGCTATTCTATACAAGAAAAGTTAGTTTATTGAGAGATGGGTTAAGCCTAGACTTCTTAAATGTCCTTTTAAGTAAAACATGAGGAATCATTCAAAGTATTTGAATGCAAATTTTCTGCAAAGTATCGGTTCAGCTGAGCTACCCCTTGGGAAGCTGTTAAGTGTTCACCTTCTGTTCACTGGTATATTGCCTTGCTGAAACTTATCATGATATTATTTCAGTATGGTATTCAGCGATATGGCGATTTATAGCACAGCCATATTACAAAAGGGAAGCTTTATTTCAAAATTAGGTCAGTTGAAAGTTTATTATTTGATTTAACTTCTAACTGTTCAAGCCTACACATCTACTCAGATGTAAGAAAATAAGTTCATTGATACCTCCTGCCAAGTATGCATGTATAGGATTGCAGCAAAAGTTACACTGACAGTGCAGGGGATATGTTTTAATGTAAATTATGAAAGGTAATTTAAATACTAGGCATTTCAGCTCCACAACCAAAGAACTGTGATTTGAAACAAAGGAACTTCCCCAACCTAGCTATATTTCACACTTACCAAATGTGCGAAAGTTCAAGAATAGGAAGTTTTGATTTTGTAAAAAATTCTTTAGCTGCAGAACCTGAAATATTAAAACAATGACGTTTAACTTTGATTCTAAAATTATAACTTGGAAGGATTATAAGTGTATTGCAGGGAAAAAAATATAAGTGTATTGCAGAAACACTGAAAATAGTGAGGTTCTAAAGAGATTTCTATCTTCTAATGTTAGTTTTAAAAAATATCTGGAATCATACTGTATGCAATAATATAATTGTAGCACTCATCACAAAACTATAATGGCATATAAATGGTATATAAAGTCCAAGAAAATATGAGGTTGGTGCGTAAGATTCCTTTCTATAAATCAGAGGATTCTATAAATTAGAGGATTCCTTACACTGCTTGCCTCACTGTTCCAGAGGATCTTTCGACCCACTAGAACAGATTTTGGAGGGCACATGGGAAATCAACAAAACCTGCCTCTCCCTTCCATTAGCAAGAACCAGGAATGCAACTCTGCTTATAGAATCTTAGAAATCAACCCAGTGTCTTTACTAGTAGGAAACTAAAATATGTACTCTTGTAACTTATGTGTTTAAAAGAACTCACCTGGAATATATCCATTTAGATCAGGTTGAATGGTTTTAAACTGATTTATGTAATATTGCCTTTGTTCATCTGTTATTTTCCAAGGATCATCATAACTACTTGATTGCCTACGAATTTCATTTGTTGTAGTAACTGATGCTACAGTTCGGACTGTTGTCTGGTCCTGAAAGGAAACATTTTTCTTCAGCATTATATAAATGTATCAACAGCCTACCATTTTGTATATTGACCTAAGAAAGGAAATGAAAGTTATTTATCGAAGTAGCTTTAGAAGTCTTCCAGTTTGTGCTGGTTAGGTGGGATTCTAAAGAAAGTATTTTGAAAATATACTTAAGATAGAAGTAGCAACATTCATGTAAGCAACACAAAGTTATGAAAACTATGCAAAGAATAGTTTAAAATAATTATAAGGACAAAGAAAAGCTGAAAGTTAGTTTTGCGTATGCTGGCAGGTTAACTTAAAAGGTTTGCTTGATCAAGAATCTTCAGTGACAGAGGTTATATTATGTAAAGAAGAATAGATCAGAGACTGATCTTAAACACACTCACATTTAGAGTCACGGCATGAATCTTTGGTGACAATATGAAAATGACTGACATTAATTGGAATGAAGCAAATCAAAAGAATACCAATAAAATGTCACACCTGGACAGAAGCAGGATGCATGGCTAAAATAGTACTGGTTGGTGTGTTATCAGCAAAACTGACCCAGTTTTCTTGGTGCGGTGGTGGTGAATGGCCAGACCACATGGGATCACCAGTATTACAGGAGCCTGAAAACCAAAACAGTTCAATTTCAAGACTGCCACACAGTCTATTCAAGAAAAGTCATAACCAGGAACCATGGGACAAATTCTGTGAGATCACATGATTCTAGATTCAATGCAGTGCCACATTGCAAAATGTTCCTAAAACTGAGGGATACTAATGTGAGTGGGGTGCTGTTCCTAGGAAAACAGGGGACAGAAGCAGTACCCGGAAAGCTGTCTGTGGACAAACACTGGCTCCCTCAGCCTGAAGTGAGATGAGCGCCACATCCCATAGTCGCCTTTGGCTGAACTTAACCATCCTGTGTTTGGTTTTACCTTTACCTAGGAAAACAAACAATTCCCCAGCCCAGAACAAGGTCCACGCAGGAACCTATGCATCCCTTTGGTCCCTGGTCTATAATTTAATTCTGACAATCAGGCCAAACAAGGGCTTGGTAAACTGGGAAATGAATCAGGCATAAAAGCTCCCATTACCCTTCTCACTCCCTGGTTTATGGTAACCCACTGAAGTTGCAACTTAATTAGGTAAATTAGGGCTATCACAAACCAAAGTTTATCTCCAAAGAAGGATTGGAAACCCAGTTCAAATGACTGTTTTCTTTCCACTCAGTAAACAAACTACTCCATGTGACAAACTTGTTTGCCTGATCTGAATGCAACAAACTGGCCATCACACTAGGATGAAAGAAATTTGATACAAGCATTTGAGGAATGAGCAACTGAGCAAAAGGCATGGTTCTAATGGTCAAACCATGGTGTGGCTATGACGCCCTGTTAACAGACCAATATCTACAGGATATCACAGAAAAAAATTATATAACAAATATCATATACCACTTATGCAATAAAAGACCTCTAAAGTGGATTTTCACAATTCTAGATTGGAGCTAGAACCTGACTATGGTCTGCCTCTTGTTCTGTGCTGCATTGTTGCCTGCTCCTTAATTCAGGAGGCCATTACCACACTAAAAGAGCACTGCACTTTGGAATTCTTGTGCGCTTCCCAGAAAAGGATGACAAATACTAACTGTAGTATATTGAAAAATCAGGAACTTAAATCTCTGTGTATCACAAGTGAAAGTTTAGCATTCTCATGCATATACTTAGCAGGACTATACACAGAGCACCAAAACTATTTTAATGGGGGAAAGGCTTTGAAAAGCAGAATTCTCCTAGATTAATACCTTACAGATTACTATTCTTTTGCTAGGAAAGGTCACGCTTTTCAGTGCAAAGGAAAATTAATCCCTCTTTAATAAATACGAGTCTATTTTAGTAGAGGAAGGAAAGACGTGAAGCTCCTTTCCCTCTTTAGAACCAGCACAGGAAGAATTGGAACAGTTTTTTTTATTAAATTCACAAGAGTGCTATTAATAAATCTAACAAAAGTAAATCCTGTTCTACTGAAGTTTTTCGGGGGTGAGGTAGACTGGACTATTTAATGATAACACCTTTTTGCAAATGAACTCGCTAGATTGAAGTAATTAGATTGTTTAAAGTATTTAATAAAGCTGAAGCGCTACCTCAAAGTTTGACAGTTGACCTTGTCCATTCTTTTCAAAATGGCTCTGTTTATCAATGATCTAGTCTGTAGCAAAGCAGCAACAGCTGCTAAGTGGACAAAGGAGACTTCTTCCTCAGAAAAAGCCTTTTCCCCTACTTCAAGTATGGCCTAATAGTAGTCTTCCTTATGGTCACTACTGTCCAGCTTCCCTGCCGTTGCTAACTTTTCTCTCTCTTCACCACAGCTGATCTGAAAATCTTTGACATGGCTGCCGATCAGTAGGGCCTTGGTAGTTCATGTATAAACAATATTCCCCAACACACCCACCCATACACCCATACCTGAAAAAGCTCTGGCTTCTATCTAAGTAGTATGGAAATAAAGACGGTTCAGATGGAGCAAGTGGTGAAGGAGTAGCGATGGACAAATGATGAGGTGACATGATTCACTGCCAGCTCTCAAGACAAGCAATGCCCTTTGGTTCCCTGTTAACAACTGATGCCCCAATATGCCCCAGAACTTCTATTTCCAACAAGGAACACTTTATTAGAATGCTTTATATTCTTGTTCTGGCTGCCTTAAATAGCTTTCTTTGAACTTTCTAGATTATTTGTATAACACGTAGCCAAACTGTCTAATTTGAATGTCACAAATGATAAATCACCCTAAAATGGGGAATTCAATGTTGCAATAAGGCGACTGTTCTGTCAGGGCAAGCATTGGCTTGCCAGGTAGAACAATCTCCCACTCTCCTCTGCTCTCGCTGTGTGCTGTTCCAGAGGTTCTCCTGACCCCCGTGCCAAGTCAATTTCACGGGATAAGTGAGGGAGGAGTCCTTGCACAGCGCTTGCGCCGATGGGACCCATTAGTTGAATCCTGCCCTAAGAAATCAACCCAACAATTATTCAATGCAAATTTGAACAGGAGCACAAGCAAGCTGCAGTTCTCAACTGTCTGCTACTTATGGCTTTCTTGGTACAACAAAATAGCAACTGATTACTGAAACTATATACACTTTCTGGCAGAAATAAAAACCTCGTTATCCTACAACACTCAACAACAAAAAGCTGGATTATTAAATTTGTCCATAAAGTTATCAGAGTTCAAGGTGGTCTTGCCTAAGACTTAGGCCTAATTGCAATAAAAAGTGAGGCATGCAAAGACTGGAAAACTGAGCAAAGATACTTTGGAACAGAAGAGCTGGACTCTCAAGCAGAAATCAAGAAACAATTGTGATCAAGCCTCCAAGGTTTATACTAATGTTGACAAATACGGAAGCAGTATGAGAGATATAAGTAAGACATAATTTAATGAAACATAGTACTAAGCACAGAGTTCAACCTCCTTTTTTAAAGAAATAAAATAAAATGCAGCTCTTGTGCCCATAAGCTAGACCCGACAATGTATGGGCAACATCTGCTGAAAACTCAGACACACACAATGTGACAGAATAAGCTTTTTAGGAGGCTAGATGCAAGTTTTCAATGTACTTGCCCATACCCAGGCTAGGAAAATATGGATAAAAATAATGCAAAGAGAAAATGTGCAAAAAATACACAAAATAAGACAAATTGCTTACTAATAGTACATAATTTAGGCAGGTTGCAGATTTATTTTTAGTGCAGAATGTACATGGTCTTGCTTGGTATCTGCCTACCAAAAATAGTTTTATTTGGAGGTTTGGTTTTCTTCTGGGCCTCCTCAAAGATGCTCACCTCACCACATTAGATGCTAGTCAGTTTGTGCTTCCTGGCTGTGGTGCTATATTCCCTGACATTGTCCAACATCACAAAACAGTCTAAGAAGTAGTTTTTATTGATTTGGGTTCCATTAAAAAGTCTACTGAAATACCCTTTATTTTCTAATGCTTTGAACATTTAGCTATTTTCTTTTTCAAGGTTCAGCTATTTTTGAAAACACTACATAGTGTGCTATTTTTAGTATAGCGTTTACACTCTATTTTAACATCTCTCTTACTCCTCTGGTCACTGACTAAACCAAATAGTGTTCATATAAGCACATCTAGCATGTAATATTAAGTCAAATTATCGTTAACCACAAGTGAGCAAGCAGGCGGATATACAGAGCAAAAACTGTGACTGCTTCACTCTTCCCCTGGGTCCTGCTGCTGCTAAGTCATGGGAAGTTGCGCTTAGGGCTTGTCTCCTCCAAACAGATCATGTGTGACCTACAGCATTGGATGCTATAAAAATGTGGTTAAGATTCCAACTTTAGAATGTTAGAATGTTAGCCTGAAATTGCCTTCTTCAATGAAATTCACAGTTCAAAGCTTTACAGTGGTGCCCCGCAAGACGAATGCCTCGGAAGACGAAAAACTCGCAAGACGAAAGGGTTTTGCGGTTTTTGAGGTGCTCGTAAGACGAATTTCTCTATGGGCTTGCTTCGCAAGACGGAACGTCTTGCGAGTTTGTTTCCTTTTGAAGCGGGAACTGGGCTGGCAGGGAGCGAGCAGGGGAGCGACCTACCTTTTCCAGAGGGATCCTCTTCTGGAGAGGGCACAGAGGAGGCAGGTGAGCTGGGATCCAGCGGATCTGGCTGGGTCTCCGTGCCGCCTCTGCCTCTCTCTCTCTCTCCCCCTCCCCACATGGCTGCTCCATTTTGCTCTAACTGCGCGAAGGCAGGAGGAGGCGGGACAAAGGAGGAGGAGGAGGAGGCATCCACTGTGCTTGGGCGGCCGCGAAGGCGCCTTTGCGGGGGTGGGAAGAAGCCGGGAGCAGCTGCCGAGACTGTGGGGAGCCCGGCGGCGTGGCGCAAGGTAACGGGGGGAGCAACGGAGAGTCCGCGCTTCGTGCGTCCGCCCTCGGTTCCTGGGCTCAAACTTCCTTTGGCACCTCATGGAGAGAGAGGGAGAGGAGCGGGCTGGGGCTTTGATGTGGGACGCGGTTTGGCGGAGCGAAGACGCGGCAAGGCTTGGCGACAGAGGAAGGGGGGCTGTTTTCATGGGGAGGTGGGAGGGGTGTCTTTGCCTCTTCCCGGCAACAGATCCTCCAGGCTGGGGAAACTCCTCCTGCTGGGGAGCGACCCGCTTTGTGCTTTGCCCGCTATCCCATTATAATACAGTACCAGGGTGCATCCGTGCTTCGCAAGATGAAAAAATCCGCAAGACGAAGAAACTCGCAGAACGGATTAATTTCGTCTTGCGAGGCACCACTGTAAAGTGAAGCGTCATTAAACAGAATACGCATTCTATTTTATGTTCTTCTTGTTGTTGCCTGAAATATTCTAAAAAGCCTTTGCAACTTTTTACTACTGAATTTCCTTATCACAATAAAATGTTTGGGCCTCCTCTAGTGCGCAAGTGACCAGAAAGAAAACAGTCTTGTGTGAGGCTGAAATACTTAAGGTGTCTCCCTCAAAAGCAAACAAAAACAGATCAAAAGATATCGCAGGGCCAGATGCATTCTCACAAAGATAAATCTTATGGAAATTAAGAGTTTTCAAAAAACAGGATTGTACCAATGATTCCTTAGAATTAGTACCAAAATAAAGGATGGGATGTTGTACTGGGGCAAGATGGTAGGTAAAAGGCAAGAGTGCACATTCCTAGTTGACTTTTTACTAGGGTGAAAGGAAGCTGCTCTCGTCACTGATCAGGACATACTGAGGTGGGCCAGAGGAATACTTTTGTCTCCCTGATTCAAGTCTGTACCTCCTTAGAGTGGCTTGCCTCATACATGGGGTGCTACTAGGCTATATTAAGAAATCCACAATCTCAGGCGACACTTGAAGTGTAACACAAGACATTTATATATACCTGCTTGTGCTTCACTAAAGGGAGCCCAAAAAGGCCCTGGTCGCTCATTATTTCCTCCGCTGGGATGGCGGCTGTGCTTCCTCCATGTGTGTGGAGAGGTTGGTGGAGATTGCTGCGGTGAAACAACGGGAGATGTGGACTCCTAATAAAACAAAGGAAGTTTAAAAAATGTTATACTATGTACCTAAAACAATATTCTAAAAACCACTTTCTTTAAGAACAAATTCTTTATTAAGAACAGGTGGGATTTTAGTACTAACAAAAAGATCAAGGGCAAGGCAAATAATAAAACTTAGTGGGCACGTTAAAACTTGTCATGCATTCAAATGAATCTTGAAAATAAATAGGGACAGCATGAATACCCAGTTCTTGTAATTTTGCCATATTAGGTTTTGCCACTTATTTTTACTTATGGTATGTTATCAGAACCCAGTTGTATCATTCACTGGTCTCACTTTCCGCTTGTTATATCATCTCCAAAAGTGAAACCATTTCATTATTTCTAAAGCTTCTATTACTAGGAAACAAATAAAAGATTTAGAAAGACAGGCCTTACTTGCAGACTTTGGATGCCATGGTAAATTGTTAGTCAATACAGTGGTACCTCTGGATATGAACGGGATCTGTTCCGGAGCCCCGTTCACATCCTGAAGCGAATGCAGGTCACGATTCGCTGCTTCTGCACATGCGTGAGATGTCATTTTTACTGTCTGCGCATGCGCGAGCGGCGAAACTGTCACTGCGGAGCGCAACCTGAAAAGGCTCAACCTGAAGCAACTTCAACTCGAGGTACGAGTGTACCTACCCATGATTGCCACCAAACAAAAATGCTACTGGTAAAATATAGTACTGGTTATAAAAATGATCATGAAGATTGTAACAAAATAACATCTCGCTCTCCAAATAAGAGTACCTAGACAGAATTACATGCAAGTGTCTGGAAAAAAAATGACAGGATAAAGGGATGAATCCAAAGAAGGCCACTCTTGCAAGGATGTTTCTTATCCCCTACATGGGGATGCCTTTGAAGATGACTTGGAAACTTCAATTGGTCCATAATGCAGTGGCCGGACTGGCTTATCCTAGCCTTTTTCTAAAATATGGGTGCGTCATGTAAAGAAAAAAAGATGTACAAAGACCTAAAGCACTAACCAAGATCTCTCAAGGAGCTTTAGTTGTAACTTAACTGCAATAGTATGAAGCAATATAGTGTAATTTCAATTAAATAAATAATAATAAAAAAGAAATACACTCAAACTAGTGGGCTTGTGAAATCAGCTTGCAGCCAAAATTGTAAGACTAGTTTGACAACACAATCTGTAGCAGAAAAATTTAGTTTTTGACCTACATGCAAAGTTACAAGGTAGAATAAGTAATTCTATTCTGTTTGGCACCAGGGATGGAATTCAACATAGCACTAAATGGGGTACACACGTGGGGAATGAGGTTCATTTGTACAATGGGGCTTCTGCCTCCCTCTGCACACACCCTAAATCTGTTCTGGAGGTTCTTTCCCTAAGCTTTCAGAGCCAGATTTATAAAACAAATAAATCACTGCTAAAATAAAGCACTGCCCTTTGTATTTTAACATAATTACAGAACCACAATATAAAAACCATTAAGGATACTTAAAAACATTAGTCAGTCTTTATATTTCATTACCTGCTGATCTGTCGTTGGACGTTGCTGGACGACATCATGGCTCACAGAGCCTTTTTTAACTTGTATTCTACCTGGTGGGGGAGGAATCGCACCTGAATAGGAGGATGGGTTATCAGGATCTGAAGAATACAACGATGAATGCCTCAGTTCCTGCTCATTCTTTGACATGACAAATCTGGGCAGGGGGAGGTCCTTGACTGTTAAAACAACACCACACATGATTATTATAAGACACTTAAGTTACAAAATGTTTTGATTCCCCATTAAAATATTATTTTCTTGAAAGTTGCTATCAAGATTGTTGCAAGCTGGACCAGTTCCTGCTACAGCCAATGTCTGTTCTATGCAGGCACTGGCTTTGGCAGGAGCTGCTCCATCACACAGTGATGAAGAAACAGGTGCTTATTCTGCTGGAGCGATCTTTAAAGGGTTGGAAAATGCTTTCCTGCATTTCCAAGCCTCCCTGCCCATCCTTTCAAGCTCTGATTGCATGGCAGGCTTTGTAAGTGGCAAAGGGTTTTGACAGGTGGGCAGGGTAACCCACCTGCCAATCATGTGACAACATAACAATGTTGTGTGATTGACAGGTAGCTTGCCACACCCATTTGTCAAAGTTGGCCTATGGGGTGGGGCCAGCTAAAGGCTTGGTCCCTGAAAACAAAAAGATTACCCATCCCTGTATTAACCATATAAAACCAATAGAGTATTCAAATAATTCAAAATTGCAATCAAGATTGTGACAATTCAGTTGAAGAAAGAATTCTCGCCAGAACAGGAATTTAACAGCTCAAACTTTGAAGCCAACTTGAATTTTTCACCTTAGTGACTACAGATGGACAATAGCATGTTAAGTATTTCATAGACAGATATTTTTCAACACCCACAGGAACCTTTTATATTTCTCTTTAATTCACCTCTCCCCAAGCAATGAGAGCATACAACCTGAAGCTGCCCCCCCCCAAAAAAAACTTGTTTTATGTGATCAACAGGACCATGGCAATGCTGACAGCTTGTTTTCACTTAAAACATTTTATCTTAAAAGTTGTGGAGAAAGTTCTGAAAAGCAAGTGTCAGTTAGAAATTACTGAAATGGGAAGTAAATAAAAGTTATGTACTGCTCTGAATTGCATCTCATCTTATATATGTCAAGCTCCAAACCACTTGAAGTTCTATGGGTCAAATGCACTAAGAGGTTCAAGGTGGGCAACTTCTCTAAGAGAAGGCAGCAGTTTTCAGCACCTGCTTCTACTAATATGTGGTACCTCAACATCAAATACTATAATAACTTAATTGTGAGGTAACCAAGAGAGGAACGCCAACTCTGTTTGACAAGCAGAAGACTTACATCTCTAAACAACAGATACAGAGTTGTAAAAGCATACTATTCCTCATGCGGAGGATTTTAAAAAGATCATTCTAAGCAAAGAAAAGAGCTTGTTTATGCTAACTGGGGTTTTTTAAAAAAACTTATTAGAATAGCAGACCTTCTTGCCATCTTCTCAAGTTTCAAAAGCAGTTAGCTACTCAGACTTAAGTCCTGTTGTTGAGGAAACACAAATGCCCCTTGGTAAACGCTACCTATCACAAAGCTCTTTGTTCTGGTAAATAGCCACATTTTTTACACCAATAAAAAAGAGTGTGTTATGAGTGCTAACCTGGGTATTACCCAGTTCATTTTTTTTGTCCCAACAGATACAAAAAATGAGTATAAAGGCCGTCAGCCATCATTACTTTATTTCTGCCTCAGTTCCTTTATCTCATTTTTACCTTTACACATGACATAAAGACACTAAGTTAACACAGTCTGCAGACTGGATCAAGTGAAAATAATAGGCAGACCTAAGTAGCCGAAATTTCTGATGACATCCATCTCAGAGCTTCTCATTTCTAACTTTCAATCAGAAGTCTAAACCTCCTAGAATATAACCATAGGTTTAAAACCTAACTATTATTTGAAGGAAAGCATATAGTCTGACATTTAAAGTACAAAATTGTCAATGATTGGGACATTGGTGTTTTTTCCACTTTGGGAATATTATTTTTTTATCCTTAGAGTAGAGCTGCTTGCAACGGCATTAAAAACAGTCATGCAAGAAAAGTTCTTATTAGAGGAAACTTCCTTTAAAGGAAGAGATGTATAAGAAAACATCAGAGGAATCATGTCAGTGGTATATGCTGGTAGAGGAGTATCAGACAAGAGCCATATTTTAATAACCTAGTCAATTATATTTCAATACTTATTTGAAGGCTTACCAGAATTCAAGCTTTCCATTCGCAGTGGAAACCCAGACTGAGCCACTGCAACTAGTTTCAAAGCAATGTAGAATTGGCTTCTTCCAAAGTATCCAAGTCTTGTAGCACCACAAAGTTCCATGATCTAGAGAAAACCGAAACATCCAGCAAAATGAATATAATAAATTTGGTGAAGTAGAAACATTAGTTCACTGTACTCTATATATGCTTGCCAATAAATACTATGCTATAATATCATAAATGCAGTAGTTTTCTATTAAACTATGGTAGGAAAAAAATGTTCTCATTCTCCTGCAGTGATTCACTTCAATTTCACTGGTCTCATTCTCAATACCTTCACTATGTTTGCTATAATGGCAAATAATTTTGGTTGATCTCTCTCTTGCCCACTATAACAAATACCAGTTCCCTTATTAAACATCTGATGTACTGTATTATTGCATTTTAATCGCAATCTGTGGCCAATATTTAAATTAAACTGAACACCTAGCTTTTCATGTCCTTGTTCACATATTCCTCTTAAATCTTGTTTTTCCCCCTTCCTGACACTATCCCGAAACCAATATGAATATTTGTTTCAGTCAGCAACCCATAACTGCTCCTCAGAACAAATTTATCTTACTGCTCTACCCAATTGTAATCAAAGTATGACTTGTGCAAAGTTCAACTCCTAAGAATCAATTCTGCTTTTATTTTTTAAAAAATGTGGGGGAGGAAGAGTTATTTTTTATTTACAATGTTAAGTGTGTCTGTATGTAGCATAATGATGTTTGCTAGGGACAAATGTAGCTTGATGCGGCTCTTAAAAAGTCAGCATCAACTCAAATTAGTTATATACTGTAGAGTGTTCTCAGTGCTGAGCTGCCCCACTGGAATATTGAAATGAAAGGGTCATAAGGCATACAAAATGTTGCCAACAAATCATAGTGAATTAAATTAGGCTGTACGCACAACTCAAGCAGCCCTTCACTGCTAGAGATGAAGGAGCAAATCAGGGACTGCTTAAGCTGTCTGCACCAGCATGCAACTCATAGTTTGCTGGCATCATTATATGTGACTGTAGCCATTGTCTGTTTAATATAAACATAACTAACAAAACCCCTGCTATGGAAGGTACAAAAAAGTTAAATTTAATGCAATATGACAGAAAAATGGTGTCCCAGACACAATGTTAGAAGACTGATTTTTTTTAAAAAAAACCACACGTTAAAAATGCCACCCAATTACCATTTGTTGTACCTACATAACATGCCACAGTGTAAATGGGAAGATGTATTTTTGACAACACGCACAATAAAATACACGCACATGTATTTTATTACATTGTCACATACACAAACTATAGTTTATACTTCAAAACTTACACTTCACAAAGCTATTGTGTGCAACAGTAACCATGCAAATTAGTTAAGTGTATGCTGTGGCCTGAATTAAAGGATTTTTTGAGACTGTCATGGGTCTGTGTACCACACACACTCTCTAGAACTGAAATAGCATTAGGATCCTAGAAGTTCCACAACCATAACTGTACCTCTGAATACTGCCTTCTCTACCAACCATAGAGCAGTAAATTAAAATACAGTCTACCTTGGCTCCCGAACGCCTTGGCTCCTGAACAAATCGGATCCTGAATGATCAAATTCCAGAAGTGAGTGTTCTGGTGTATGAATGATTTTTGGAAGCCGAACATCTGGCATGGCTTCCTATTGGCTGCAGGAGCTTCCTGCAGCCAATCGGAAGACACACTTTGGTTTCCGAACATTTTGGAAGGACTTCCGGAACGGATTCCATTCGACTTCCAAGGTATGACTGTAAACCTACAACTAATTTTATTCTACTACTAGCACTAGCACCTATATCAATCTTTATTGATGCTATGAGCAAGTGTACTTGTATAATAACACTGGAAGGACATATGTAGGATCTGGTTTTATTGGATTTGACAGGAGAAACAACCAAGAATGAGCAACCAACCAGTCACAACTTTCCCCAATATTTGCTGACTGAAAGCTGCACTGTGAGAGCAGATTTTGGAAGGCTATTTGGGTGTGTGTGTGTGCCTTCTTCTGCAGATGGATACATTCTATCAATACACTACCAACTAGATACCTCCCATAGTTTTCTACAAACACAATGAGCATGTTGTTCTGTGAAAGGTATTACAGTACATTCCCCTGTTATTTTGACAGCCTTAGCAATATCCCAGCAGGACACAGATAAAGCATGACAGGTGCCATCTATGGTGTCCATTAGGGCTGGGCAATATTTGGTTTTTAATATTGCAATATATCATCAGCTAACATTGTGATATACCAATATATCACGATATCTGAAATAAGATGGAGCTACGTAGAGGCGAACATGGTTATGTCCTGGCAACTGCTACTAAGTTACAGGTCTAAATCACCACATACTGATGAAACCATCGCTTTCATCAGCAGGCAAGCCAAAATGCATCCAAACAAGACTTTGGTTTTGAGCTTGGATGCCAAATGGTGGTATTCAAGTCCAGGCCAATCCAAAATACAGTGGTGAGTCACAGACAATACAAATATGAGAAAACAACAACAAAAATAAATTTGATATATATAATTATATGAAAATTAACTCAATGATGGCATGCTTCAACTAAACCATGAAATATTTCTGGAGAATATATTAATGTTCTATGCAGTTTTAGGGGCAAATTTAAAATTTACAAAAGTAGTAGGTTTAGTAAAAATATTAATTAAACTTGCATATGATTAACAATTTAATCTGTTTTCTACTAATTTAAGAGTAATTTATGTAATATACTAATGTCAAGTTGCATTTCCTCCACTCAGAGGGCCAACTGCAAGTTTATGCATGAGTAAGCAAGCCCCACTCAGTTCAACTAAACCTACTTCTACTTTCCTGGGAATAAGCCCCACTGAATTCAGTAGGGCTTACTTCTGAGTAGACAGGCATTTGCTTGCACTGCTTAATGACAAGCACCCATCACTCTCACCTCACAACAACCACCCAATCTCCCATTTCAGCATAAGGCAGCAACTGTTAAATCTTCCCCCCTTTATTTCTCCCTATTATGACACAGAAGCCGGCCCCCCAAAATGCCCCATCCCACCAACCTCTCCCTTTTTATCAAAAGGAAGGAGGACAGGCAGGAGAGAGAGAAGCGATCCCCCCCCCACACATATACACAGGCAGAAGGGAAGACTGGAGTAAAGAAAAAAGAGTTAAATAACAAGACAATATTTTTTGTTCTTATGCTGAAGAAAATAACCCCCGTTTTTTCTTTCATGGGGGTAGGGAAGGGGCAAAGGGGAAAGGGAGCTCCCAGTAAGAAGCCCTGAGCCATCTCAGACCAACATCTCTGTAAAGCACACCTACCAGCCTGACAAGCTGGCTACTAGCCTACTTTAAGCAAGCAGAAGCTAATGGCCAGTCTTTTAAGTTTCTGCTGCTGGCTGGCTGCTGCTTTCCCAGCTACGTTCGTAACATAGTGGTACCTTGGGTTACAGACACTTCAGGTTACAGACTCCACTAACCCAGAAATGGTACCTCGGGTTAAGAACTCTGCTTCAAGATAAGAACAGAAATCACACGGCGGCAGCGCAAGGCCCCATTATCTAAAGTGGTGCTTCAGGTTAAGAACAGTTTCAGGTTAAGAACGGACCTTCAGAACGAATTAAGTTCTTAACCCGAGGTACCACTGTAGTCACCTGCTTTTGCAGAGGCAGCGGAAAGAAACATAGTGACTGCTACAGATGCTCTTGTGAGTTGCTGAAGGAGGCAGCGGAAGCACTAAGAAGCCCTGGCTGCCTACACGGTTTTCTCAAAATTGCAATGTTTGCCAGATAACATTTTATGAAACTGTTATCGTTATGTGGACTTCATAACCGATTCTGAATGATATATTGAAAAATTGCCCAGGTCTAGTGTCCATTAGTTATGGTAATCCTAGTTCCTTTAAGGGAATAAACTTTGAGACAACTTGGTTTTCCACATTCTGGATTTTGTTTTGTAGGTGTGTTAAGCATGCATGCTAACAGCCATCCTCTATAATGCAAATGTTTTCTAGACTTTTAAAAAAATTCTTAATTGAGTCGCTTGAATTAGTATAATGCTTGAACTATTGCTTACAATAGCAGATAACCCACATACATTTACATATGGATCAACGTTCCAGTTCAATGAATAGCAGCTAAACATGACCCACCTTTAAAAACAAAACAAACTTGCTGCACCAGATGTACCTGCATTCCACCTTTCTACAAGTAACATAGTTTTCTAAAAATACTGTCAAAGATAAGCTGGTTCAAAAGTTAAAAATTAAGGAAGAGCTTGCTTACTGAACTTACTGAAATTCAGAACTTATTTGTACTCATTTAAAAATACGTAGTATTTGGTATTTCTTTTCTAGTTATTTACAATTCACTGTTACATGTCAAGGAATTGCAGACACAACCAGCTCTTGCGCTCTATGGGAATGTGCTCAACTGCCTGATCAAAGCCCAGAGTAGCAGCGTAAGTAGGTTTTTAATCCCCTCTCCTTTGGCCCGATCCAGCAGGATTCCGCTTATTTTCTTAACTTCCTTACCTACCATCTTCCTACAACTCCTGTTGAAACAGAATCATGGCCGAAGTTTTCCTAGATTATCTTATTCTTATGCTGCTTTGCAGAGGTTTTTGAATGTTTTATGTAGTTTTGTAGTAGTTTTATGTAGTTTTTATGTAGTTTTATGTAGTTTTTCAATTTCATTGTTCTGCATGGGACAATGACAATAAAGATATCGTATATCGTATTGTCTCTCAGCTTAACTTGATTTACATTTTTACTGATAACGGGCTTCCTCCTTTGAAGCTTGATCCTGACAGATAACTGAACATTTTGTTTATTTATTTAACAACATTTTAAAATCACTTAACATTTAAAATAGCTTAACCAACAACAAAAATACAAACAATGGAACAAACACCTGCATTTAACAGCAAAATGTAAAACAGCATTTGCTATTCAGAGAAAAATATAAAGAAATACAGATAGACTAAAGTTATCAGCCAGTTAGGTTAGGACACGAATCCTCACAGTTAGAGTCACTAAGGCAGCACTTGGGCCTGCTAAAATTGGCGGGGCAGTTGGATATTAGCTGTTTAATTTGTTATTCTACTCAGATGAGCTTCACAACAAACACCAGACTGCAGAGAGGCTGAACCAGAATGTCTTGACTTAAAACTAGTACAACTGCTGATGCAATCCTGTTGCCGGGCACACAAATCATCCTATGATGTTCCACTTCTGTTTCCTATAAGACAAGGTTATTACCCTCCACACACTTTTAAGGGTCACTGCACATATGACCTTTTACAACAGGTTTTAAGCTGCATATACACTGTGTGAAATTGATGGCAGTGTAAGTTTTGCTGTAAATGCACAGCTCTAATACAAGAATGTTCATATATGTGTATACATTGCAAAGTAGTTACTTTTTTGTACACATGGTTAAACTGATAGGATGTTTCTAGCATTCCATGTTAGCTATTCCTTGTCTTATTTTTTTTAAACCAGAGAAAGGAGAGATACAGGGATACTTGGTCAGATACTGGAAACCAAGTTTAATCTGACATAGAGACCTTAAAGTCGCCAGTTTTGCCAAGGCTGCAATCCTATGTACACATGCTTTGAAATAAGACCTATTTATGTCAGTGGAATTTTCTTTCTAGTAAATATGCTTAGGATTGTGTTGTAAGATGTACAGCATGGAGTTACATCCTCTACGGACCCATGAATTTCTTTTTATGTCTATCCAGACCAAGATTCTCTAATGTTCGAGTAGTGCATCACAGAAATATTAACTTTTAAGGCTCCATAGAGCAGTGTGGCAGCTGGGAGCACTGGGTGAACAGTTTTATCATTATCAGGAAACATAGGAGATGGTGTTAGCAGTATGATCTAAAGTAGTTATTCTAGTAAAACCTCTCCATAGACCATGTTGACAATTGTCATTTCAAGACACTGACAAATGAAAGCTTATAAAGAACAGTGATGAACATGCCAAGTGGGTGCTGCTAGTTTTAATAATATAAAGATTTTTAATTCCACCTCCAGCATATTGTTTTTAGCCAGACAGCAAAGCACTTAATGCTCCTAATGAACGTGAAGTGCTTTATACGAAGATTATACACAAGTGTACTCATTTTGCAGACTATAGTAGTTGTGGGTCTCATTCAACTGTAACTAAAGACTGACTCCCTTTGGACATAGCATCTGTGTCCAGAGACAAACAGGCAATAGTTTGCCAGATAAGCTATCTATTAGATGAACTCCAATTACGTCAGGCTTCAAGGCCTTCTCCATATTTTACAAGCTGGAGCACTACAAACATGATAGCTTCTCTGTATGTGCTTTTGCCAACAGCTTTGTAATACACAGGGCAGACTTAACGATACTCAAACAATGTGACACAGCCATTACTTCCCAGCTAGAACTCAGTATTCCTCATGAGAACCCTGCCGCTACATGCGCACATTTTAAATCTATACTTTTAAAGAACTTTACTAAATGTCTGTTAACATGTGTATTGCAAATTAATGACAAACTGAAACATTTGAGAGGGGCCAGTGTCTCAGAATAACCTGCTTGTTGCAATTTAGTGTCTAATATTAGCATGGTAACCAAGTCACACATTTCTGTGTCTGGACACTTATGTAAGTCATGGACTACCCCAATAACTTATATTATGATTCTTATTATTTATTTCCTACATCATCCTTTTTTTTAAGGAGCTCGAGTTGGTGTACATGGCTTTCCCTTCCACATTTTATCCTAACAACTGTGTGAGATAGGTTAGGCTGAAAGAAAGTGGCTGGCCCAAGGTCACCCTGTGAGCTTCAGGGCCAAGTGGGGTTTCGAACCCTGGGCTCATAGGCCATAGTCCAACCCTCTAACCATGAAACCACAGCGGCTATTGCAACTGAGCACTCTGGTCCAAGTCATTAAAGTGAATCAGTCACATAAGTGAAAATAAGAAGCAGCTATAGTTCAGCATGCACCACACAGTTCTTTGGGCCATCAGGGAAGCTCCTAGAAAACAGGAAACAGAACTGCTGCACTAAACTTAATTTCACAACAGCAAAGTGTCAAGGCTCTGCAATTCAGAGAACTGATATAACAAAATTAGTGTTGTCCAAATTGGGCAGTACAGTAATAATATTAAATTGACCTAGTAGCACATGTACGTAAAAGCAAATTTCCATACTTTCTTCAGGCCAGGGTCACTTCAATACTTCCTCCCAAGATATACAAACAAGGTTGTTTCCTGTGCAGTCCCCAAACTACCTAGAATTGTAGAGCTGGAAGGGACCACAAGGGCCATCTAGTCCACCCACTGCAGTGCAGGAATCTAAATTCCCCAAGAACAAACCAAGCAGCAATCACATACCTTGCACTTTTCAAGTTTTACCAATCATTTTCCCTGTTGCTATTTTAAAATATGGGATATATATATATATATATACACACACATATGTATACGCGCACGTGTGTGTGTGTGTGTGTGTGTGTATATATATATATATATATATACACACACACACACACACACACCCCCCATTGACAAAACCCTCTTGGACACACTGTGTTATGTACATAACTATGCTATGCGTTGTAATAAGTGAAATAAGGAATACTCCAAGGGGAACATCCCCTGCATCCGGGGGTGCCAGAGTCTATCTAAGCCCCCACCACACCACGTTTTTCTGCATGCCCCTTGTTTTTTTAAAAAAACATTCCCTCGTATTCCGCCATAGCCAATACCCTCAGCTCAACCCATCGCGGGGCAGGAAATGCTCCGCAGCCACCCCCGAGTAGGGGGCCCAAGGTGGGCGTGTGAACGTGGGAAGGGTGGGGAAGGAGCGTGTCGGGGGTGTGGGGGGAGCTGGGCACGTACCTCGTTCTCCACCCCCACCCACCCCCTTCGCCGCCCCCTTGAGTGCGGAGCCTGCTGCCCCTGGGATCGAGGGGGTCTCGGGAGGGAGAGGCGGCAACGGCGGCGCGTTTACCTGCAGGACCACCTCGCTGGGCAGCTGCGCGGCGCGGAAGAGCTCGAGGACCCTCCCGTTGGACGCCACTTTCTTGGTGCTCTCGGTGTCGCAGTACGAGAAGAGGTCGCAGTAGTAGCGCTGCTCGGTCTCGCTCAGCGTCAGACCCTCCATCTTACGCCAGCCCGGCCCGGCCCCGGCCCTGCCCCGGGAATCGATCCTGCCACTGGGCGGGGCGGAGGGACGGACGACGGACGGCAGGGGAAACGAACGGACGGACGCGGGGCCGCGCTCGCACGCGCGGGAGCCACCGCTGGCGGCGGCGGCGGCTCCGTGAGGAAACGGCCGTGAGGGGGAGGGGTCGGGAGGGGGGCGGAAGGAAAGAGAGGGGGGCGCGTGCGCTCTCTCTCTCTCGCTTGCGCGCGCGCCGCCTCAGCTGTTGCTTGTTGATCTCGCGGAGCCTTCCTTAAAGGAGTTGGGGAGGGCAAGGCGGAGGAAGCGCCGCGACACCAGGGGGAAGGGGGCGTGGCGTTCGAAAGGGAGGAAGAAGAAGAAGAGAAGGGGTGTGTGCGCGCGCATGTATGTGTGTGAGAGGGACTCCCGATAAAAAAAGTTTTACGGACGTCTCTCCTTGGACGTAGCCACGCCCTCTCGGCCTGGCGGAACTCGCGCGCAACTACGGCCCCGACTTAACTCTGTTCCTGCAAAAAAAAAAAAGAAGGGGGGGAGGAAACGCCTCCAGAAGCCGCCCGTGGGACCCGGATGCGAAAATAGGCTGATGCGCGTAGTGTGTCACGCATGGTTCCCCCCCAGCTTGCTGATAAATCTGCTCCTGCGTTTCTCTCCCCGCCCTCCACCTGGCGGTGTGGAGGGACAACTGCAGCCTCTTTCCACTTTCCCTAGCACCGATAGGGGCCGGTGGTTTTTTTTTACCGCCGCGCCGTTTGAAAAGCGGAAGCAGCGCGGGAGCCCTGGTGATATTTGAAGAGAAGAGCAAAGTGCGGGAGTGTAGCTTATTTGCAAGTCTGCGACCCGCGCATTCTTTGAACATATAAAGTGTGGAGGAAATTCCTGCCCCTTGTGAATTTGTCCCCAGCGAACTCAAATTCCCGCCCCCTCCCTTTAAATTCTGCTTGACCCTGGTTCACATTTGGGAAAAACAAAACGCAAATTCGTTTCTGTTTGTTTTCTCTGGATTGTCACTTAGGAGTTGCCTTTCATGAATTCCACTGCAGTGAACTCAAAATCCCCATTGCCGCCCTTTTAATACTAGTTGGCTCCTATTTACATTTGGGGAAACAACATGCAGATTTAGAAGCTACTGTATTATTGTTCTTGTCTAGACCATGGGTAGGCAAACTAAGGCCTGGGGGCCAGATCCAGCCCAATCGCCTTCTAAATCCAGCCCGAAGGTGGTCTGGGAATCAGCATGTTTTTACATTTGTAGAATGTGTCCTTTTATTTAAAATTCATCTATGGGTTATTTGTGGGGCCTGCCTGGTGTTTTTACAGGAGTAGAATGTGTGCTTTTATTTAAAATGCATCTCTGGGTTATTTGTGGGGCATAGGAATTCGTTCACCCCCCCCAAAAAATATAGTCCAGCCCCCCACAAGGTCTGAGGGACGGTGGACTGGCCCCCTGCTGAAAAAGTTTGCTGACCCCTGGTCTAGACCCATGTGCAAAGCCAGGGTTTATGTTGGGGGGCCAGAACCTCAGTTAATTATTTTTATTGATTTACTTGATTTAGGGGGGCACCTGCCCCTCTGGTCCCCCTTGGCTACACCCATGTCTAGACCCTATCATTTAGGATTTGTGCTCCTGTTTTAAGCAAAACCTCCACCCATATAACCCATTGTCAATAACGTACATAGGTGGAAGCCCTTTTGGAGTCTTGTGAAATATTTTCCTCCAGCCATTTATTGCAGCCAAAGTGTAAATATTGCATTGGGTTGTGGGAGAAACGTTCTTGTTGACTTCTAACTATTGTTTTCTGAAAAATGCACTGCAAACTTCCTTCACAGTGAGGTTTGATGTGTGTGAGAGAAACTCAAAACTGTTAGCCATACTGTGTAGCTTCATTTAGTTAGACACTGTTACAGTGTTTCTCCCTGTTTATTTCTTTTTAACATAAACTTCTGACAGCACAATCATATACATATTTCCTTGGAAGTAAGTTCTGTGGTGTTCAGTGAGGCTTCCTCCTAGGTAAGCGTGTACAGGAATGCAGCTTCAGACTACTAAAAGCTACATCTCTTTCTACAAGGCAAATTTATTTATTAAATTTATATCCTGCCTTTCCTCCCAAGGGAGTCCAGCTGCTATATTCCAGGCAGCCATTATATTGTCCAGACATTATATTGTTCCAGAAGTTTGAACAAACCAACTTACCACAACCTATGATCAAGGCTTTATAACTATGAAGCCTCTGCACTTTGATGGCATGAGGACATGGAAGAACGAAGGAGGGGGCATATGCTTCCTTAAAACATATACAGTCATACCTCGAGTTATATTTGCTTCACATAGGGGTTTTTTCAGGTTATGAACATGGCAAACCCAGTCTGCGTGCTTCGTGCATGCGCAGGAGCGCTCTATCGTGTCATGCACACGTGCAGAAGTGACACTCTACTTATGGACTTTTCAGGGTGCGATGAGCACCCTGGAACGGATCGCGTCCGTAAGTAGAGGCACCACTGTATCTTCAAGCAGCAGATTGGCAGTAAAATGCATATGGATATTCATTGCCTATTTTTCTTACAAATTAAACTGAGCAAAGATATTAGATGTGTTTGGGGGTGATATCTGCCTTTTGGGCTGGCAATTTGCCAGTCTTGTTAAAAGGGATCACAGCATTTCATCTCTTTTACTGTCCTGATCTAATCCTACAGAATGTAGAAATAAAGAATTAGAAAAGGCCATTGCTTACTATGCTGCAGTACAAAGAGCTCTGCAAAAGAACATAGGAAGCTGCCTTATACTAAGTCTGAGTAAGTAAACAGAGAAAGCTATCTAAACACGGAAATAGAGTCACCCCCACCACTATGCTCCATTCCCCAAATGCAATGGTAATATATAATATAAACTTAAAAATGATGACTCACACTTCAGGCACCAAAGATCCTTCACTGGTCAAATTGAAAAGGAAGGAAGGAAGGAAGGAAGGAAGACACTTTGATCACCTTTTGGATGGGCATTCAGCCACACATGGCTTTTTCCGAAACTGAGTAGGCTGCTTTGCCTGTCATGCTCAGAATAAGGCAAAGCAGGTGAGATAAAAATGAGAGAGGATTTTGGACTGCGGAAGATGCTGAATTCTAGTTAGTTAGGCTCGGTGTTTTTAGAGCCAATCTATGTGTCAAGAATAATCACATGACAGAGACTTTTGTGGACCCTATCACTCCTCCAACCTGCATGCTTGAATGTTAGGAGAAGAAACTATGATAGTGTAAATCCTTCACTTGGACATGTACAGTGGTACCTCAGGTTAAGGACTCAATTTGTTCTGGAGGTCCGTTCTTAACCTGAAACTGTTCTTACCCTGAGGTACCACTTTAGCTAATGGGGCCTCCTGCTGCCGCTGCGCGATTTCTGTTCTCATCCTGAAGCAAAGTTCTTAACCTGATGTACTATTTCTGGGTTAGCGGAGTCTGTAACCCAAGGTACCACTGTATGTTTCTCTGTAGACTGAAAGCTGTTAAGAGTCAGCCCAAAGGCCTCCCTCCACTTCTCCCTAATCCTAAATGTACTATTTTGGCCAAACAGAAGATGAGGGAAACTGGCTAAGAACTTTTAAGTAATATGATGAAGAATGAGCTACAGAAAACACACTTCCAATGCAGTCCTAGGGATGTCTAATCAGTAGTCCTGGGATCACTGGGGCTTAGGTGGCAATGCCATACCCTCTTCCTTGGGAGTAAGTCTAATTGAACTCAATGGAGCTTACTTCTGAGTTGACTTACATAGGAGTTCATGGTTAGTGTCAACTGCATTTAGAATTTAAGTGGGCTATAACTGTCAGTTTGCATTTCTTAGTACAGAAAGTATTGATCTGATGTGTAGAGATATTTCCTGTTCTGCAGCCCTGTTTAGGGAAGCTTTTAATGTTTGATGGATTACTGTATTTTAATATTTTGTTGGAAGCCGCCCAAAGTGGCTGGGGAAGCCCAGCCAGATGGGCGGGGTATAAATTATTATTATTACTATTATTATTATTATTATTAATTCAAGAGGGTTTTGGAAGCTTCTCTGTGTGACAGAAAGTTCATGATGTTGGGTTATTGTTTGGGTTATATTGTTTCAGCTGGTTTAAACTGGTTCTCTTATCTCTTTCTGTCAAGGTCATGCTGACTATAAAAATATGGCTAGAAGAAGCCTGGGTTTCACGTTCTCTTTCTGTCTATCTGTTCTAGTGTGGTGTGGTGTTCTGTATGCTATGGTGTTAAGGTTTAGTCTCTTTATAAGTTATTAAGGTTAAGTCTGCTGCAACTGGATTTCTTATGGACCGTGCCAATCCTGAATGTATTGGATCTGTGATCATTATGCTCATTTGCCTACAGTAGCAGTACTCTGCTGGATGAAGTACAATTGCCTCTGGTCTATTTTTGGGAACTCTGCAATGTGTTTAAGTTTTTTCCTCCTCTGGATGACAATAACTTGCTCGTTTTTCCCTTCAAATAATTCAAAGATTATCTACAGAAATATTGTAAAATTAATGAATGTTAGAATGATGTTGAAGTGGAATACAAAAAAGGGAGGTATGAGGAGGTCCAGGAAATAAGTCAAAGGAAAATAAGTAATGGAAAATCTGTGTGTTTTTAACTATTTTTATTTTGTATTTTTGTTATTTTTTTTTCATTTTTATTGTAATATTTTAAAAAATCTTAATAAATATCTTATATATAAAAAAAAAGACAATAACTTGCTCGTTGCCACAGGAAGGTCCGGCAACTGATAAGTCATAGCTGAACCTGGGAATAGCCTTTTGAAAAGTATTGTAGCTGAGACAATATCAAAAGTCTGCCTGAGTTAATTTGTTGCCTTTCTACTAAGGCACCTAAGATGTTGTGAGTTTGGGGGATTCCATTGTTGATGAAACCAGACAGATTTCTTGGTGAGGTAATGACCCTAAGTATTGGTCATTGGTATAAGAAAGGAATTTGCAAGTGGGAGGGACCTCTCCCTTACCTGACTGATAGTGAGAAAGACAAAAACCAAATTGTGTGTGAGCTAGAGCTGGGTTAAAAGCAGGCTACTGGCAGAATCCAGCAAGTGACAGCCATGCTTGATTTCTGCTTGAATCCAAGGCTGTGACTACAGGAGAAGCAAGACCTTCTAGGTTGTTAATGCTGTGAGCCCCTCCACCACAGGCTCAGGTTTCATATACAGTGGTACCTCAGGTTACATACGCTTCAGGTTACATACTCCGCTAGCCCAGAAACAGTGCTTCAGGTTAAGAACTTTGCTTCAGGTTGAGAACAGAAATTGTGCTCCGGTGGCGGGGCAGCAGCAGCAGGAGGCCCCATTAGCTAAAGTGGTGCTTCAGGTTAAGAACAGTTTCAGGTTAAGTACGGACCTCTAGAACGAATTAAGTACTTAACCCGAGGTACCACTGTATGTGTAAATAAATCATATATCAGAAAGACACCACAGTCTCTGCTGTCCTTCATTCCAAGGAAACCAAACCCTTGGAATCCCACACTGCTCAGAGATTGGGGTGGCATGCATCACTACTTTAAAATATCATACCGTAATTACAATTTAAACTTTTAGAATAAACAAATAGTACAAAATATTCTCAGGCCAACTTCAAGAGCTGGTGGCACAGGCTTCCTGGTCTGGCCTTCCACACTTCTACCTTCTCTCAGAGCACACAGTAACTTCTGAAGTCGCTGGACATAGGAGCCAACTCCTGGGGCCCAAGGGGTCTTCACCTTCCATAAAATATTGGATGGGGCCGGGTCCCCTCCCCAAAGTTGATGGGCATTGCCATTCAAATAGTGTGTGCACACCACATCATGTGATCAGTTATGCAGGGTGGGGCCTACCTATCCCCCCAATATTTTATTCAAGTTGGAACCCCTGCCCTGGGAAAGTGGGAGGGGGGTACTCCACCAGGCTGTTGATGATTTTTTGGATCTATAAAGTTCTTTATTTGTACATGCAAACCATTGACTGATGCTGCCGTAGCATATAATGAACATACAGGTGCAAACCAGCCATTATCTCAAGTGTGGAGAACCTTTGCCAACCCCCCCCCTCCCATGTTGCTAAACTACAGCTCCCATCATCCCTGGCCACTGACCATGCTTACTGGGGTTAACACAGTTGTAGTTCAGTAACATCTGCAGGATCGATGTTTCCCCACCTTACCTAAAGTAGGTCTACACATCACTTGTGAAAACTCCATAAACCCTTTCCCCAGGAGAACTCTGCAGAAGTGAATCCTGTACCAAAGCCCATTATAGAAGCAGAGTGGGCAGAGGCAAACCATGACACGGTTTCTGTGCGCTGAACAGTTGTGTAGAAGCAGCTTTTCTGCTGAAATCCCCTCTTTTACATTGGGCAGAAGGTAGATCTGGATCAACTAGTAGATCTCTATGTGACTCCCACCAGTTTAACGATGGCAGCAACAAGATGAGTTCCCCCTGCCTTACACTATATAGAGAAAATATATATATTCTCTCTCTATATAGGTTAAGCAGGAGTGGAAGGACTGTGGACTTAGTTCAGTTCTGGTATTCAAAATGAATTCCTGGGCTTACAATTCTTTAAATTCTTATGAATCAGGTTGGGGCATCTCCAGGTTCTGGCGGGGCCAAAACAGATCCCGCAGGTATGGAGTCTGCCCACGCAACACTAACAACAGAGGACAGGTCTTCTGTACCTGTTTCTCCCCCCCCCCCCCACCTTCTCTCTCCCTCTCCCAAGAGAGCTTCTGTTCCTTTCTGTGGGCGGCACCTACCCTATTCTCGTGCCCTTTTTTTTTTTTTGGCAGCAGCTTCCCTCCTTCTGACACTCCCTCCGAGAGCCACACTTCCTCCTGTACTTTGCTTCCGAAGGCGGCTCCTTTCTAACCATTCAAAGAAACCGGAGAAGGAATCCTGCGCAGGGGAATCTGATCAAGGTGAGCGTGGAGATGAGGGCGCACCACGAGGGTGGGCAACCGGTGGTGGGCGGCGGCGGCGGCATGGAGGGGCTCGGTGGTTGGCCAGCCTACTCAGAGCTGGGGCTCATGGATGAATGCATGCAGCCATTAAGTAAAACCTGCGTTTTTGGCGCTGAGATCCAAGCCGGTGGCGATTTTGGGGAGCCCGGGGATCTCCCGCCCCGGCCCTGCTTAGGAAGGAGGCGGCGTGTCAACCTGCAGTACTTCCGCACCGGGGTCCCCCACGTGACCTGCTGCACGCGGTTGGGGACTGAAAGGAAGAAGCCGCCGGTGCGCGTCACGTATTATGTTTTATTTTAAGAAAAAGGGGTGGGGAAGGGGTCTGAAGACTCCTTCCCCCCTTTTCTTAAATTAAATAAAAATATATCAGGATTTTGCTACTGCTAAGGGTTTGTGATGGGCTCTCAGCTCGGAAGGGCGCGCTGGTTTCATATGGAATCAGGGCTGATCTTCTCCCTAGTAAAATAAAACAAAAAATCAACATGCTTTGCGGGACTTAATGCTCGGCATAATGGCAGCACCAGGGTGGCATTCCTAAGCAAGCTTATTTTGGGTGGGCGGAGTGGGGCCGGCTTCCAAGCAAAAAAGCCTGGGGTCGGGGCTGCAAGGCTCGCTCCCGGGGCGGCACGTGCGCCGGCGTCCGCTTTCCTCCAATCGGCGCCTGCGAGTTGTTTCCACGCCAACAGTTCCCACTTCCCCGTGTCCGCCCCGCCTCCGTCTCCTCATTGAGTCTCCAGCACAGGTTTCCTCACGGAAGAGCTGGCGCGGCGCGCCTTCTGGGTTTGCTGCTGCTGCTCTTGGAAGCAAATGACGAAGAAAGCAGCGTGTGACCTGTGGGGTGGGGGACGCGCACAGGCAAAGAGCTGTTTTGCCGAGGTAGCCTGGGAAAGGAGGGTTTGTGGAAGCCCAGGGAAGCAGCAGCAGCAGCAGCAGCAGCAGCGAGGAAGGCTCCCTTGGCGTGATCTGAACCCAGAGGCAACATTGCCAAATTAGGTTGTGCAAAGCATCAGGAAGGAAGTTACTCAGCGGCTGGTTTACAGAGCGCTGAACCCACACGAAAGGAATTTGTGGTCCTAAACACAACCAACCCATTTCCTGCCTCTCTTGCACTCCTAGGACCAGCATCCTAAGTCAACTCCCCCACTAACATTTAGCTGTTGCAGGGGTGAGGAATCTCCACTTTTTCCAGATAGCATGGCCACTGGTCAGGGGTGATAGGAGTTGCAATTATACAGCCTCCTGATCTATTGGGATCCAACTCCATGCCTTAGCATTCTGTGAAAATTTGCAGATAAATATATCCTTTCAACACCTCGGGATAATGTGTGAACAGAAACATATTCAAGGAGACATTGGCCACTTCCCGCCACATTTATGCTATTTCAAGTATTCCAGTCTTCAGCTGGGAATATACTTGTTCCAAGTTGTTATTGCATTTCATGTAATTGTGGAAGCAGGATCATGACAGGGATACATGTGTGTGTAGCGGCTACAGTCATTTACTCACTTGCTGGGAAGTAAGTCTCATTGAACTCAATTGCTCTTCTGAGTAGACATGTTTAGGATTCTACTTCTTAACTGAAAATATGGCAGTTTCTTAGCCATCATGGTTATAGCAAACAGACAGGAAATTAAGAGACAGTCTGCTAAAGTCTCTGTCCTGCTTCTAATACGTTCTGTGTTCAGTGTTAAAGTGATAAGGTGAATGTCTCTATTGAAACATCATCTGGGGGTAGTAATAGTTTGTGGACTGATTCTTGAAGAAGAACTTGCATGTCTGTCAACTCCTGTTCAAGGGTTTAGTTCTGGACATTCTGTGGGAGATATCCAACTAATTTGTCCCATCAGCACAAGGATTTCTGCTGGCACAATGAAACTCAATCCCCCAGCCCCTAAATCTGTTTTGGGATTTCCCCCAGCTCTCCAGTACAGATTTTGGATGGGTGTGGGGTATGTGGGCAGGAGAGAAGACAGAGGGAAAGTTCTGTTGTGTAAGCAGAAATCCTTGTGCTGACATGACATGTTAGGGCGGTATCCAGATATGCGGTTCATATACAGAAACAATAATTTTATCCAGTAAAAATGGCATTGGTTGGCAATTTTGCTTCAGCGAGTCAGTATCATTGGAGTACAACACAGCACATTTTGAAGAGGTGGTGATGTTACAGCATACGTTGTCAGGATGCTGTGGTCTGCGACCACCTGCCTATCTATGATAAAATCATGTTTTTGGTGTTTGGCCGTTTTACTCTTCCACTTTTCTTTCAGAGGAACTGTGAAACCACTTCGTGTGCAATGTTTCTTTTTAAAATGTACACCTAATGAGACAAATATGTATGGAAACACTTATATTCCACAAGTATACAAATCAGAGAGACAGCATTGACTGCAGTTCTCTGCTGAATGTACGCTCAGTGGCAAATCCTAGTTTACTGCTGTGTAATGTGTGGCATAATCCTCATGGCACGCTACCAGCTTACACAATTCCACCATCAACTGTAACTTCATTGTTTTTGGAAAAACAACAACTTCTCTTTTCCTACCAGAGGAACAAAAAAGATAAAACTAATGGCTGGCCTCCACATGTTCACTTTGCATTGCTTCATGTGACTGCCGTTACTATATAATGAAACACTTGTGTTCAGGGCTTACTACACAGATTGGGTCATTTCTTTAACGCAGAGCAAATTATCATCAAATTTTGATGTGGTAGCATGATAAGCACTGCCTGATTCACATGGTAAACTCCTCTAGTGCTGTTTTATGTGCTGTGTGGAGCATGTTAAAGTGACAGTAATGTGTCAGCAGCAACGCTTAAACTTTTTCTCAGCCTATGGGCAGATATTCTGTTACAGTATTACAGATATTCTGTTCTATGTAGTACAACCTGTTGCACTTTGGGTGCCACACATTCATGTTCACACACACATGCCCTTTCTGAAAGCATATGGAATACAATCCTTTAATTAGCCATGCTGGAATTAAATATGGCACTTCTCTCCAATTTAGACCAGAGCTGAAGGAATAAACCACCTGTGGTGTCAAAATTAACAATGCTTATTCCAATAACCTGAGCACAAAATGCACATGGACCATAAACTATCTAGAACCAGTAATCAGAGAAGACTGTGCCAGTTTTTCCTTTTGTTTTGTTGAGGAAAGTAGTGATTTAAATCCTGCGGGTTGTATCCAGCTCAAGTCATACTCCAAGCAGACCTACTGATATTAATGGATTTAAGTGAATTAATAGTGGCCAATTAAAAAAAATAAAATGTAAAAAGATGGTGAATCACAGAATCATAGCATTGGAAGGGACCCTGAGGATCAACTACTCCAGGCTTCCTGAACCTCGGCCCTCCAGATGTTTTGAGACTACAATTCCCATCATCCCTGACCACTGGTCCTGCTAGCTAGGGATCATGGGAGTTGTAGGCCAAAAACATTGAGGCAGCCTGAACTAGTCCAACCCCCTGCAATGCAGGAATATGCAGCTGTAATTGAGGCTGTGCATGAGACTGGGATCGAGGGAAGCATGGCTGCCGCATCCCCACACTGCCCTCTCCAAGAAGCCTTGCAAGGCTCGGATCCACAGAGGGTGGCACGAAGAGGGCACAGCAGCCATGCCACTCAGCACTGGTGTTGCTCCAGTGGCGGTAGGGGCTGAGCGGGCACAGTGGACTCTGTTTGTGGGCACACACACCCATGCACACATGCACCCTCGTGGCATGGAGACACTCTCCGCCGCTGGCACGGAGCCCACAATAATCCACCATGTGGAAGTGTGGCGTGATCAAGAAAAGAAAGAAAACTGAATGGAACAAGTTGTAACTCATTAAATAATTCATTTGTAGGCAACAATGAACATTGAACATGAAATCGGCCTTTTAGTTGAAGAGATTCGGAGACTGGGGACCAAAAGTAAGTACCTGGAACTTAAGTGGTTAAGAAAGAAAGAAAGACGGTAATGGTTTAGGCATCCACCTCACTCTCAAACCGTGGGAGACTGGATGCACATCAGTCAAGATTTCTGCACTTAACTTTCTGAGAACAACTCAAATGCGATAGGATATGGTTACAAAATTTGTTCCAGTCTGGAGAATTCTCTTTAGCACCTCTGTTTTGAGGTTCACCTATGACTTACATACTGTAGGAAGTGTCTTCAGAACTCCCATTTCCAGTTAATGTTTGTCCAGTTGCCATTTTCTTGGCTAGCTATGCTAACAAGAGGAGCAGAGTATGTGTGTTTGGCTTTCACTGGCAAAGGCAGCTCTGCTCTGCATTGGCTTCTGTGCTACCTAAATGTGGAGTATACAGTGAGGGGAAAAAGTATTTGATCCCCTGCTAAATTTGCCCGTTTGCCCTCTGACGAAGAAATGACCAGTCCATAATTTTAATGGTAGGTTTATTGTAGCTGTGAGAGACAGAATAACAACAGGAAAACCCCCGAAACCCAGAAGAGAAAAGTCCTTCAACTTTGACTGATGATATACACCAGGCACCCTCAACCTTCGGCCCTCCAGATGTTTTGGACTACAATTCCCATCATCCCGGACCTCATCAGGAGGCTGGCCTGACTATTCCAATAATTAGAAGTCTTGATTGGATTTTAACACTTGCTGTATCCTTAGAAAGGTCTCTGCATGTAGTCTAACATCCCAAAGTCATCAAAGTATTTTTCAGATCTGCTTTTAAATGAAAACTGTTCACAAGGCACTTTACAGCAATTCCAAAAACCTAAGTAAAAGCAGTTCATACAAAGCACAAAAAAAACCAGGACAACTAAAATAATAAGACCAAAAGTGTAAAATCATGTATGAAAATCATGTAAAAGACAATTAATTAATGCCCGATGAAATAAAAATATTGTCTATAATCACAATGTAATTATTTCTTTTGTCTAGATCCTGATGGGACACTGAGCGTGAAGTTTGGTGTGCTCTTTGCTGATGACAAATGTGCCAACCTTTTTGAAGCTTTGGTGGGGACTCTTAAAGCTGCAAAACGAAGGAAGATTGTTAGTTACCCTGGAGAGCTGCTTCTGCAAGGTGTTCATGACAATGTTGACATTTTGTTACTGCAGGAATAGCATAGCTTTCTACGTTCATTATTTTTTCAGACAAATGAATATACAGAATTCTCAGACCAAGGCCAAGTTTGCATGAACGTGTATTTTGTTATATATCTTTATAATGAAAATGAATGTACTTCTTTGGGGACCTAAGCCTTTCCTTTCCCTTCTATCATTTTGTGAATGCATTACTGCAAATGAGTGTTGGATAAAATGATATAATGATCTCCCTTTTTCTTTTGTCTCAGGTATTGCATTTTTAAACTGTCCAAATGGTTATTAATGTTTGAACAGGAGATTTTACAAATAATTTAGCTGTGTTTACTAGCTAAAGGCACGAATTCTCAGTGGCCATGCTTATGTTGGTTTCTTTTTTTGTTTTGCTTTTATTTTTTTATCTTTGTAACTAGGGTAGCCACTAAGATATTGTCGTCGTCCCCCCCCCCCCCAGGACACAGATGTGTATGAGCAAGTAAATAAATAAAGCTGCAGATTTAGAAATAATTACTGTAATTTAAGTAGAAATACAATACCTCTCACCATAGTGGGGAGTGAAGACTGCTCAGTCTGTTATCTAGGTGCTAAGCCCTGAAGGGCAACTTCAGGGCACTTCCTGTTCTTAATTTTTAATGGTCCTTTATCTTGAAGCCAGGCTTGGACAAGGCAACCCTTCAAATGGAGGAGGCCTTCAAACCAGCATCAATTACTCTAGGCAAAACAAAGTAATAGAACAGGAGGACAGACACACACAAAGAAGCTCGAAAAAGTCTGTATTTAATAGACTCTTCCCATGTGACATTTGAGAGGCACAACACAATAGTCTTATGTGATGTATCTCTCTGGCCTGTAGTACTTCAGAGGGGTTGTGCAAGGGATAGAAAATGTCTTAGAGGCCCGATAAACAAGATAACTGCACAACGCTTTCATTTTGAATGACCGCTGTGTAGGACGGTTATTAGAGAGCCTGATTCCTCTATAGAACTTGATGGTGCTGCCCGTCTGGGAAAATGGGCAACTCACGCCTGTTTTCCCCCAGGGAAATTGAGTGGACTCCTATAGGCTGCAGGCTGCTGGAGGTCCAGCTCTTGGTCCGTTTGAGAACACCAGTGAGTGTATAAGGGAGAAAGGGCTCCCTCTTTCTAACTTGAAGCCTCTGTGGAGATTGTAGTTTCTTAAGGGTGCTTGGAATTGTTGATCTGTGAGGGATATGCTATGTGATTCTTGGGGAGGGTGTGTGTGCTTTAAATGTGCTTTGAATGATGGGAGGAAGCATCTCATGAAAGAAGAAAGTGTTGTACTGGAGAATCAGCCAAAACAAAACAAAACAAAACAAAACAAAACTGTTCTACAAGCACATTCCATGATCTTCCACTTCTCTGCTCAGGATAACTGAACTGTTCTTCAAACGTGTGTCATTTGTTCAGAGAACTAATATGACATTTCTGTCCCAATAAACATTCAGGGGGAAATATCCAATAGCTTTAAGGAAGTGGCAGTACAATAACCACCCATATTTTGCTACTTACTTTCTAAGTCTGTGGTGAACTTCTCTCCATAGTTCAGTCATGAACTTGAAATGCACTGATGAGTCTGTTGGTTTTGCACTTTCTTTCTCTACTGAATCAGTGGCAAAGTGGTCTTCTGTGAAAGCTTCCCAACAGTCCTGAAAGCCCCAGCTAAAATAGTAAAAATAAAATAAAAAATACAAACATGATAGTTATTTTTTCCATCCTTTCTCTGTGTAAATAATTTCGCTTTGACTCGAGAGACTTTACTTTGTATGTTTGCACCAGCAGAATTTGGTTCAATAAAAGTTTCAACTTTCCCCCTGCTCTACGATAAATATTTTCAAGTCTACAAATCTCAGCAGTATTCATGTATTTCTTTCAGTACTGGAAGACACTTGAGCACAGGAACCTTGTTCTGTTTTATATAGATCCTCCTCTCCTATTCTACACACATATTAACAGCCTCAGGGCTGATTCACACATGCAGTTGAAATGCCGTTTCCTTCCTTTGAGGAATATTGTCTCTCCATGTTAGGTAACGTGAGTGGAGCAGCTGGAAAAATGAGGGGGAGAGAAATGGAGCTACCAAGGGTGGCAGGTAGAGGGAAGAAAGAGGGCTGCTTCCAGGAGTCAGGGGAGATAGAGCGTATGGAAGTGTCAGAGACAGGGAGGGGCTGGGGCACCAGAGTGAAAGCTGAATCTGGTAAAACATTCACATAAAAATACAGTACATTTTTTTAAAGTGTCGCCCTCCAATTAAATAACCAGTCACATGAGTTTTCATTAACTGAACTGTAAAAACCACAGATCTGGTATGTTACAACACTGGGATGGCGGGGTGGGGGGGAAAGGATCCCTGGTGTGGCTCGTCGTAGTTGTTATTACAAGAAATTCCCTCAAAACCCTAATCTGATCATAGGCTACCTCTATGGCCTACATGTTTCCTCTGATTTGTTGGTGCTTTTGTTGCCATCCTGTGTAAGAATAATGAAGGTCCATGAGGATCTGTGCCTTGGGTCAGTGTTTTTTGTGGTGCTTCCAGCCCCAGATCTGTACTGTGCATACATGCCCATAGGTGGGAGTGAGATCTCAAGTCTGGAACGCAAGAAAGGCTAGACCTGTGGCTGGCAGGAACTTGAGCTGGTCACTGGGAGCTAGCAAGTACTCCAAATAGCAGATCTACACCATACTGTTGAATACAACCCCAGTCTCTGAGAAGTACAAGAATCCAGGGATTCTAGGCATTTACTGGTACAGTGGTGCCCCGCAAGACGAATGCCTCGCAAGACGGAAAACTCGCTAGACGAAAGGGTTTTTTGTTTTTTGAGCTGCTTCGCAAGACGAATTTCCCTATGGGCTTGCTTCGCAAGACGAAAACGTCTTGCAAGTTTGTTTCCTTTTTCTTAACACCGTTAATACAGTTGCGACTTGACTTCGAGGAGCAACTCATAGAACGCAGTGTACATAGTAGCCTTTTTTGAGGTTTTTAAAGACTTTGGTGATTTTTGAAGCTTTTCCAAAACTTCTTTTGCAGCCATTTGATAAGTTAAGCTTTTAAAACTTTTGGGGGGGGGGTTGGATTTTGGGTTGGGGTGTTTGGAATTCAAGGACTTGGTGTTGGGGAGGGGTTTGCAATAATCTGGAAGCTTGTGTGTTTTTTTCTGCATTTTTATGATTTTCTGTGACCATTGGGCCACTCTGCTGTTTTTTTAAAAAAAATCTGGATTCGAATTTCTGTGTGCTGGGTGGCTGGGGGAACAGTTGGGGAGGGGTTTGCAAGAATCTGGAAGCTTGGTTTTTTTTCTGCATTTTTATGATTTTCTGTAACCATTGGGCAACTCTGCTGTTTTTTTTAAAAAATTATGGGTTTGAATTTTGAAATGCTCTTTACAGTATGTGTGACTTTAAAGAGCACTTAATAAACTCTTGTTGTACCAAATTTGGCTTTGTTTGGACTTTTTTTGACCATAGGAACACATTAATTGATTTTCAATGCATTCCTATGGGATTTCGTGCTTCGCAAGACGAAAAATTCGCTAGACGAAAAAATTCACGGAACGAATTAATTTCGTCTTGCGAGGCACCACTGTATATACTTTACTCAGGGTTTGCGTTTCTTTTGGAAATGAGGCACAGCAGAGACTGTGGTGTCTTTAGGATATATGGTTTATTTATGCATATATAGTATATATAATATATACAAACTGAGCCTACGATGCAGGCGTTCACAGCATTAACACCCCAAGGGGGCCTTGCTTCCCCCACAGCCACAGCCTTGGATTCAAACATTAATCAAACATTGCTCTATCTCTCTCTTGCTTCCCTTTCTTGCTTTCTGCTTTGCTTCTAGCTCACATCACTCCAATTCTCTGCTCCCAACTCTGCCCTTGTCCTTCCAACTACCTGCAAATTGAGGGAGGGGAGCCACACCCATTTGCTGTCTCACACAGACCTTTGTTGCCCTTTATTTTGTTCCCCTTTGTTCACTCAGGCTATCAACTCACCAGGAAGTTAGCCTGGCTAGTCCAATAATGAGAAGGGGGCCCAGGCATTCAACCTAATCCCCCCCAAACTCATAACAATACATTTAAAGCACATCCAGTGCACACTTCAAGCCCATGGCTTCCCCCAAAGCATCCTGGGAACTGTAGTTTCCCACCCACAGAGCTACAATTCTCAGCACCCACAACAAACTACAGCTTCCAGGAGTCTTTGAGGGAAGTCATGGGTGTCAAACGTGTGTTGGATGTGCTTTAAACGTTAGGTGTGGATCTGCCCTGAGTTTCATCTGAGCTGTTACAGACTTTCAAAGGCTCCATCTCTTTGCTGAGAAAGAGAAATAAGAAGATAAGGAGAAAGGGAAAGGTGCATGGTGGTAAGGATGACATGAGCCGGGTAACAAGGATATGTATGTCCTATGATTAGCAGTTTTAATCAGCTATTGCCTTCTGGCTTTAATAAACATGTGCAATGGAAGTGGAACACACAGACAATGTTCCAGCCTTGAGAAGCAGGCAGAAAGTATAGATACTGTGAAGGTGTAATTGCAGGGGTGGGGAAGGCTATGGTGTTAGTCATGTGTTTGTCAGAGTTGCTCTAAAGAAGCCTTCATAAATTCAAGTTCCCTACTCCATAAATAAACAATAACTTGACTTCAAATCTTGTTGAGCTGAACCTCGCTAGTAGAAAACCCGCGGGAGCAAATAAGAAGAACTGCCAGAAAGCAAGGAGCTATCGGTGCGCATGTAGGGTAAATCAATTGCAGTCCCTTGAGAGGCCTTTAGTTGTCTGAAACATCTTGTTTTAGCTGGTATATGCAATGTTTGTTCCCCCATCCCTGTGTTCTCTTATTGTTTCACTGCTAGCAGTCTTGTGGGTTGGCAGGTAGTCCCTGGAGAACATAAATGCAATGAAATTACTGAAGGAAGTAGGCACAGTGGAGACTTGGGGTGTTTTCACACATGAGGCTAAAGCCGTGCTTGTTTCAATCGATTCAAGCCTCAGCTAAGATGTGAAAAATGCTCTTGGAGGTCTGCTGAAATCTGTTTGGAAAAATTCCGAGCACAGGAAATGTGGTTAATACAATCTATCTGGAAAATTTCTGAGCACAGGAAAGATTTTGTGTGTTTTAAAATAGTGGTTAACGAATAACCCCCTACATTCTAAAATGCTGCTTTGAAACCAGCCAAGAGCATTTATTCTGCCTGCCTCCCTCATTTTTGGCTAGAAAAGCCCCCCTGTCAGTGCTGGGGATGATTCAAATGGAACAAAATTTACCTGCCTTAATCAAAGACTTCATGAAATATGCCTTTTACTTTATTTCAGCAGGGATTATAGGTAAACGTTTCTCATTTAAGAAATTTAATTTTAAGTGATTTTTTTCTTTGTATCTCTTGTGTAACCACATTGTACATGGTTTAGAAACTATGGTGTTAAATGGTATATACTTGGTTGAAATAAGTAAGTAAGTAAGTAAATAAATAAATAAATAAATAAATAAATAAAACAAATAAACCAGATGGTGCTGCTGCTGTAATGTCCTGTGCTCTGTAGTCTCTGCTTACATTTCCTGAATGGTGCTGTTTCACAGTTGACAATCCCAGGAAGTGTTTTATCTGGCCTTTTCACAGTTAGCTTCCAAGAATGTTGATTTCCATTGTATTCACCTTATACTGTTTTGCCCATTCTTCTGCCAAACCAAGAATCCCTTCAGTTATTTCTGTCATATTTCAGGGACACACAAGTCATTACACAAACAAACATACAGCCTCAACCCACATTTCTTTATATATTATGTTGTTGTTGTTGTTAATGCAGGAGTAGGATGCTCTTCCAGGGTAACATTCGCAAGCAAGCAAGCAGTATGGCCACTGAACCCCTTCCATGCCTGTCCATTCTTGGGCCACAAACAAGGATTTTTTTCAGCCAGAACTCACAGGAACTCAGTTCCGGCATCTTTCAGGTGGGTGCCACGGCCATTATAAAAGAATAAGGGAGGCATTCATGGTGAGTTCTGGCACCTCTTTTTCTAGAAAAATAGCACTGGCCACAAACCACCTCCCCACCCCCACAGCTAATGAGCTTGGCTCAGTTTCTTCCCTGTAAATGTGCCCCAGCCTTTGCATGACATCATGAGAAGAGACAAAGGGACCCCTTGTTTCCTTCTGTCAGGAATTGCTGAATTTGTGTGCGCTCCTTGGTGTGGTGAACTGCCAAACAGCAGGTGGCAGCTTGTTGGAGAAATACCTGCAGGTTATGGTCTGACTCTGCCCACCCAGGCTGGCCAAATGGATCATCCTGGGCAGGCAGGAAGTAGTATAAAGTGCTTCCTGTTCCAAGTTGAGCCGTGCTTGAGCCATGTGGTCTTCCTGAGCTTTGGTGTATCCCTGACTTCTGGTTTGCTCTTTGATTCTGCCTCTTGGTTTGCCTGTTGGTTCTGACTTACTCGTCATTCCTGATTCCTGGCTCAACCCATGGCTCCTAGTTTGCCTCATACTGCTACCCACATCCCAGCCCTGATACCTTCATAGAATCTAGTTCTTCCCTCAGTGGTATATGAACAGGAGCAGCTGGCAGGGAATGGCGACACCATGGACCTGTCCTCTGAGCAGCAGCATTGCTGCCGCAGACCAAGATGGTGCAGGGACGTGGCAGGGCGCTGGTGAGGTTGGGACAGTTCGGGTACAGCAGTGGAAATTCTGGATTGGCTTGTTGTTGCCCTGCTCTGCTCCTACACTGTCCTGATACGCAGCAGTGACACCACCATCGGGGTGCTAGATCTATAGCACCGCCCTTCCCCGCTACACAAGTCTGCACAATATGTGACACACCAACTATGTATTGTGACATGACAGGTGCTCTAAATTTCCTTGTGGTGCCAGTTTTGGGTGGGCAGAATAAATATCGAGCTCCTAGTAGGCGACTCTACATGACTGCTGAGAAGCATTTTTGGGAGAGGTATGTATCTCCAAAATCTCATCCAGCAATGTCACCTGAAAAAATGTGCGAGCTTTCTCTATTGCTGTTTTGTTAACAAGGGATGCACAGTCTGGTGTTATAGAAAGCAGAAATAAACAGCCACATTACGGAATGTTAAAAACAATCACTCTCTTGGAATTCAGAGGCTTATATTTCCTTCCACAGCAGGAAGGAAGTAAACTAAATTTTCAGGGACGCATACAATAAATATGGGAATTCCTCTTGAGAATATATTAGCCAAAATTAGACCAGAGGGGGGGGAAAGGTTTTATCCCTTTCATCATCATTATTAACTGTAGTGACTAATATAATATAATTCTATGTTGTACAAGGTGTGTTTTTAATAGGCAGCTTTTAATTGGGAGTATGTCTAATAAACAGAAAGGAGGACATTTTAAGATCTGAAATTGATGTATGCAAGGACAAATATAATTACATTTTTATTTCTTATTTTGTTTACACTTAATATTTAATGTTTTTCCAGAAGAAAACTTTACATTTTGGAATAGTATTGTTCCTTCATGCAGGCCTGGATAGGATAGGATAGGATAGGATAGGATAGGAGTTGTTGTTGTTGTTGTTGTTGTTGTTGTTGTTGTTGTTGTTGTTGTAAGAGCATATGCCCTGGACAGCAGGTTAGGGGTGGTCTTTACTGCACTTTAATCATTACTGACACTGTGCCAGGGAATGGGGAAAAAAAGCCTTTTGATAAGAGAGGCCAAACTAGCTATGACCGTTCAATTTAGTTATGACCCATTCATCTAATTTATAGACTGAGTGGGTGACTGTGGGACACCTGTTAAAGACCAGCTCCTCCACAATCTGTGTTAAATGTTCAGCCCTGAAATGTGTGATGTCAATATAAAAATAGTGCCTTTGAGCATGTGCAGAATTCCTCTTTCTTGCTGCTGAGGTAGCTGGGTTGGTTGATGGGAAAGAGATGAGCCTTCAAATCAGTAAGTCTTGACTTTGCTTTTCATCTTTTTTTTTTTATTTAAGCATTGGAGAGGCTTGTCTTTAAAAATGACTAGCCTGGAACCTTTCTTTCCCCTGCCTTCCACCAAGGAGAGACTACAGAGCACACACCAAAGTATATTTTTTTAAAAACAAAAAACAAGTTTATTTGATTGCTGAGGTTTACAGGACACAGATGTTGCAGAACTTTCATATACATTGCAGGATGACAGATCAAAATGTGAAAGGAGATACAAAGGCAACTTTACCACTGGATGGAAGTTTTCACAAAATCGTTCCTTGCTGGTTTGATTAGGGTGAGACTTACTCCAAATGGCTAAGCAGGTGGCTCGGTTCTCCAGTTGTTTTTCAACACAGCCCACTCGCGCCAGCCTGCAAATGGCAAAACTATCTTTAAGGTAATCATCTTTATTTACTCCTCAGCCCTTGAACTGAATTGACCAGGTTCAGTAGGATTCTTTCATGTCTTTCTCCTTCGAAACATTTTTGCAACTTGTCAAGGATCATTTTGTTCATGTGTGTGTTCATCCTCAAAGTCCCCGTTCTTTTCCATTATCCCTGACATGGCTAACTTGCTGCTGCTTGGATGGTGGGGGTGGGGGGTGTGAGTGGGAGAGGAGGAGTTGGGAACAAACAACCTGCTATTGATATATTTTACAGATTATAAATATTCTGATAAATAGAAAGACTATAGACCCTTGGTGTTCACAAAGAGAGGTGGTGTGTGTGTGTGTGTGTGTGTGTGTGTGTGTGTGTGTGTGTTGGCAGTGAAGACTTTTGCCCCCTATGGCAATTTTTTTTTTTACACATCCCATTCTTGGGAATTGAAATCTAACATTTAGAGGACCACCCGTTAGCCATTCCCTGCTGTGAGTGTCTACTCAGATGTAAGCCCTGGCGAGTTTAGTGAAAGAAAAGCCTGCTTCAAAGGATTAGTGCTTCCACATCTCTAGAAAGATAAGATTTGTACAAGCCCTAACAGTGGATATACAGCTGAAGTAGATTCATAGGATCAGGGACGCAAGGATTTATTTTAAACTCAATTATTGTATGCTCGCAATAATGCAAGTCTCTGCCACTGCATACACACAGTAAAAAACGGGCCTCTATCTTCTAGATCTCTTCCCTGGTCTTCTAATATGGAAATATGTCAAAAATGCTTTGCAAGCTTGTCTGCAACAGATTTAAGGCTTTAGCTGAGTATCTGCACAGACATGTAGGCCCCTAAATGTGTTGTGCATTTTCAGAAAGATTAGCCTGGATTAGCTCTCAAAGATCATTTCTCAGCAGCGGCTAGAACTGCTTTTTTCCTGCCATCGATAGGGTACAGGTGGCATTGTTTGGATATAAAAAACACAGAGTAGCAGTGCTAAAGAAATAAAACTTATTTATTGGCATTACAACTGGGCAGCGGTTTTAAACAGATAATTGAAAAAAGACAATCGCAGGGGTAAACAAGAGTAGGTTGTTGTTTAATACCTGCACATAAAATTAATTATTCTAGTTGAAAACCACAGTACATATATTTTAAGGTGTAATGAAAAATATATTGAGCTGTATTGTGCAACCAACCCCTCTACTAATCTCAAAAGATTTTGAGTCCACGTATGGCTCAGGTGAAACAGCAAAAAGAATCTTTTATTGAAAAAGCAAATTATAAACATGTAGATCAAAGAGAAGACACAGAATCTTCTTGCATTTCAGGCTATAACCCATTTTGAGCTGCATATTTTATTGGCTTCATGATAATTGTGTTTTGTTCACTGCCTTTGCCAGCAAGCACCAATAAGAACCACAGCAACAACAAACAGAGACGCGTTTACCGGTATTTGCAAGAGAAATTGAACAAAAATAAATACAGAAGTGAAGCCAAAGATCTACAAGGAAAGGCAAGAGATGTAAAATTTAAGTGTTATACTGATTCTAAACAAAAAGTAATCCTATGCTCCCTGAGAGGGCAGATGGGGGCCACATAGGAAGTAGTGGAAGGGTTGCCCCCCCCCTCAAAGAGGGAGGCCAGCCGCTGGAGAAACCTCCTAGCATGGTGGTGGAAAGATCCTTCTCCATTCCTCTCCTGCTAGTGGTGTTCTGCAGGTTGTGGAGCTGAAATAGAGTCTCTCACTAGGACATGACAGAGTCTATGGAACTGCAGAATCCTTTGATCCCCTCCAAACAGGGCCTAAACTATGCCAGCCTTGGAACTGTCTCAGTTAATTCCCTACGGCTTTTGGACATAGCTAAGATGGACAGGGAGGCTAAAGAATGCGTCAAGAGGTGTGACAAGTGTCAGGCTTCAAGACTGCTGCCACTACGTGCTCCAGTGAAACAATGGGAATCAACAAAAATGCCATGCTCATGACTTCATATTAGCTTTTCATTTTTTTTTTAAGAATAATTTTTTATTAACCGACCAATCACATCAAATCAAACCAAATTACATAAATTCCAAATTACACAGCCGAATTTTAAATTTTTGTTGGGGGTACCCATATTTCAAGTTCTGAAGGGGATCCAATCAACTTCTTGCTTCTTGCTTCTGTTTTAATGTCCACAAATCTAACCTTATGATGTTCACAGTACTATCCAGTCCTTTCTTATTGTTTTTCCACATCTCTTCTTGTTATTTTCATATATTTTTCCTTTCTCTTTGTGACCTCTGATAGTCTCCACAAGCTGGTTAGAACAGTTTGTAATCCTGCGTGGATATATATATATTTTTATCCAGTAGCCATATCCAGATGTTTTCCATATAACATCACTTCCATACATCAAGACAGTCTTAGCGTCATTAATCTTCACCAATCTGCCTCCTTTCTCAAAACCTCTGAGGAGATTCACCAGGAATGCAGTCTGAAAACAAGTCCGTTCCTCTTCCCGGCTATAAATCCTTTGGCAATATGGCGACTCCGAATTATTTGCTGCGCCATTCCAAAAGCTCTTATTGCTTCTCGATCTCCATAAAGCATACTTTTGGTTAAAGTTTATCTCCACACAGACCTTAATCATCCTGCTTGGGTCAGTTCAACCGACGATTCTAATGAGGAGGGGTTCTTGTAAATCACATAGAAGGAAAGTAAAAAAGGTATCCCCCCCCATTCAGTCCCATTGTCAACATACCCAGCCTTTGGTGTATCTTCATCGTAAAATATTCCTGTTTCTCCAACTCGTCGTCTTCTTTTGCAGAGGTCACTTAAATTAGCAGACTTCACTCCCCTTCTTCACTTGAAATATGTGCATTTGCTTCTTTTGTAATTAATTATTCCAAATTGCTGCAGCTAGTGCGCGATCAGAGACAGCGTCCAGGAGAGCCGAGGTCCACACGGGGGCAATTCTGCCAAGTGCCCTCACCCCCTTCTTTCGAATTAGGGGGGTGATTTATGGGCACAGCAGGCAAGGGCAGTGTTCCCCATTTCCTTGGGGCAACAAGGGAGGCTGCCTACTCCCATAACAGCCTCTTAATTACCCCGTGTGGGTCGGAGAGATGGTATTGTCAGCCATCTTCCAATGCGCCCCTAGTGGCCCCCCCTCATATTAGCTTTTCATGCCCCTTCCAAGGGTAGACCTTCTTGATTGTTGTTGACTCATACTTAAAATGGTTGGAAGTAGTTTCTGTTTCATCAATGACATCCTGTGTTGTCGTCAAGGCATTATGCAGACTCTTCATAACACACAGGCTGCCAAACACCATTGTCGCAGTCAATGGGGCCCAGTTCACATTTGTGGAAATCTGCCCATTGGACTGATCCGACAGGTCACTTCAGCAGCCCCTTTTCATTCAGGATTGAATCGCCAGTCTGAGCAGATGGTCAGGACAACAAAGGATGCATTCAAGCTGATTTTTTAGGGTGACTGAGACTGTTGCCTTGCAAGTTTTTTCCTGACAGAACACACCACACCACATTCCACAACTGGAAGGAGACTTGCCAAGCTATTAAAGAACAGGAGGCTAACAACTCTGCTTGATTGTAGGGCCCTGACAATCAGCATCAGGTGCAGTCCAAAGACCTGCGCATATGTTTGCCCCAGACGACCTTGTGGATGTCAAAAACTATGGCCCTTGTGCTACATGGATTCCTGCAACTGTGACCCAAGCTATGGACTCAAAACACCAGATGGCCATGTGTTATTGACATGTAGGCAAGATGACAGGGTGCTTTCCAGATCTACCAGTTATCTCTGAGCATGCTGGGGATGCTCAAATGGAAAGAAACAGCAAGACATTGGCTACTTATAGGGTTGCCATATTTTGAAGAGCAAAAAATAGTACACATTTGTTGACTTCTACTTTTAACTATGGATTGCTATGACAACTCTCATTTTACATACGCATGAAAAAGAGGACGTGTCCTGGAAAAAGAGGACGTATCCTGGAAAAAGGGGATGTATGGCAACTCTAGAAGAGCTTTTGTGCCTGGACAGTGGCAAAGATCCAAATGAAGGGCTGAGCAGCATGTCAGCAGCACCAATTCACAGCTGGCATCAATCAACCCACACAACAGCTTGCTCACATTATCCTCAGGACTATGTGAGCTTAGCGGTCAGGGTGTGGTGTACGTGATGCACTGTCTTTTTCTGCATCACAATCAATTGCCTGTTGCATGATTTTTTTACCTCCATAAACTGTTTGTATTTACATTGGTTTTGTTCATGCATTATGTGTGTGACTGGCAAACTCTTCACAATTTCCCCCCAAAAGATTGCACTATGAGCCTCCACCACTGGGTGGCTTCTGCTTTCCTTCAGAGTTTTTTTACACAAGGTGGTATCCTTGTGTAAGCAACAGCACTCTCTCGCTGAAGGTTGGAAACAGAGGGAATGACTGGGCCATTTAATCATTCCTAGTGCAAAGAAACGACAGAATCACCCACTCTAGTAGGAACTGTTGTGTCTCTCTGCATGACTCACTACTCTGGGCTTGCCTCTTTCTTGACAGCCCAGACCAGTGATTCACTTAGCATCACTGAGGTTTAGCAGCAGCAACTAGCTGGTTGTCCATAGAACCGGTCCAAGATATTTTGTCAAGTTTACTGGGATCAGTTTCTTGACTATTTGCCTTCCTGATCCTTGTCTTTCTTGAACAAGAACTAGCCAGTGATACTTGGCTGCCTGGGTCTGGAGGCTAGTAGAGACCTCTTTGTGTGAGGGGTTGAGATGCAACCTTTATGAAAGCGATGGTGGTACAGTTCCTTCACAAGACATCCTCCTCTGAACCCTAAGGTGTTTGACAACTCCTGGCTAGCAGTGAAATGGCTTTGGTCATCCTGGTTGGTTACCTATACCGAGTGGGAGATGAGGAGAGTGCAACTCTATTCATATTCATTTATATCAGTGGCTTTTGATACCATCAACCATGGTATCCTCCTGGAACAGTTCTTCGGAGAATTGGAGGTATAAAGTTATATTGTTTCTCCTTCTATCTGCAGGACTGCTGCCAAACAGTGGCATTAAGGAATTTCTGCTTGGCCATTAGCTTCTGGCCTGGTGGATACCACAGTTTTCCATTCTGTGCCCCACACTACTTAACATTTATATGAAAGTGGGTGTTGCTTTCTGGGGATTTGGAGAGCTATGACAGCCGTATGCAGATGACAACCAGCTCTCTTTACCCGTACCACTGGCCATGTGGCTTTTTGTCTCTTTGTAGCATGACAAGTCACTGAACACTGAGATATCAGAATGAAATCTGGAACACATGTTGATTCTACATGTTGAAGTCTGAATGCCAGCTAGACTACCATACCAGGTTTTTTGAAAGACGATAAAGCAAAACACAACTCAAGTCCTACACCTCCTCCCAAGACTGGTATTAGATTGTAAGATTGGCATGCACAGTTTGGGTTACAAGAGTGGAAACCCATCTCAACCCTTGCCTTAACACGCAGCACATCAAGAGATCTGCCCAGATATTCCAAAGGTTGAAATACTGGAAGCAAAGTTGAGATAAAGATCCAGGAAAAGGTTTTGCATATTTCTGAGAAAACCCACCTCAGTCCCCAGAACAATTTCCCAGAGGGCTAGGAACAAGCAACGCCTCTGAAATGCTATGATTATGGCAAGTAATCCTAACAGCTTCAAAAATAAAAATTTGTGGGAATAGAAACTGACTTGGTAGCGGGCTTTCTAACCACTTATTTTGAAGAATAGACAACATTTTGAACTTCAGGCTCTCTATCCTACTAATTTTAAAGCATTTGAATGATCAGTTAGGAGGACTCTTCCTTTTATCAATGTTCATTCCCACTGTTCGCTGCACATCACACACATCTTACTTGTCCTGCTTTCAGTGTGCCCATGTCACCTCCGTCTAGGCATCCATGTAGCGGAGACATTGACACACGTGCCTCCCTAGATGCTGGCACATTCTGCCTTGGTTGCTTCCAGCTGGGCTTGGGGCAATCCCTGACATATTCTGTTGGTATTCACCTGTGCAGGGAGAAGGAAACGCCTCTTTCACACACCTAAGATCGCACTTCTAAAGCCCTCCGCTAATCTGCATTGACGCCTCCTGGTCCTATTTTCACAAAGCAATCAGAATCTCCACCCGATTGGGGGTCCCTGCGAGAGCAGAGGATGCGGGACTAGATAGGCCTTTGGACTGATCCCGCAGGGCTCTAGTTCTGCTTTTACCCCGAAATATGAACTGGGGGTCGGGGTGGAGGCATCCGGAGTGAGCATCAAGTCCACACCACGAAGGATGCCCACAAGCAAAACATATCTCCACAGTGATCACGAGACCTTGGCATCCCGACTCGAGGGACGGATCCGGCCGCGCAGCTGGAGGAACCCCTTTCCCCACGGGCAGCGAGCACAACCCTCAAGTCAGCTCCGGGCTTTGGAGAGGAGGGGGGAAAGCCGAAGCGCCTCCCCGCTGCCGCTAAGCCCGGCCTCTGAGCCGCGCCTTCCTCCGTCCTCCCTCCCTCCCCTTTCACTTGCTCTTTGCTTTCCCCTGTCACCAAGGCCTGGCAGGCGAGAGAAAAGCAGGAGGAGGAGGAGGAGAAAGAGGAGGCAGCGGCGGGCGGGGAAAGGAGCGCCGCGGAGCAGGCGGGGGGAGCAGCAGAATCAAAACAAGCGAGACACGCCTTTCCCGCTCGCTCGCTCCCTCGCTCGCGCGTCTTCCCGCGGCCCGGCGGCTGGGGTGGGTGTGCATGCGGCGGGGCCGTGGAGAGCGCGCGGGAGGGCGCCTTTGCTCCTCCGCCTGACAATGGAGCTGCAATAAGCCGCGGTCGGTGGCGGAGCCCAGCAGCCGAGCAGCAGCAGCAGCGAGAGAGGAGGCAGCAGTAGCAGCAGCCGCCTCCGCCACCGTCGCCTTCTCCGCCTTCTCTGGCTTCCCGCTGCCGCGACCCGCTCCTCCTCCTCCTCCTCCCTCGGCGATGCCGAACCAGAAGAGTAGCAAGGGCAAGAAGAACAAGCGCGCCAACAGCAGCGGGGACGAGCAGGAAAATGGAGCCCTGGCGGCGGCGGGGGCGGCGGGCGGAGGAGCAGCGCTGGCCGCCGTGGTGGCGGCGGGGGGAGCCAGCGGGCCGGCGGCGGCCGCGGGCAGCGCCGGAGGCTCGGGAGGAGCGGCGGCCGCCGCGGGCTCGGCGCCGGGAGACTCCAAGAACGGTAGGCACCCGGGGAGGCCGAGAGGGGGGCGGCCAGGCGGCGCGGGCGGCCGCGCAACTTCTCCCACTCTCTCGCTCTCCCTCTTGCGCGCACCATCTCGCTCGCTTCCTTCCTGCTCCTGCGGATGGGCAGGGCGGGCGGACTCTGACTGGCGGCGCCCTAGTAGGTGCGAAGCTGCCCGGGCCTTCGATGGCGCAGCAGTCCGAGGATGTTTAAAAAAGAAAGAAAGAAAGACCGGGGGGGCCGAGCGAAAGGAAAGCGCGGGCCGTGCTCCGAGGGCGGCCGCAAGTGCGTGCGCGGCCTGCCTGCCCGCGCTCGCCACGCTTGCAAATGCACATGGCTCCGAAGCGTGCACTGGGAGACCCTGCCTCCCTCCCTTAATTGCAAGGGTCCCGATCTCGGCCACCTTCCGCCCCTCTTTCTTTTCAAAAGCTTGCGATTGACGCTTGGAACCGAAAGTAGGGTGGCCTGCCTTTTCGGCTCCCATGCCCGGTGTGGCATATTGAGACACTGCTGGGCCTGAGGTGTCGGACTCGCCATGAATGGATTTGAGTCATCCTCGTGCAAGGCTGTGTGTGTCTGTGTGTGTGTGAAGTCGGGAGATGCGGGGAAGTGGCCTAACATCTACTAGCATGCTGCACACGTGCGCACCCCGCTTCTGAGGCCTGCAGTTTTCGGCAGCTGGCCTTTGTTTTAACACAGCCGGAATCGTTTGGTTCTGTTGAAAGAAATGTGCAAATGCTGGGGTGCTGTTTGTTTATAAGACTGGTCGGTAGATAGTCCCGTGTCCATACGTTTAATCCTGACTCTCTCATTATGGGCGTCCCTGCCCATCAGTATCTGTTACCTGAGGCCCCACTCATCTGCATGCCGTGCAGCGCTCCCCTTACTTTTATTAAATATATTAGGTGCCGAGTAACTAGGTTAGACAGTGAATGCTGAATAAGCATTAGAAGGGCAGAATAGAAATTATTTGTATTAATAGGGCAGCGTAGAAATTTTTGTATAAATAAAGATCCTGTCCATGATTATCAAATGTGCATACCTAGCTGACCACTTTGAACATGCCCTCGATTCTGAGCAATTGGTGTTGATCCTCAAGCTTTAGCCAGGTTGCTGAGCCTTTTTGGCCAGCTGACCTCATTGTACCATGGTTTGAATTGCTGGGAACAAGAGATTGATTAAATAACTCCTATATATGCAGCAGGACTGATGTGTGGCCCAGCTGCCACTGTGCCATTGATCTCTCTATACTTACCTACCACCATCTGTAATGAACAGGAGCTATTGCTTTCTCTTCTCCCTGACCCTTCCCTGTAGGTCCTGGGTGGAGGGGGGTGGGAATGGTTGTGCCCATAATAATATTGCATTGTGAGTCCTTCAGGTTTGAGTGGAATGGGATGCCTATTTTGTAGGTGAATTTTCTTCTTTGGAAAGGTACTGGTGGGTGCTTGGATTGCTTTGGTCCAAGGGTGTGTGTAAATACAAACAAAACTATTGGACCCATGAATAAAAGTTTGGAAATTAGCGATGTAAAACTTCTGCACCTAGACATGGTTATTTGCATGCTTTAAACATTAAGAATAGGGTTGGTATTCAACGCTGGTTTTATTTAGAGTAGAGCCACTGAAATCAATGGACATAATTAACTGCATTTCAGTGGGTCTTCTCTGAGCTGGACCAGTGTTGAATAGATCTCTAGGAGTTTGAAGGAAATAGGAAGAATTTGTGCTTTGCTTCTCCTGCCTACTACAGTGATGTGCACAATAACTGCTGTCTCCAGTTATTATTAGTGCCCTTTCCAGCAAAACAAAATCAGAAAATTTGCAGTCACCAGGAGTAGCTTTGGGCACAATGCCTGCTAGTGATGAAATATAGCAATCCGATAGTTTGTGCTAAATATAGGACAGATTTGGATGAGGTTTGATAGTGCATGTGTGTAAGGATGGCTATTTTTGCATCTCAATAAGGATATGTTCCCAGACTTTGGCTCCTCTTCCTCAAGCTGGCATGTTTCGAAAAGAGTGTGTAGAGAGAGTGGGTGAGTGGGCGAGCATGAGAGGAGCAGGAGTGGGATTTGCTCCCTTTGCAACTTGTACACTTCTAAAAATTAGGGGGATACTGTGGTCTTTTCCCCCATCCTCCACCCCCTATCTATTGCACTACTTGGTGCACAAATCCATTTGTTTTTCAAACAGTACTTAGTTTGTTGTGGAGCATCTATATCCTACAATAGTATTAGCTCTCATGTTAATAGGATTTCTTTTCTGATTTCTTTTCTTACAGTTTTTGTAGCAAAATTATATTGGGACATGGCCCAGAGGCTCCCTGGTAGTCATCAAAACACTGGTGTGATGCTTGCTGTATGCTACTGGGTTCCTGACAATTCCAGTGTGCAGATTCTACAAGGCTTGCTGTCTGTTGTAGTGGCTTAGATAAATTTGAAGTGTTTAAATGGCACAGAAAGTTTCAAGAAAGAGCAAACAGAAACACACACGCGCGCGCGCACACGCACACACACACACACACACACACACACCATGAATCAGAAAGCATTTCCTAAAGTTACAGTGTTTTAAAAAATAGATTGTGGTTTGGACTCCTATAAAAAAGTAAATAAAAACATGTGTGCAGATTTCTCCTATCATGGTGTAGAAAAATCTCCTATTAAGTTTTTCAACAACTGCCTCAAATTTGCAGGTAAGAATTTCAGAGTTAAGTGTACAGTGCAGTATGAAAATAAGTATCTGATGGAAGATTAGAAGCAGGTGAATGCAAATTGTCTGGAACCCTTCAGGCCCTGATATATTTTAAGCTGAGTCCTGAGGTCAAAGAAACTGTTAACCTCTGCCTGGCATTGTATTCCTTGCTACATCATGCTCACTCACCTTGAATATTTTTTGCATTGTTAAAGCACTTGTGGGTATTCAGATCTGCTAAGATTAATGAGACTATGGGGGAATCCAGACATGCATATCAGTGGAGTACAGAACACTTGGTAACTCACAAATGAATGTGTTCACTGATGCTATTTAAAAGAGAAATCATGGTGTCTTGGATTATATGGAAGTTCTACCTGTTGTGTGTGATCACTGATAGGTCATTCACACGTGCACATTATAACGATTGTTTACCACCATCAAGTGGTGAGCATACTGTGTGAACTAGCCCTGCATTTGCCTTAGTGGTCTTCTCAGCAACAAACCGAGCCAAAGTTACTATACACTACTGCAGGCTTAATTGTAATGTGTACTATACTGTATTACACTTAACAAAAGATTGTTGTTTAGAATAGGTTTGCAATGAGCTTTAGTCCCTGTTTTATGAGCCATTAACTTGTTAAGTTATAAAGGGGAAGGTACATGTTTGTACATAATGATAAATCAAGAACCTTGGCTTAATAAACCATACTTAATATGCAGTCTATGCTCCCACTTTCCTCTTTCAGGAAAAAGAATCATGGTTTGTTTTCCATTAACAACCCAAGATTTGTAAGCCAACAACAAACCTTGGTGTAAGGCTGGTCCCCCCCACCAGCTTGTTAGGGAGAAACAAACTTGGATCCCAGGTTTGGATGTAACACTAAATTATACCCTTCCTGGTTTGTTTACCCACTCATTCAAAAGAAGGGAAGTGGGAGCAATTGTGCTGCATGCATTAGCCTGCAACTCAAGTCCAGTCAGGTTTTTAAAAGCCAAGATTCTTGGTTTTTCACAGGGGTGGCAAGCCCATGGATAATATCTGGCCTGTGACCTGCTACCCCTCCAAAAATTGGCTCTCTTTTCTGTTTACTGAGCTGTAATATCTTGCAATGATGTTGCACCAGAGGGAAAAGAAGAAGGAAAGAGTAAATGGAGGGCTTTCTTCCTAATGCAACAGTAAGCTGGGAGGAGAGGTTAAACTAATGGGGAGGAACAACAGTGTTGCCTGCCTGCCTTAGTGTTTATGTGTGTCATGAGGACGTGCATGCACATGTGTGTGTACATGAGTGACTGTGTGTGTATGTGTGTATATGTATGAACAAGCGTGATTGAGTGTTTGGGCTGCTTTGGCCATGGCCACGGCTGGCATATCACACTTGGAGTGTTGACAATCCTCAGTGTGGCCCTCGAGCCAAAAAACGATAGTCACCTCTGGTTCATTGTTACATACAAATGCAACCAGCATCTCATACTTCTGCACAACCCATTTTCTATAACCTGTCACTGCTGTTGTCTTAAGCTTTTAGATCTTCATGAAATGTTCATGGCTGCTGTAGAAGTATATTGTGTTGTCAACTTCTTTTGCTAAAACCCTCTCGACTGGAGTTGAATCTCCTTTTAAAATATACATGTTGGGTAGATTTCTTTTTTAAAAAATAATGACTTTATGGATTGTCTGTATGTGAGGGATGAGGAAGTCCAGATGTTCCTGGACTACAACTTCATCACCCTTGCTCACTGGTTATGCTGGCTGGGGTTGATGGGAGTTGGTGTCTGACTATATCTAGAGCAGGCTTCCTCAGCCTCGGTCTTCCAGATGTGTTGAGGCTACAATTCCCATCATCCCTGACCACTGGTTCTGCTAGCTAGGGATCATGGGAGTTGTAGGCCAAAACATCTGGAGGGCTAAGGTTGAGGAATCCTTATCTAGAGGGTCACATAGCCCATGTCCTGCCATATATTTCATACCTAGGTATATGCGCAACTGCCTTATACTAAGTCAGACCAGTGATCCATCAAGCTTCAATGTTCTCTTCATTAACTGGCAGTGGCTGTCTAGAATTTTGGACAGGGATCTTTCCAAGCCCTACCTGGAGAGGCCGAGAACTGAATCTGGGACCTTCTGCCTGCAAAGCAGATGCTCCATCACTCAGTTGCAGCCCTTGCCTTTTTTAAAAAAGCCCTTAAGTAGCCCCTACTAAAGGAAACGTGAAATTGTAGAGTAGTTGGACTCCTTTTGTTATGAAATTACGATTTGTTCTTACACCTATTCTACTGGCTGAGAGCTAATTCAAACACGCAACTTTTAGCACGTAATACTGTCTTCTCAAGGCTTTCTACCAGCTCAGTATTCAGGTACTGGGTGTTTGAAAACACCCCACATCACTTTATAAGCTTCTGTATGTATAAAGGTAGCATGCCACCTTGATTTCCACATGAATGGAGGTTTTGATGTTTTTCAGGGGTGGTATAGGCACATGAGAGGGCTCTACCAGTGTGTTGGACCAATGTCTTAGACCAATTTGGAATGAATGCTAGCAGAGACTTGCTTTATTTCTTCATAGTTGTACAGAAGCTGCCATTTTGAGCTGATATTAATCAGCATTGCAAAATGTTACAAATCCCTGACAAGTACGGTTTGTTTGTTCAGCTAGTCAACAAAACAACCCCAGACCTGCAAGGTTTGCCTTATATAGGCTGCATTCAAGGTTGTCCTGAAATGCCATTCAGTGCTATCTTACAGTTCTCTGACTTAATTATTGTTACTGTTTTTCTGCTTTTGAGCAAGGGTGGAAAACATGCAGCCTTTGACCCAATTTCAAAAGTCTTCTACAAGCACTCAGATCAGATCTCCTGGTTGCTTCCTCAGCAGCCTGCTGGGCTTTAAGGAGTAGAAAGAGATGGGGTGACCTGATTCACTTTTGGTTCTGGTTCACCCACTGCTGGCTTTCGTCCTGCCCGCAGCATGTGGTCCCCAACATACTACTCCTGAAGAAAGGCAGCCATCAACAGACGAAAGGTTGCCTATTGCTGCTTCAATTCGGAGTGAAGGCTCCTGATTGTCCCTCTGCAAGTGTGGGGCTCTCACTCTTGATTGTTCCTTAGCAAGCGTGGTTTGCCTTTGGTACTGTTAAATTGGGTGCTGAATGCAAGCTGCTTTGGTTTGCTTGGGATTGGAGCCCCCTGATGTCATATGATGTCATATGATTAACAACTGGGCAGCCATGGAGGGTTGGCCGTGATTGCTTAGACATTGGGCCATACGTGGGCTGATTTCTGTATGAAACAGTATCTTTTGTTCCGTTCCTGTAAGTGACTGAAAAAATGTTGTATTCATTATACAGTACTTCCCAGAATTGCCTCCAGAGGCTGTTGTACTATGGGGATGGAAATGAACTTTCAAAGTTGAGTGGTGAGCCAGCAGCAGAAAATGAAAGCACAGAGCAATTCTAAATCATGGTTTGCTTGTTCATACACGAGAAGGTTCAAGCTGAGGTGGTGTTTGAGTTGAGTATATGCCGGCTTGCTGAATCCATCCACTGTACCTTGTCACTTAGAGAGAAGAAGCTCATGCAGCTTTTAATCCTTCTCTCTCAATATATGGGCAGTAAGGAACGTGCTAAGGATGGACCAAAATTCCCTGTTGCAGTTCATGCTCTGGCTGGGATGCTAAGAAGCAGTATGGGTTAATTATGGGTGCGTGTGTATAAGTGCACATGCTTGCCTGTTTGCAAGGTGGAAAGACTTGGAACCATTTCCTGCTCAAGATACAGCTATCATTGGGTCACTATCTTAGAGGAGAGGGCAGCAGGAAGTTAATGTGGATCTGAGTTGAAGATCAAAGATAAAGCAGCGCTGGTAGCAAAGCTTGTGTGGGCATCTAAGAAGTGCTTGGTCCAAATCAAAAGCTGGAAATTGGGATCTGTTCCATTCTTGGCAGTGGGACTTTTTTGTTGATAAAATGTAAAGGGGGAAAGTGTATATCTTGAGCTCTTTGGAGGAAAGGCTGGATATAAATGTAATAATAATAATAATAATAAATTAACCCTCCTCAACTGCATTGCCCATTTGGAGATTTTGCTGATGGGGTGTGTGTGAGGGTGTGTGCAGATGTGCGAGTGTCTGCCTATGGTTCATCTGTGTGGCAAACTTTGGTCCCAACCAACTTTTGGACCCCACCCATCACTGGCCTCCTTCTCTTGGATTGATGGCGACAATAGAATCTGACCTTCAGGATCAAAAAAGGTTCCCTACCCCGGCCTGGAGAAGAGAGGGTTTGATTTCTACCTGAAAAATGAGAGAGGCACGTGGGTGAACCAAATACTTGTCATTGACAGCAGTACTTGGTTTAACCTGAATATACCCCATTTAGAACTGTTTTCTTTTTACTGTTGTAAATGGAATACATTTGCATTCATCCTTCTTTCTATAGAAGCTTGATTGCTTTTAGAACTCCTGTGCAAGCACTAACCTGTTTTGAGTTTTTTGAGTGATCTGATTGAAGGGGATTTGGCTAATGCAACATTTAAAAACTTGCTTGTCACTTTATAGTTACTAAAAGCTCCACTGTTGCAAGTTGTAACGTACGGTATGTGTTACCTAATTAGGCCTGTACTTAGCTGCTCCTTTTACTATGTCTCTTTTAAGAGCTCGTGTACGTACTATATTTCACCTCATAGCTGTTGTACAAAGATGTAATTGCTGTTGTGGTTATAAAAGCTGAGCTGAATGTTTCTCATTTCTAATCTCAAAAGTAGTGATTTGGAAGACCCTGAAAATCTATCGTTTTTACCTTTAGCCTCCATGACTGGGTCGGTATTTGCAGTTTATCAGCCTTTTGCTGCCTCAGTAGCTACCCCCCTTTCACTCTCCTCATGTGATCCCACCTAATCAGATCACTGGATGTGATGATGCTACAATCCTGTGCATCCATTCAGACTTGGCTGCTTACTGCACTAAGAGCAGATCAAGTCCATTTACAGAGAGGCAAGGCTTCCTATTCAGGTCACAATCATGGATCACAGAACTAATATTTCTGCTGTCCTTTTGACACAATTCCTGAAAAAACTGCCCAAATGTGGTGTGCTTTTTTAACATTCGGATTAAAATTTTAGCAAGACATTTGGGCACAATTCTATTACTTATCTTTGAACGATTACAAACTACTTTAGAAGCAGTAGCTGGTGGTAAGAGATAAGCAAGAATCTGATCAGGCAGCTGCTGTGGTTTGGGAACAGCAGCATTCTTTGGGAAGATGGCAGTTTCGACTAAGTCTAATTTATTGAGTCATACAGTATAAACCTAACACCACAAAGGGCAGATGACAACAGTTTAAAATATCTAACATTAAAGGTACCAAGTGAAGTGAAAACAGCAATGTTCTTACCTGCACACTCGAACACACACACTTTTTATACTGTCTAATAATCTCCCTCCCCTTACGCTAGATGGGCAACTGCTACCTTTTTGCAAGCTATATCTGATCATTCAGGTATGTGGAGTGTTGCTTTGTGTAAGACTTGGTTTTTTATGAACAAAGGTGGTAAAGAAAATTCTTAGAATATTTACTTCAATCTTCAGATCACATATTTTGGAAGTTCTGAGATAGATTTGGGAAGCAGGAGTTCAAGACAAGAATAGTGTAATGTTAAATTCCAGAGCTCACTGCTTTCTTGTCTTCAGAGAGCTGCATGTTTTCTGAATTCCATGTTACAAAATTGCTTCCAACATATATGCCAATCTAAAGCTATTTTTTCTGTTGAATATCACTTCATATTATCTACAAATCCTTTCAGAATAACTCTTGTAAGAAGATTGCTTGACTTACATCATCATCTAGCCTCTTGTATTGCTACTGCATAGTTGACATGTAAAATCAATCTCTATTCACCTTTCTTACAGGATGCTACAGATACATATTAGGCTTTCTTCATAATTTTGTAGGAACACATCTCTGTGTAGTTTTCTGGCCCCATTCCACCCCAGTACTTGGCAGTTTTTTAAGTAGATCAGATGTCAGGGCTATGTGTAAAGAAACTATGACCTTATTGTGTTCCCAGTGGTTAATGTCCAAAACATAGTCTTGAACAGAGTCTCCCACCATTCCACACACTAGCAGGAAGTGTACCCTCATACTGAGTGTTAATAATATGCATAGATGCAAGAAACATGACTTATCTGAATCTGTTTCCCTTCTTAGAGGCAAATTATCTCATAGCCCCTTTGCCACCAGGTAGGATAAATGGGGATTATAGACCCCCTAGCGGTCTATACAATTTAGAATGTGATGTTGGTGAGGTAAAGGTAAACCACTGAGTCTCTTGGCTTACCGATCAGAAGGTCGGCGGTTCAAATCCCTGCGATGGGGTGAGCTCCCATTGCTCTGTCCCAGCTCCTGCCAATCTAGCAGTTCGAAAGCACACCAGTGCAAGTAGATAAATAGGTACCGCTGCGGTGGGAAGGTAAACGGTGTTTCTGTGCACTCTGGTTTCTGTCATGGTGTCCCATTGTGCCAGAAGCAGTTTAGTCATGCTGGCCACATGACCCGGAAAGCTGTCTGCAGACAAATGCCAGTTTCCTCAGCCTGAAAGTGAGATGAGTGCCGCAACCCCATAGTCACATTGGACTTAACCATCCAGGGATCATTTATCTTTACCTTTTTTTTTGCCTCGGTGTTGATTTTTTTCTGAACAGCACATGTACTTGGGTTTGGTGCTGAATCTGGAGTGAGAAATGGTTTAAAGTGAATACCTTTTAAAATATCACTGAAGAACAGTTTAAATGTGGTCCTAGGCAGGCTAAAATTGTTTACCTAGGAGGTGAACTCCTAGTTCATAGTGCATAGTGCATAGTGACTGAGGTCTTGATTTAAACATGAATCTGGCAGCTTGGAGTTCTACACTAGTAAGCATTTTAAACTTATTTGGCTTCATGTTTTAATCAGATTTCATAGTTCATGGCTTATGTTTATTTGCATGCTAGGCAGTTTTCAGTGGTTTTAACAGATTCTGGAGTGGCCAGTTGCTAATGTGGCTTCTTTTTGAAATAGAATTTTTCAACAAAAATTTGCATATGTTTGCATGTATTTTGTACCTTAGGACTACTCGTATCTTGATAAAATTTAAAATGCCTCTTCCATCCCTCTTCCAAGCCCCTTCTTCCCTTTTCTACTGAATTTGTTATGAACGATTAAAAATAAAATATTTTTTTAAAAAATACACATAATAAAATAACAGTGTTCAACACCTTAATAGACAATATTTTATTAAAACCATGGGGGTGGTGGGGGTGGCATAGGAATAAATTAGTGAGATTACAGTACAATCACTGCTCCCCCAGCCCTACTTCATAGGGACTCCATGGGAAGTCAGCTGTGTCCTGCTGGTCCCGATTGTGGAGATGAAAGGATACTGATTTTGCACACACAATGATTCTGTTGTCGAATAGCAAAAGCAGCCTTCCCTGCACCAGGGAAAATGTACGAGGCAGCCACACCCCACACTCTTGCATGCATATGCAGTCACACATGCATCTCTCTGTGTATATGTCTGTCTCTCACACCAAGCAATTTCAGATGCACACAACCACACAAATATGTCTCTATTTCCTCAGGTACATGTCTTCCTCTCTCACACGCACCGCCCATGCACATAAACCTCCTCTTCCTCTCTCTCTCAAACAAACACACTACCTCTCTGCCCAACTACATCTGACTGCATTAGACTACACCCCTTTGTTTCACATGCACACAGAAAACATATATATCCTTCCCTCCATCAGACATCTTCTACAGCATCTCACCTGTATATTTGGGTATACACCTCTTCAAGTTGTTTCCAGTTCTCTCTGTTGTTTGCTTGCTGCATCCACACAAACCCTGCTGTTAGTTTTAGTAGTCCATCTGTCACATATATTTCTGTCCCCATGGTCTGTTAATATTGTAGGGTTTCCACACCAGCACTGCTTTTGCTCCATCAACCTGAGCTTTCTCTTGCCGCATGCCCTGCATGTGACCGTTTCAACTTTGCAGTCTTTCCCACTTGCTCTGTAACTTTTTATCTTTGTTGGGTCCAATTATTAGTTTTTCTTTATTTTAATGATGTGCCTAACATTGCTCATTCCAGGGCATGTTTCATTGCTCTTAACCTTTTCATGTTTCTTTGTGTCATGGTCCAGTTCTCTGCTCCATAACACACTAGGGGTAATATACACATAATGAATGTGTGCATAGCTTTCAGATCTGAGGAGACATTTTCATTTTTCATTATGAAGCTGAGTTTCCCAAAGGTGGCCCATTATTATTTCCTCCCCCCCCCTGCTTTATTCTTCGGTTTGATATTCTCTCCCCAGTATATATATTGTCCTAAATAGATGTACAGTGGTGCCTCAGGTTACAGGTGCTTCAGGTTACAGACTCCGCTAACCCAGAAATAGTACCTTGGGTTAAGAACTTTGCTTCAGGATGAGAACAGAAATCGCGCAGCAGCAGCGCGGTGGCAGTGGGAGGCCGCATAAGCTAAAGTGGTACCTCAGGTTAAGAAGAGTTTCGAGTTAAGAACGGACCTCCAGAACGAATTAAGTTCTCAACCTGAGGTACCACTGTATTCTTTAACTTGCTCTGTTTCCATCCAACATAAACACCACAAATCTCTCCCGACTCTCTGTCACAAATTACACGTACGTATCTCTCAGTCACAGATGCATAGAAAACAAACTGAGAGAAGAGGAACAGGAGAGGCAAAAAGGAATGTGAGTAAAGAATGAATGTGAGCAAATGTAGTTACTTGCTTTTGTTTCAAGTTGAGATGAGGACAGCTTACGGGGTTCAGAACACGGCAGTCTGATCCATTAGGGGTTTGTTGTTGTTGTTTAGTTGTTTAGTCGTGTCTGACTCCTTGTGACCCCATGGACCAAAGTACGCCAGGCACTCCTGCCTCCTGCAGTTTGGTCAAACTCATGTTAGTAGTCCATTAGGGGTAGCTAACCTTTTCTGGGATGCATTCCGCATTAACCCATGGTCAGTGTGCCAAGGCCCATGGTGCAAAAGTGGGTGTGACTAGTCTTTATTGAATAGTATACATACTCAACCTGGGAGTTCCATTGAACTAAATGTAACATGTATAGAAATGCATTTGTAAAAGGTTTACTAAATAATACAGTGGTACCTCGTTCTGGAGGTCCGTTCTTAACCTGAAACTGTTCTTAACCTGAAGCACCACTTTAGCTAATGTGGCCTCCTGCTGCTGCCATGCCGCTGGAGCACGATTTCTGTTCTTATCCTGAAGCAAAGTTCTTAACCCGAGGTAATATTTCTGGGTTAGTGGAGTCTGTAACCTGAAGCGTATGTAACCTGAAGCGTATGTAACCCGAGGTACCACTGTATATGATCTGCTGTGCCTTCCTAGTAGGTCTGAGATTAATTAATTAATTATATCAAATGGATCGCTTTAAATGACTTGAAAGTTTGAGCCATTTAATTTAACTTATAGTATGTAACTAATCAGGAAATGCTGGTTTTTTTAAATTAAAAAACCCCTTTTTTGTAAACAAATGCTTCTAAAATTGCAAGTTGTAGGGATAATCTTAGAAGAGGCATTTCCTCTTTTTATCTCGCATAGGAAAGAATATATCTTCTGGGGCACCTATGCAAAACTAGGTTTGAGCCACATGCAAATTTAATTGATTTGGATTTCTTTAATTGCCAACTTTGCAATGGTTCACTAGTTTCAAGAACTGTATAAAAAGGGGTGTTTCCTCTCTGAGCACTTCTTTTACTTGGGTGCTATTGGATTTTATGGTCTCGGTCTGGAAGAATTGGTAGACCCTTAGCTAGCCACCTTATGTTTTTATGCAAGATATTTAACTCAAATTATTTCCTCATACCTCTTAGTCTTCCTAAGGTACAATTTTCTTCACACCAGGAGGTCTAATTTCTGAAAGTGAAATTGCAAAGACTTTTACTGTTGGAAATCTGTGTTTTATTAGAACAGCTGGTTGAAGTTCATCAAGTGTATTAAAGGCCATGGGAAATTCAGACATTGGAATGCACAAGCTTTTAGTATTGTAGAGCTTGAAAACATCTTCTCCCTCTTAGGCTTGTCTTTGCTTAGTCGTAGGCACAATTTTTTAAAAGGTGGATTTAACCCATATGGCTTGATTGAATAAGTTCTTTATGACATGCACAGTTTGGAGAAGATAGCAATCAGAGTTTCATTTTGTTTCTGATTAATTTTGGGCTCTAAAATAAAAACATTTAGGATGAAGGCCGATCTGGAAATAATGAGCTGTGGGTCCTTTTATAAAGGATGCATTATGTTTAGGCAGCAATGCAACATAGAACTTGTTAAATTATTTTGTTACTAATTCAATGAACATGGTGTTGCAATTGATAATGTTCCTTAACGTTGTGAGTCACATTGAGAATTTTGTTATGGAGTGGGTTGTATAAACACCCTAAGTAAAATAAATTATTGTTGAACCTGGTATCTTAAACAAGACATTCCTGGTGTCTTCTGGAGGAATTTTCACTTAGTCATTGTTGAGAGCAAAACATACTGTATTTTTCCATGTATAAGATGCCCCCATGTATAAGATGACCCCTATTTTTTTAAACCCAAAATTAAGAAATTAAGTTGTTTAGCTTCTTTGGGGGGTGGGGGAGGTCACTTCCGCCAATTGCTTACCCGCCTGCCCCCCACTGTTGAATGCATGCCACAGCCACTGCCGATCGTACACCTAGCCGCAGCCGCCAATTGTTTGCCCACCTTTGCCATAGCTGCCAATCGCCTGCCCAATTGCCACAGCCAAAGCCAATTGCCAGCAGGTCTTGCCGCATCCACCAATCACTCACCCAATTGCTGCTGCCGATCGCCTGCTTGCTGCAGCCATTAATCACACACACCCTCTCTGCATTCACTATCTGTGTCTAAGACGACACCCAATTTTTGCCTTCTTTTTTTTTTAAGCAGAAAGCATTGTCTTATACACGGAAAAATATGTTAAGTGGCTTGATATCTCCCTTCCTTGAAACGATATGGATGCCTCCATTACACATTCCTCAGTTTGTAGAATAGTACCAGTGCGTTCATGCAGCTTCATTTGTGTACCAGAAGCCCTGGATTGTCTCAGGATAACTTGTTCTTGAACCCTTTGAATAACAATGGCAGATACTGATTGCATACAATACAATTGATACATTTATCTGTTCTTTGTCCTGCAGAAGCTGCTTGTGCTACCCCACTGATATGTAGCTTTGGACGGCCTGTTGACCTCGAAAAAGACGACTACCAGAAAGTGGTTTGCAACAATGAACATTGTCCCTACAGCACTTGGATGCATCTTCAGTGTTTTTATGAATGGGAGAGCAGCATTCTGGCCCAGTTCAATTGCATCGGGAGAGCAAGGAGTTGGAATGAGAAGCAGTGTCGACAAAACATGTGGACCAAGAAGGGATATGACCTCGCCTTTCGTTTTTGCTCTTGCCGGTGTGGACAAGGCCACTTAAAGAAAGACACCGATTGGTACCAAGTAAAACGGATGCAAGACGAGAAGAAGAAGAAGTCTGTGTCCGAAAAGAGCACTGGGAGGTCAACCTCGGAGTCCTCGGAAGATGTTAAGAAGTGCAGACCTGTCAACAAACCGCAGAAAGGTTTAAACCACGATATCCAGCGGCGGCATTCGATGGATCGGCAGAACTCTCAAGAGAAAGGCACTGCTAGCAGTAGCTACCCAGTCCGTTCTCCCTGTGGTTCTCCAGGCCAGTCCCCTCCCGCCGGCTACTCTGTCCTTGCCCCCACACATTTCAGTGGGCCTCGCTCTTCACGATACTTAGGAGAATTTCTGAAGAACGCCATTCATCTAGAACCTCACAGGAAGAACATGGCCAATAGCGGCATGTTCCGGAATGCCCACTTCGATTATGGGGCATCTGGGCTACAAGCACACAGGTCGGGACATTTTGATGCCCCTGTCCAGTTTTTGAGGAGGCTTGACCTATCAGAACTTCTTGCTCACATCCCCCGGCATAAATTGAACACTTTCCATGTTCGGATGGAAGATGATGCCCAGGTTGGTCAAGGAGAAGATCTACGGAAATTCATTCTTGCAGCGCTCAGTGCCAGTCATCGAAATGTTGTCAACTGTGCATTATGCCACAGGGCATTGCCAGTATTTGAACAGTTTCCTTTGGTGGATGGAACCTTGTTTCTTAGCCCATCAAGACATGATGAAATTGAATATGATGTTCCCTGTCACCTTCAAGGTATGGGTTGCTTCATTTCTTAATGAAAACTTTGCAATTTATATCTCATTTATTGTGCTGCGTTTTCTGGCAGAAATATACCTTACCATGGAACTGTGTTTAACTGCAGAGAAGCTCTATACTTGTTCAGGTGTAAGAGAAATGGAAGAATATTAACACAGGAGTGGGAACACGGGGATGAAGATGTTAGATCCATCTCTATCTCCATCAGTCCATGCTAGTTACAAGTCTGAAGTGAGCAAGCTGCTTCTACTTGTGAAAGTCCTTGTTACAGAGAGGGGCTTCAAGATTCAACATCACATGGGTTGTCTCCATGAGAGGCTCCTCTGCTTCATACAGTTGAGGACAACAGGGATTACAGGGGTGGAAAGAAAGTGCATCTAGTGTTGTCACAGTGGCCTTTTCATGTGCCATATTCTCCAATTTCTCTTAACACCTGAGTCGGGCTAATATGTGAAAGGAATATGGGTTGCTTTGCTCTTTCTCTGCCTACTGTTAGGCCTCAGCCCTCAATTACAGACTTTTATTTACTCTCACAAACATGTCAATCTCTGCCAGGGATGAAGTGATATGGGTAGAAGAGTTGATAGGGGTGGGGTGGAATGTCCCTGCAAAAGAAGTGAAAAATGACATGGTTAGGGACAGGAGAAGAAGAATGAAGTGGTATGCCGTGATGGATATATGAAAGTTTAGAGAATATTCCAACTACGTGTTTATAGAGAGGAGGAAGGTAGAGGTTGTGGTTTTTAGTTCTTTGTGACTCTGGTTCCCTGTATCTACATTGGGCCAAGTGTTCAAACCAGAGTTTGAAAACTACTTCAGATCATAGTTTGAAGTTGCGTGTTAACCATAGTTCACCCACTTCATATGTCATGAAATATGCTTACAAGGATTACTCTTGCAGCATGCTCCCACTCCTGGTTTAGAGGATTGCAAAATAGTTTGTGAATTGGACCAATCTGGAGTGGCCAGAGTGGTGGGGGCATTGGCAGCCTCCAGAAGGAAGATAGGGTTTGAGTAACCTGGGTATTCTGAATTGGGTAGAGTTGTATAGACACTGCACCACTTTCCTGCTTTCACATTTGAATCCTCTCTATATTTACGCACCCAGCCCATGTACAGATTGATTCATTTCTTGTGGTCTGAGCTCTTCTTTTATTTCCTGGAACTGAGTTAAAGCAGTGACTTTGTGGTATGGAGAAATGGCATACTTTTTGGTCAGTGGGATACTTTTTGCGTTTCCTGAATACTTCTCTAAGGGCTTATATGATTTTCTGTTCTGCCCAACCAGGACATCTATGTAAGACCTTTATTTCATTAATTCATACTAACCTAACTTGGCAGATGTTCATGGCAGCTAAATAATAATAATAATAATAATAATAATAATAATAATAATAATAGCAGCTTAGAGGAAATTACATCTCTCTTCCGTGATTTTGTTCTTCAAGGGGCTCAAGGTGATGAACATAATTAGTTTTAAAAGTTTGGTTAGCTAAAAAAGCCAGCTTCATAACCCATGGATTGAACTTGGCTTGTTTTGAAACTTTCTAAAGTTTATTGTAAGTCAGGATTCCTGGTTTGTACTACAAAAGGAGCTGCTCTTCCTTCAAAGGGAAGCTAATCTCCACAGAAGTCCTTTTCCTGGCCATGCGGGAGGAGGAGAACAAGGGGAGGGTGCATCATGTCCATGTATAACTATGGTTTGGATCGATGTGTGAAGAAAGGTCAAAGGTCATGCAATGCATTTGATGCTTGAGTGGGAATTCAGACTCTGGTCTCTTAGATCATAGTCTGGCATACATGCTAACTACTACACCCAACTTCCTCAATCTCGGCCCTCCAGATGTTTTGAGACTACAATTCCCATCATCCCTGACCACTGGTCCTGCTAGCTAGGGATCATGGGAGTTGTAGTCCCAAAACATCTGGAGGGCCGAGGTTGAGGAAGCCTGTACTACACCATGCTCACTTGTTGGTTCTTAGTGCTGTTGATCTACATGATTTAATTGTGTAGCATAAATGCTAAACATATTTTCTGCAGAGTTGATTTTAGACAACTTCAGTGCTTGTATTTTTTAAACATTTAAATAGTAATCAGAAATTAATATTCTAATATTAAATGTTTAGATCTGAACATTCGCATTACTGTTTTTAGAGAGTAACCTCTGCTGAACAATCCACAGTGGTAGTGGTGAAGTGAAGAATTGCCGATTAATAGCAAGGAAGTGGCTGCTGCTGGTGGGATTGGCTGTAGAGGAACAGGCAGGTTGAGAACTACAATCCTACAAAGCCCAGTTTGTGAGAATATTTTGAAAAATCTCTTTTTTTTTTTACTTCACTGGTACCTTCTGGCCAGTGTTTTAAGACTGTTGCTTACTAACAGTCAGAGTGTGAGCTACTCTTTGAATAGTTTATAGTCCACTGTGTAAAAGGCTTATATGTAGGTTTCAAGCTTTGAATGCACTCAATGGGTTTTAGCCAAGGAAATCATTTTGTTCACAGAAGGCGTTCCACTTTTGCAATGCAACGTCCCCTCCCTCTTCTCCCAAATCCGCACTGTTATTTTCTTCACTTGCTGAAATTTTTGTAAGACAGAAAGGCCACTGACCTATCAAATTATGCCAGTCATGGAATTTCTCAACGTATATATTGCATAATCAGATCAGAATAGCCATGCTAAATCATGGCAAAGCTACATTTAGGCAAGCATCCTGTCTTCAGCAGGTCCAACCAGAGGGCCTTAGGAAGCTCAGAGTGAGGACAAGCTCAGGGTAGACACCCCCCGTTTGTTTAGAGTAGGGCTGAGGCATCTGTGGCCTGCCAGTTACGGTTGGATCCTGTTAGCCCCAGCCAGCATGGCCAGTGGCCAGCGGCCAACCATCATGGAATTGGAGGCTACTTCAGAGGCACGTCTATTCCCCGTTTCTAGTCTAGAGCTGCTGGTATCCGAGGTAAACCTGCCTGGCTATATCAATTCCTCTGTGGGCTACCATGACTGGTCACTTTTAAAACTCTACAATATACTTTTAACCTTCTCGTATGCTAATAGCCACCATGGTACACAATGATGAATTCCACCTATTCTGCAAGTTACTGTTGATTATGTTAACTTCCTGCCTTCTTTACAGGATGAACTCCACTGTTTCAAAACAGAAAATCATTTCTCTCTCTGCCTTTACCGGCCATTTATAATCTTGCAAAGTTTTATTACTATACCACCTAGTTTCTCTCCCATCTACACTTTAACAATTCTCAACCTCTTGAAGCGGTGTCTCTCTCCCTCCCCCTCCATACCCAAAGATACTATATTTCCCTTGTTAACTTCAGTGGCTGTCGTTAATATTCTAGAATAAAAAGTGGGATGTGAGAATAACATTTCAATTTATTCATATATTTTTGGAAAAGTAGCGTGTGAGATTTCATGTGCCCGTTATTTAACATGCCAAATGGGAGCACGGAGGGGTTGCTTTATATGTGCCAAAAGCTGGGTATTTCTCAGTAATTTTATATGTATATAAGTATTGCAGTACCTCAGTAGATACATCTAAGTAGACACATGCATCTAGGTACAATTTCCAGAAATTATTAAGGTACTTCCAGAGCACAGGCCTAAAATTTGGTAAACCTGTTGTGAAACATACCTGTTGTATAACATACACAGTTAAAAAGGGCAGTTTTGCATTATATTTTTTTAGATATTATATACGGCACAAAAATGAGCTTCAGGGAGGTGATCACAAAGGTATAAAATCCACAATACAATATTAAAAACAGCAAAAAATAAATAAATGATAGTACATTCTAGAGTTCAGGGTGCTACCACATTCTCATTTCTACACACACAGTGTACGTCTCTTACAAGTAAAACATGGGATCTTTCTCTGTCTCTCTCAAAAATTTCCTAAGATCTGCCACTATAAAATGGCCAAACTAACCATGGATGGATGAAATACTTCGCTATTGCAGTTCCAAAGTACTTGGGGAGCGGTAGCTGGAAATGTCTGGAAACTGGAACTTCCCCTTTTTCGTTTATTGTACCCAGGAACATACCTAATGTTTTCAGAATGCATTTTCTTACCAAAAATGTCTTTCAGAGTACCAAATCTTTGTTTTCCTCTTTACAGGAAGGCTCATGCACCTCTATGCTGTTTGTGTAGACTGTTTAGAAGGAGTTCACAAAATTATCTGCATAAAGTGCAAGTCCCGGTGGGATGGAAGCTGGCATCAACTGGGAACCATGTACACGTATGATATTCTAGCAGCGTCTCCCTGTTGTCAGGTTAGTATACAGAATTACAGTTTCTATCTTATCTCTAACTAGGCAGAAAAGAAGAAGAGTTAGATTTCTGATCGGTAAAGTAAGACAGCTGAGATTTCCATTCAATTTATCTAGATAAAATGCATCGGGGGTGGGGGAGAGGGGAGGGCGGCAATAATTAGAAAAGATGCAAGGAACCACTATATATATGTTATGCATGGGGGTTTCCTGAAAGCCTTCTGATGAGGGAGAGGCAGAGTCTGTTGCATCAGTGGTCCCTCCTTCCTGCCTTGTTCCTTTTTATACAGCTGAATGCTTGAAAAGGGCCCATAGATTTATTATCTTGGTAACAAGAAGGTCAGAGACTAAGACAGAATACATAAAAAGGCACTTCCAATCCCTCCCTACTCAGGACTGATTCTTACTTTATTTCTTTGTATTTCGGCACATGTACCTGAAAACAAAATAGATGCACAGCCTTTCAAGTACGAAAGGTAGGCATATGTAGAAAGCTTGTTGGAAAAACCCCGCAAAACAAATCCTGACACAGTTTCTCTTTCGGTGTTTCTGGGCTGCATGCAGCGCTGCATGCACAGATTTCTGCTTGCACAACAGAACTTATTTTTCCTCTCTTATCCCTGCACCCCTCCCCAAACCTGCCCCGGAGGGTCCCCCCAACCCCCTGGAGTAGAGTTTGAGGGTGTGCTGGGAGATGCAGGGGAGAGGAAAGGAGGAGGAACTTCTGTTGTGCAAGCAGAAGTCTGTTGCACAAGTGCAATGGCAACTTTTGATACCACCCTCTGTTGTTTTTTAATCAAATATGTCTTTACTTCTCTGTTGCACAAGTAGGCAAAACAGTTATAAACAATAACCCTCTGTTTTAAGTCTTAAAAGAAACACATGCCTGCCTGACTCCAAACATATATGCTATTCACACTTACTGGGGCACACATGTCTGCCCGAGTGCAAAGAATTAAGTGAGAATCTGTATCAAGTTCCTGGCTGAATTGTATGCGAGTAAATGATTTTTGAGACATCTCTTGTTTTGTCTCCCTGCCTCCCCACACCCTCTTCCAGGCTCGACTGAACTGTAAACACTGTGGGAAACCTGTTATAGATGTACGTATTGGAATGCAGTATTTCTCTGAATACAGCAATGTTCAGCAGTGCCCACACTGCGGAAACTTGGACTACCATTTTGTGAAGCCATTTTCGTCGTTTAAAGTTCTGGAGGCTTATTGACAAAAGCTTTGCCATAGTAATAGCTATTTTATGAGTATTGTTCCTTTATTTTACATATCTTTTATAAGATCTGTTCTGTGAGGGGGAGGGGAGGGGGCTTATTTTTTTTTTTTCTAACTGAAAGAAAGTGCAGCAGCTTTGTGTGATTGTGTACATGTGTTCCTAATGTAGATATGTGTCATCAAAACCGTGGTCCTCTTGCCATGATCTCAGTTGAAGGCAAGGGATGGGGCAACAGATTGTCTCTCGCTCTCTGCGCTCATCTAAGCAGGGGGCGGGGAACACCACTCTCTTCTAATTAGGGCAGAGTAACTTCAAGACATGGAGAGAAGTTACGGAAACCAGCGACTGGTTCCAAATAGATTTCTTTTCTTGTTGTACGTGTAGATTTGGAGGGAAGGGGGAGGAGCTTCATAAATGGCTCAAAGAAGTGGATGGAAAATCCTATGACTGTCCTTACAGATGGATGGAATATTATCTATGGAACAGGGTGATAGGACCTCCTAGCTAAGGAGCTCTTTGTCGCTATTTCTGCCCTGGCCCCATGCACTCAAATACACTCCACATCCCAGTATGATGTGTGGGCCGCTGAGAAGAGAAAGAGGCATTCTGAAGGGTCTCAAGTTGGCATAATCTCTCCATGGTTTAAACCACAAAGCCTCACATCTTACCCTTAGATCCACTCTGTGCATTTGCTGTGTCTGGATGAGGTTGGTGGTCAGGCTGGATGAGATCCCAGTGTTTGCCTCTTTCGCAAGAGAAACTCCCACGTTGTTGTTCCCTGCTGAATTTGCCACCGTCATCCCTGGGAGCAAGATCTTGTCTTGATAGTATAAGTAGTGCTAGCTCATATACTTTGAGGTTCTGTCTGATGAGGTGAACTTAAAACGTTGACAAATGAATGTAATGCTATGTCAGAAAATGCACTGTTTAAAACAAAAAAACAACCCCCCTTATTTTTGCATAGTGTCTTCCTGGAGTATATATTTGATAATCGGAGCTACTCTCACTGACAGATCATACTGTTTCCGCTAACATTGTAATTCTAGTAGTCAGGGAAGTTGCTTCTACCAAAACAAACACTGAGATCTTAATTAGTTGCATTAGTTCAGCTTCTTTGAAAGCATTAAAAAAAAATTCTTGCGGTTCTCAGAAGGATTATTGAGCTCAGTGCAAAACCTGTTATTAAGAGGTTCCGTGCATCGGTTGGTTTGACCCTTTTGTCTCTTACTGCACAAATGTAGGAAATGAGGTACAAACCAAATGGATTGTGTTGCTTAAAGTGGTCCACTCGGATGCCTGAATTTTCCTGTAGGGTAGATAAACTAAATGAAATACTACATTTTAAAGAACATAACCCTTCACTCGAGCCAAGCTGGTATGCACCAGTGGTACAGGGTTTGTCCAAACATCCCATTTTAAAAAATAACTAGAATTGGTGTAAGCATGCCCTAAGATTGTGTGTAGGCTCATGTGTAAATGGGAATTGTGGAATCAGCTGAGATGCCTTGGAATGGCAGGCTAAAGGTTCCGAAGAGCATCTTTGGATCACAGAATGGGCTTCTGTTTTAATAGGTCTTTGTGCCATATAACAAACTGCAGCACTTTGTCATGTAGTAGTGCCCTGAAGACCCCTTGGGTGCATGGAATTAAATTCCATCTTTCCTTCTTTCTTTCTTTTTTCTTTCTTTCTTTCTTTCTTTCTTTCTTTCTTTCTTTCTTTTTGCTTGTTTGTTTACCCTGGCCATGATCTAGGTGGTGCTAAAATATGAAGGTAGATGCTACCTTATTTTAAACCAGTTGACTTCTACTTTTGGATACCTATTTTGAAATGGCATTTTTACTTAACTTGTAAAACCTGTAATTTAGCATTGGGTTGAGGAATCCAAAGTGAAATTAATGAACTGATTGATTTTTGCATTCCCAGTAGATTCAGAATCAAAACCAGTGAGATTTATGAACAAAAATTTCACATGATGTTTGTATTTTAATTCTTATCATAGGCTCCTTATGATTTTGTGCAAGATGTTTGGTTTTTAAAGGAGGGAATATGTTATCTTTTAAATTCTGATTGTCTGGAGTATTTTGTTTTTTGGAACAGATATTGAAAATGGATGATCTGCTTGAAAACTTTATGGGACTATTATTCATAAAATAATTTCCTAAGAGAAGTAGCTTAAATTACTTTCTGTAAATTAGCAGAAATGTCCTTGTAGCCGGTGGAACACATAGGCCACTACATTGTTGCCTGGGTGTTTTATTTGGATGGAGTGGGGTAAGCCATCCCCCTTGTACACTGCAGCTCTGATCAGATCTACCCCCTGAGCTGTTTTTAGGTGCAGAAAATGACATGGGAAGAGCAAATCACAGTTCATCAATATAAGGTTGATCCTAAGTCATTGGCACAACCTCAGTGCATGAGAATACACACTTAGGCTCCATGAAATTTACCGTAAGTGGATCTAATCAGCCCAAACTCCCTACTGCATAATAGACACTGTGTAGCTTGGCAAAATATAGTTTGCAAAGATGTGACTCCTCCATTGTACTTAAGGCAAGTATGGATTTAAAATGAGTCACACAGTCCCAAAAGAATGCAAAAACCTAATAAAGCGAATATATAACACATAGTACGCTGCCTCGTAAACTAAGGCTTCTGCTTAATATTAAAATGTCCAGTCCTTGCAACAGCTCTGACTGCTTGAACAGCTGATGTAGTCTTTGGATCAAAATAATGCTACTTAGAATTCTCACTTCCCAAAATACTCACTTTCATATATATTTTTCTTTGTTAATCAAGAGGTCAGAACAACTGCAGTCAAGGTGGGTCAGCTGCAATTAAGCTTTTGTTTGTTTTCAGCTGAACTGGATATAAGCATTTTCAGATTTTATCTTCCAGTTTGTATACTGCATACAGCTAGGCATTATGCATGGATTTCAAATCATGTGGCGCTGACTGACCGTTCTGCATCTGAAGGGAAGAATGGTGGCAGTTCTGTCATTGTATGCCTCACTATTTGAGGCCTGAAGCTCCTTCCAAATTTGCATTTTTGATTAGGTTGCCCTCAAGAAATCTGTGTGCGGCTCACAGAGGCCCTGAGCTCACACTTAATGTGCATGTTTTATATGCATGCTTAAGCCCACACCTCTGAAAACAGCCTCACTGTTCTGCAGTTTGTACACAGAAGGCTGTGCTCAGTAAGTAGCTTCACAGAACGGCCATTGTGAGGAGGGGACAGAGGGTGTGCCAGACCTCCACTTCCCTTGCTTCCTCAACAGGAACTGCCAGGAGGCCCTGTTGCCATAGCTTCTAAGCCTTCCACGCACCTATATTGCCAAGTGGCACTCCATGGGGAGCCAGATTGTACTCTCGAGTTGCTGATTCCTAGAGTTTAAGGTAATGGTGGCACAAGAGTGGTAGGACTTGGTATCTGAAACTACAGATGACCATGACAAGGGAGATTCAGGCTAAGTTTTAATGTTCCAGACCGGAAAGTGGCAAAGCAGCTCATAGGCTACGAGATTTAATTTGCCTTTTAAGGAGGAGTCAAAATTTATGGGTCTAGCCCAAGGCTTGGTAAGGTTTTTAACTCCTTGTTGTTTTAAACCGGTGACTTTCTTACGGACACTTCAATTGCACTGACGAAAACGTAACAGACCCTGTTCAAATGCATCTTCCCGTGCGCACTGGAAAGTGGCACTTGAGACCCTCAAAGATGGAATTTCAGTGTCTTCTGAGATACCACTGCATAACTGCGTGTGTCACCATCTAAAAAAACAGTATTTGCAGGATTTAAATTGCAAGGATACAGTGTTAATCAGATGAAAGGTTAGGAGCTAAACCAAGAGGGCTGTGCGAAAAAGGATATTAAATTTTGCCAGCAAAAAGTATCAGTGGCTTTATGTGCAACAAATGTGAGTAACATGTTGCATATAAAAGGTGAAAGCAGTTTTATATTAACATCATTCACAATTGTCCACTGTATTTTAGTACGATCAGAGTATTTTTGTTTTGAAACCAGCTTAGCCATGAAATTCTATATTTTAAGGCAATTTTCCTTGAGTTAATATGGGCCTGGCTCCTCTTGTTCTGTTGCTTAATGTAATACTTCCAGGCAGGGATGGCCAACTTGGTGGTTTGCAGAAGGTGCCTGCACTGCTCTCCAGGTTACAGCCAGAGTGCAAGGCATGATGGCATCACTTCTCAGCTGCTTCCTCATGCCACTCTGCTCACACATCCTGATGGGAGGAATGCCTGCCAGGTAAGCAGTGGCTCCTTACCTGCTCTATTTTGGCCTGGCCAGCCTCATATAGGAAGCAGGACTAATTTGGCAAAAGAAGCCTGCAAGGAAGATGCACACGGTTCTGTACCTGGTAAGCAATCCTTTCTTCAGAAGCTGAAAGTTACTGTGAATCTTCTGCTACGATTCTCACACTCTGTGGCCAAGCTGCCTTGTGGGGTAAGACAGTTTCATGGCAAGGGAACAGCGAAGACCTCTCTGGGAACTCCTGGGTTATATTGCATCTGGAAAGTCTTTAATTTTCATCCATTATTTGTTTTAGTGAGAAAACAGACCCCTAAATTCCATGCCCATATAGTTTCTCCCCAAAATATCAGGATGCTTTTATTTACTGAGGCACTCACATTGATAAAGCTATGTCAGAAACATGACAGAAAGCTTCGTATATCACACACCTCTTAACACGTTGAAAATGGGTGGGTTTGGGTTTTTTTGGCACTTGCAGATATAAACTAAGTTTTGTTCCTACTATTGCTATAAAAAAGGCATTGGGAATCAGATATTGTTGGAGTCTCTGATCACTGCCATGATTTCTGATCACTGCCAAAACTGGGACTAATGGGAATTTGAGTTGGGCAACAGGTGCCCCCATCCCTGTTGTAAAAGTACATTTAAAATGGTATGAGGGAAAAGCGCAGCAAATCTGTATGCAGTCCTAAGATGTTTAGCACCAGTAGAGCCCTAAGTGTAGAGCTTGACTTCATCTAGTATGATTCTGTGGCAACAATCAAACAAGGCCCTGCTAATCCGTTAAGTGTACCTAAGACAGTGTCAGATTGTGGCTTTTGTCTGTTAATAACTAACACATGAAATGGGTGGATTTCTGAGAGCAAGGTTTGAGGCAACATGTGATTCTGTCAGTGTGTTCTGTTGATGGGAAGACATGTTGCAAGTTTATGTTCATTTCTCTCTGATTTTATTGTACGAGGTATTCAAGGACAAAGTTGTGAGGTTACAAAGCCAGCCCCGCTACGTTTGTCAAAAAAGCCTTTTTTTCCAAAAGGGAAAAAAAAACAGTTTTGGATTGCACTTTTGCAGAGGAAAGAATATGTACATAGCAAATGAATGTTGATGAAATTTAAAATAATTGGTTATGATGCCATTTTTGTGTGGTGTTAAGTTTTTTGGTTGTGATTTATCTGTAATAAAAGAATAAATTGCAGTGAATTGTGTTCATGATTATTGTGGTGTCATTAGACCTCGGCCCAGTATACCTGTAGGAGCATCTCTACCCCCATCGCTCAGCCCGGACTTCCTCCAAGGGTCTTCTGCTGGTTTCCTTACTGTGAGAAGTGAAGTTACAGGGAACCAAGCAGAGGGCCTTCTTGCCAGTGGTGACCTCCCTGTGGAACACCCTCCCTTCAGATGTCAAGGAGACAAAGAGCTACAGTGGTACCTCGGGTTACAGACGCTTCAGGTTACAGACTCCACTAACCCAGAAATAGTACCTCGGGTTAAGAACTTTGCTTCAGGATGGGAACAGAAATTGCGCAGCGGCAGCAGAAGGCCCCATTAGCTAAAGTGGTACCTCAGGTTAAGAACAGTTTCAGGTTAAGAACAGACGTCCAGAATGAATTAAGTTCTTAACCTGAGGTACCACTGTACATAACTTTTAGAAGACATCTGAAGGCAGCCCTGTATTGGGAAGTTTTTAATGTTTGATGTTTTACTATGTTTTATGTGTGCTGTAAGCCACCCAGAGTGGCTGGGGAAACCCAACCAGATGGGTGGGGTATAAATAATGAAACAACAGTAATAATAATTACAGGTTCACCGTGTTGTGCACTTGTTGTTGTTTAGTCGTTTAGTCATGTCCGATTCTTCGTGACCCCATGGACCAGAGCACGCCAGGCACTCCTGTCTTCTACTGCCTCCCGCAGTTTGGTCAGACTCATGTTTGTAGCTTCGAGAACATTGTCCAACCATGTTGTGCACTAGCCCTTGATAATGTGTCACAATCGTTGCTTGCTTTTTAAAATTTTATTTTCATATTTGTTTCGCACTCTTCCTTCAAGGGGCTGAGGAAGCATACACGGGGCTGATCCATTTTGTCCTCACAACAACTCTGTGAGTTACTTCAGGGTGAGAGAGGGCAAGTAGCCCAGGGAGCTGCATTGCTGAGATAAACTGATCTCGCAAGCCTTCCTGTTGAAGCCAGTTGCCACTGCCAGGATTTTGGTAATAGCTGAATGAACCATCTACTGCATCTTAATCTGGAATGCCTAAAGCAGGGCTGTGTCCCGCCAGATATTGTTCGGCTACACCTCCCACCTTCCCTGATGATCAGCCACAGGCAATTAAAATCAAAAGCCAAGTCTCCTTAATAATCTGTTTGATTTTTTGCCATTGCATCGGATCCCTGCCAGTTCCTGCAATTCCAAGGAAAAGGGAGGGTGTTTGTGGTTAAAGATTTACAGGGATCTACAACAATTCTTCTTAGGAAGACTTCATGTGGCAGCGCAGATGCATCTTTTGTAGTGGTAACAAAAGAACAGATGAGAACAGAACAGTACAAATTGCAGCAAGTGTCTGTGCACTGGCACACAACTGATGTGCAGCTGACCTGTTGTTTTTAGTAACATGGGCACAGCTTAAGTCTAGGGGGGGCAAAGAACAAGTTATTTGCACATCCCACTGTGCTTGCCCCCCCCCCCGAGCTCTCCACAGTTGCAGCTCTACCCCCAGCGACTCAAGCCTGTTTTAAAACTGTCTTGCAGGTTGTCTTGCTGTATATGGGAGCTACGGTGGAGGAAACTATACACCAGAATCTCCTGTTGTGTGCATAGTGGCCTTACACCTATGCAAACATCTTTGTTGAAGGGCAGCTTAAGACGTGAATTTCCATTCTGCTTTATCCCTGTGACTGTCTCCTCTTGCCAAGCAAATTAGTTCATTTGCTGATATTACGCTTTGAGCCCCCTTACTCTGGAAGTAGTATGTTATGATTGCTTGATACCCAGGGAATTGCATGACCACAGAAATAAGGTCCCAGACAAGATGTGGGAGTCTATGATTAGAGTCTTCCAAATTTGTGTGTGTGTGTGTTTTAATAACTGCATGGCACTTGGGTGTGGAGATTGGAGAACTGTTGTCCACTAAGCCTTTTTTCTGATTAAAATCCTCCCACAGAAGTTATTGTGGAGAAAACTTGTGTATCGTGTGCATGCTTGCAAACTTTCTCTTGTCAGGGCAAATAGCTTCAGCTACAAATGCAAAAACCCACAGTGATGGTGTTTACATCAGCTCCCATATAATGGCCATAATCTCCAGCTCTGAATGGGCAGAGGTTTCCTATGACTACAAATGCTCAGTACCTTTAGTCTGTGCACACATTTAAAGCACCCTCTCCCTGAATCCTGGGAACTGTAGTTTACTCTTCACAGAGTGACAATTCCTGGCACCCTTAACGAATGATGGTTCTCAGGATTCTTTGTGTGTGTGTGTGCTTTAAATCTACTTTAAATGTATGGCCTGTATGGCGCATCTTAGAGATTTCCTATTCTACAGATTGAGCATTTCCCCCAGTAGAGAAAAGAATGGGCTAACACTGCACAAGGAACGGTTCTTGCTCATGTTCCAGCATTTATGTTTGACTGTGGTAGATCAGCATCCTGGAATGTTTTGAATAGTACCCAAATGTGCTTCTAGTCTTTCAACACAGTAGAGAGTCTATGTATGGGCAGGCTGCAGAAAAGGAACAGGTGTGTTAGTCAGTCTGAATGTTGGTAACTTAATGGCAAGGTGCCAAGGAAAGGGAGTGTTTGCAAAATGCAAAAATACATTTGGCAGACTCTTTAGAGTGTTATCTGGACACGAAGTAAAAAGACAGGCAGCACTTTCATCTTGTTGCGTGAAGCCACTTTGGGGCAGAATGAAGCATCAGGCTGGTGCCCCCTAACAAAAATTTACCAGAGTACAGTGGTACCTCAGGTTACAAACTTAATTCGTTCCGGAAGTCCATTCTTAACCCGAAACCGTTCTTAACTTGAGGTGCACTTTCTCTAATGGGACCTCCTGCTGCCGCCGCCGCAATTTCCGTTCTCATCCTGGGGCAAAGTTTGTAACCCGAGGTAATACTTCTGGGTTAGCGGAGTTTCTAACCCAAAGTGTTTGTAACCCGAGGTGTTTGTAACCCGAGGTACCACTGTATTATGAAGAGAAGGAACAGCAAGTTAAACTAATGGCAAGTGTTGGTCTCATATGTCAGTAACCAGTTTTATTGTTTTGGCTAGGAATATAGGAATATCTACCTCAGTTTTCATGATCTTCACTTGCTCATTTACAAGTTCTGCAGATGAAATTTCCTCTCACTTAAGCCATTTGGGGGGGGGGTGTCAGAAGGAATAGCTTTTGAAAACAGAACAGAACAATAAAAGTTAAGCTGCTTTTTAAAAAAATGCTGGAAAGTCTTTTAGCTGTGTGGACAGGGGCTTGCTTTTTTTGAACCTTAGCCGTGGGCACATTCTGCTCCTTTCCTTTTTTGTCAATCTGTCTTGGCTGTTGAGCTTAATTTTGTTTTGCGTAAGGGCTGTGTACGCTGGGATGTCCCTGCCCAACGGCCAGCAATAGTGTCAGCTAACACCAGTAATGATACACCCTTCTGCTGACATCAGGAAAATGCAGCTTTCTGGAATCAAGGGTGTGAATCACTTGACCTGCTGAGATCAAAATATAAGATGTGCTTCTACTGTCGATTCGTTCTTTACATAAAGGTAAGCTATTTCGGTGCTCACAGTGTGGGTGGGTCACTAGCTGTCAACAAGTGTTAGAAGCACAAAGGAACAAGCCGCTGGTGTTGCAAGGTCAGAGATTCAAAATGATCTGCAAGTTAGACCTGAATGAAGATACTGTTCTAGCTCCAGTTGGTCATTAATAATATAGGTCATTTCTGGTTTATTTTAAGATGGCTCTACATTTTTTTAAAACATTCATTCCTTCATTAAAGTTTTGTTTAAATCTGCCTGCACAAAAGCATGGCAGTTAATGGTGAAAGGGGTCAAGGGGGACAGTGGAAAACTCTGACACCACAGACTTAAAATTGGTCTAACTGTCATTTCCTCTCACAGAACACCTGGTATTTTGAAGCTTTCAGGTACGTGACTTTGCTGTATTCTTCTAGGTATACTTCACAATGCAGGCCAAGATGGTTCATGAGAGATGGTGTGTAGGACAAGAAAGGCAACTAGGAAACCTCAAAAATCATTCACAGGTGCAGTCTCTTCCATTTGCAATAGTATTCCATTCCATTTGCACAAGCATCTAGCTATTGTTCTGGACCTGTGCCCAGTTTTCAAAACCTGCAAGCTTACTACTTGCTGCCTTTCATTAATTCTGCATCACAGGTGTGGCTGCTGAATCACAGACTTCACGTATAGACTTGCAGGCCATTAATTATTCCCTGGGCTGGTTTGTGTGGACTCTTCCCGGATATTATGTGAGAAGGATCAAAAAGTTTGATGTTACTCTGCCTACATGAAACTTTTTCCTTTTTTTTTTTTTTTTGGCTTTGTAGTCTTTTATAGCCTTTGTAATCTGTCTTGGAGACTGGCCAATTCTCACACACCCAGAAATGCCCTCTGAAATAAATTAGTCATTCGGATACATTTGCTCAGAGAAACTTTCAGGTTTATTCATTGCCCAATGCTAAGGACAAGTCTACTCTGGTTTAGGCCTACAAAGGAGACATGTCCTCAAACATGTTTATAGCTGCTAGGCTTCTCCCAGGAGTCCCAAATCTAGCCAGCAGCACTGAAAGGTGAATTGGTGTAGTTTAATGGCTAAGGATTTGTGCTGTGAGGCAGGGAGGGGTCACTGGTTCAAATCCCTCTGCAGTCATGGCCTAAATGGACAAGCCTCCATCAGAGTGAGATCCAGCAGGTACCATGGGTCCTAATCTCAGTTGACTTCAAAGGAGCTGACCCTGGCACTGACAGAAAGTGTCTTTGAAGGTGTGCTGTCAGCTGATAGGTCCTGGCAGCAGCTCCTGGCTGCACTAAGGAGTTCCTGATGGGGAACTTCCCTAGTGTATTAGATGCTAGCCAAGTCTTCACCTGCCCAGCGCCTGATGTCACCTGTGACATTAGGTGTTGCGCAGGCCTATGTGGTTTGAGGAAAATGGTCTTGTGGGCCTAATTAGACCCCTGCTGGGCTTAATGACGCCTATATGCTGGTGATTCCCAATCATTGCCATCCTTCCCTACAATGCAAAGAAGAAAAAAATACCAACCCACCTTAACAGGCTGGTTTTTCTCATTCTGAATGTATCATACGGCTTGTCCATTCTAAACCACTTAATCAAGGTTGATAATTAGGAGGCCTACAGCAAATGTGTGTTTGGAACCCCTGTATATAATACAAGTTTTGTAGGAATGTTAGAAAATGGACAATCAGGCAATAAAAGAGGAAACAAGGAAAGCAGAAAAGAAGTAGGTATTGAAACTGTATTAATTCAGTGTTTAAACTACTGATAAGCAAGCAAAACAGTTAAATTATCAAATTCAGGATAGAATTCTACAGATTTAATCAATCCAATCCTACAAGGGAAAAAACCACCCCTTCAATTTTTATGTTATGCAGTCCACCAAAGGCACAGTTACAAGTTTAATTCAATGAGACTTAATGACAAATTGATCAACTGTGACCAAACTTGTTGAAATAGTGACACTGTAAGTGACATAGGGTAAAGTATTAAAGCAAGGCACATAGGTAAATAGTTCAGTTGAGGCAGCTAACCTATAGTCTTCCAGATACTGTAGGACTCCCAACTGCCATCAGCTCCAACCAGTAAGGCCAGTGGTCAAGTCTGATGGACGTTGGGAGTCCAACAACACTGAGAGGCCTGTAGGCTAGCCTACAGTAAAAGAAAAAGTATAATCTCATTAACTATTTTTCATCTCTCTCTGTATCCAACACTTCATTAGCGACTCATAGACAACTATTCTTCCTTGTGAGAAAAGGATTGCGTTGGGGGTAAATAAAAGAATCAGGGTCCCAGGGATACACACAATTGCTTGAAGTCAGGAGAATCTGTCCAAACAAAAGTGTTTTGAAGATCATAGACTAATTAGTAGTTACTTTGGAATAAGATTTGACCCTCACACTACTGCTTTTCCAGCTTCTACTTCCCCAAGTATGCTTCCCCATGTAACATTTATTCCTATATTTAGAAGTGACATTGTGGCACCTCAGACCAAACTAACGCGCTCAGGTGTTCGTGAGAGCATGTTGAATTAAAGTGCTGTAGTTCTTAAAGTAGGGAGTCTTACGGATTTTCAAGACGGGTTGATGGGACCAAACACCATGCATTTTGTGACACTTTAGGAAAGAACTTTTTTGATTTGATTTGATGAAAAAGTGGGCAAACTGAAAATGCATCGCTACCGACAGGGCTCGATGTCACAGACACAAGACACGTCCCACGATTATGAGGAGCAAATCTGTGAACATTTTCAAGCCGCATAATTAGAACAAAAATATATGAAAGGATGGCAGTTGGGAAAGAAATATAATCACATTAATACTAATCGACTCCTTCCATGTCAGCATCTAACAACTGCAGAACCGGATGACCCTGAGCAAGTTGTTTTGCCGTGTCCCCTTCATGTTTTTCTGCTGTGGGTGTGGATGCTGCTGGCTGTATGGAGAGATTCTCTGTGTCTTGTGGCATCGGGAGCAATGGCTCTGGGGGACAAACTGGACCACATGCTTGCAGACTACACGGTTCTTCAGACATTTCTACATTAGTGGCTACCAGGGCTTCAGGTGTGTCCACATTAGCGGTTATTGGGAGCATTCCCTCATGATGGGTCACCATGAAAGCTGCAGCCAGATCCTTCAGAATATTCTCATCAGTGGCAGGTAGCTCAGCAGCAGCAGCCTGGTCTGCAACAGAGGAGCTCACACTAGCCTCATTTTTCAGACCATCATCCTGTCCACTCAGTTGTGGTGTTGGTGGTTGTTCTTCCTCCTCTTCTTCTTCCTCCTCCTCCTCCTTCTCCTCAGGGAATTTTGCATCTTTTATTTTTTTGTACAGCACATTCCTTTCATCCTGAAGAGCTCTGCACAGATTCTCCAGCCTTTGAATTTTCACTACAAAGCACTCATACTCCTTGGCTCGCATGGCTTTCTGTGATAGAGCAAACAAAGCGTTTGAAGGCTGCTGCGTCGACAAATGGCACAGGACAACCAGAGGGGCCAGTTTAATAGATCAAGCAAAAATCAGGAAGATGGTTAAAGAATGTGGCTTGAAAAGTGACCTCCCCAATCAAGAAGTGGCCTGGCCACTTCTGCAAAGTGTTTTTCCTGCTGACACAGTCTTACAGTTCTCTGGAGTGGTTCTACAGGCCCTGGGGTCTTTATAATAGTTTATGTAAATCTTTGGAGCTGGCCAAATGTTACAGAAGTAAACATTTACTGGCAGAATGGGGGGGGGGGAGGGAGTCAAGTCAGGAAGTTACAAACTACATGTAGCATATGCTGTTAGACTTTCACTTCTGCAATGTGAAGTTCAGATAATTTAGGAGTAGAAGGTCATGTTAAAACATCTCTGTATATATATTTTTAATTCCCTGCCCGAATTTCTCTTGCTCAGAGAAAATGTTATAGCTTTTTCCACATCCAACATTATCCACGCAAAGAAAGGTGATACTTTATTTTTAGTTACTTCAACAGCCCAGAGGCCACAAAACAGTCAAGAAAGCACCCTGCCGATTCATACTGGCAGCTTCCTCATCTCAGAACTAGGACCAATCTGCTTCCTCTCAAAAGCCTTACATTTCTATGTTAGTCATTCAGGTGCTTAAGCATCCCACATACAATAAACTACTTGCCCCCCCCCCCCGTTTATTAGCTGCCACTAATTAGCCAATTACTAAGTTAGAATTTAGGGACGCGGGTGGCGCTGTGGGTTAAACCACAGAGCCTAGGACTTGCCGATCAGAAGGTCGGAGGTTTGAATCCCTGCGACGGGGTGAGCTCCCGTTGCTCAGTCCCAGCTCCTGCCCACCTAGCACATCAAGTGCAAGTAGATAAATAGGTACCGCTCCAGCGGGAAGGTAAACAGCATTTCTGTGCGCTGCTCTGGTTGGCCAGAAGCAGCTTAGTCATGCTGGCCACATGACCTGGAAGCTGTACACCGGCTCTCTCGGCCAATAAAGCGAGATGAGTGCTGCAACCCCAGAGTTGGTCACGACTGGACCTAATGGTCAGGGGTCCCTTTACCTTTTTTAAGTTAGAATTTAATTTCCCAAAACATTCTGCAAGAAGGTGACCATCTTTTTTTAACCACTCTTAAAAACACCCACCCCAACCCTCTGTTGCTATATTTCAAAATGTAACATTCCTGACACCTGCAAAACTTTTTAGGAAGACCCCAAAATTGTCTAGCTTTTTTGGGGAAACCTCCCCCAAAATAGTGATTTTAAGCTTTTGGAGCTGTTTCCCACTGCTTTTTCCATTGCATTGCCATACATCAAGCTCTTCAGCGTTTCAGGCAAGCATGGAGATGCTGGGTATTAGACTTGAGACTGTTTCCATGCAAAGCTGATGCTGTACCACTGAACTATGGCCCCTTTGCGATTGTGAATGCTTTATGAGCTTTACAATGGAAGCTGTATCAGAGAGCTATTATTCAGAACAATTTATGAGATTGCATCACTGATGCTTAATTAATTTAAAATTGTTCAAGGAATGGTTTCTCACCTCTTCAATCATGTCCAACAAAGCTTTATTGCAGTTCTCAAACCTTGCTTTCCACGTAGCTGTATCCTTTTCCAACTTTTTCATTTTCTTGGTCATCTAAGAAGGGAAAAATCCAGTTGGCATCAGGAACAAGCCAGCATTTACACACATCCCATGTGAACAAGTGCTGATCCCAACCTTGGCAATAGTCAAGGGTTCTAGTTTGACTTATGGCAGTACGGTTGTACCTTGGAAGTCAAATGGAATCTGTTCCAGAAGCCCATTTGACTTCCAAAACATTTGGAAACCAAAGTGCAGCTTCTGATTGGCTGTAGGAAGCTCCTGCAGCCAATTGGAAGTCGTGGATGTTCGGCTTCCAAAAATAGTTCCCAAACCAGAACAGTCACTTCTGGGTTTGTGGTGGTCAGGAGCTGATTTGTTTGGGAGCCAAGGCACGACTGTACTCACTAATCATACCATGAAAATGGGAGAACATCAATTTGGGATCAGCTCACAAAAATCTCTGACTGTACTCTGCCCATGTTAAAATACATTTGATGGTGGAAAAGAAAGGTCTTAGAATAAAAAGACATTGTCAACTAGATCCCCAAGTGCTACTTGCCTGTCAGATTTACTGTTTCCTTATCTTCAGAGATCAACTGAAAGCCCACACATCAAGGTGTGCACACAGCAATATCTCATGTATGTGGAACACATTCTTGCCTCAAAGCAGTAACAAGTCAGGGATTTCACAAAATGTTTGTTGCAAGAGCAACCCGCATCTATAATAGCACTGCCAATCTGTTATAGTTCTTTTACTCTATTAGTTCTTGCTTTCAATGAATTAGTCACTTAATTCAAATGAATAACACAAACATTACAGTGCCTTAATGGCAGTGTGGTTTTGTGGATAATTAACACAGGAAATAATTTACTGCTTGGAAATCAATCTTTAAGTGCTTTGCACAAATTACAAGCTGCCCCATGATAGTCTGCAACAGTGTCAGCACTGAACACCTTCTTAAAAAAAATAAAAGGGTCAGTTGTTCTGATCCATATTTAAAATCTCTGAGTGAATGATAACTGGCAGAACAACAAAGTCATATGGAGCCATGGACACTTTGGCAGTGCAAGCAGGTACTGGCAGAGGATGCAAGGCAGCTCATAAAATGCTCGACTTATGCAGCAGGAGATATCTGTGCTGCTGTTTTAGGAAAGACAGCCTGCTCAGAATGACATGCAAGTAAATACCAGTGGAAAAGTTAGTATGTCAAGAAAGTTGATCTAAATCTCTTCTCCCTAGCACACTTTCCATACACAGCAGAGCATTCAAAAAGTTGTTACCCTCTCTTACCTATTGCTAAATAATAATAGATTATCATACAGCAGGACTGACCTGCTGGGAGCCTGAAGGGCCCGGCCCTGCTTCTCTCCACCTGGCTTAAGGCGGGGCCTGACAGGCTCCATAAAGGACTGTTGCTGCTGCTGCTGGGCAGAGAGGGCTCCATTTTTGTTTTTGTTTTGTTTTTAAATTGCTTTTATTTTTTATCTATGTCATTTTACATTGTGACTGATATTAATGCTGTATTTTTAGATTTTTAAGATTAGTTTTAGATTTTATGATTTATGTGGAAATCGTTTTCCATTTGGTTGTGTACTTTTTGATGTGTTTAATTATTGCTTATGGCTTTTGTTATGTTGGTAATTATGTAAATCTTGTCATGTTGTAAGCCGCCTTGAGCATTGTTTTAACTATGGAAAGGCAGCATACAAATTGATGATGCTGATGATGAAATGTCTTATTCATATCTGGGCCACTAAATGCAATTTCTGTGCTCCAACAATGTTTAATGGTGATAAGGTATACACACCTGTGTGACAGCAATGCAGGGTTCATTATTATTATTTATTAAATATCAATACTGCCCTGCATCCAATTGTTTGAGTTTGACTCTTAATGGTATCCATTGCACCTTACAGGAAAATGTCAGCGTGTTTCTGATTGATTCCATAACAGAAAAAGTCTTATGTGAACCTGAAGAAAATTCACTGGCCTCTGCTACCAAAATGGCAAGCCCTCCAGAACAGATTTGAGAGACAAAATGTATTAACTGACCTTATCCATCTCTTGCTTGAAGCTGGCAAACACCTCATTGCTTTTTGTCAAGGTTTTCTGAAACTCCTCAAATCGTTCAGAATAGAGCGCAAGCTGCATTCAGAGAAAGGAAACATAAGTCAGTTCCACAAATTCCGTTCACAGTTCCACAACGAGAAAGGTGAACCCCCTGCCCAAACCTTCAAATTATTGCAGGAAGAGAGCAAGATGAAAGAGACTGTGATTTTTAGCAAATAATTTATTTTATACTTACAGAATATTTTAATCTATTTGGGGCAAATGATCTTTTGAGAGGAGGATATCAAAAACTAAAAATAGGAAAAAGGCACTCGGAAGCAAAAAAACCAACACATATGTTATTAGGTTTAAACACCAGCATCACTCAAAGTAGGTAAATAAGATGTGCTGGATGCTCTGAAGCTTGATAAGGTCTGTGAGGGACCTCTAGTGGTCAGGGCAAAAGACTTTTGCATTTTTAAAATGTGTTCTTTCCTCCCTTTGGACAGATTATGTCTTCTCTCCCGTATGTCTTTCAATCTCTCATAAATCCAGTTCTTCTCTTACCTCTGCTGTTTTGTCATAAGGGCACAGTACATAACATGGGTGGCTCTCTCTTAATAAATTAATCCAGTAACAAATTTATTTAAAAGACTTCAGTAGCATTTGCATTATTTCACCTATTTATTGTAAACATGAAAACAAGTTCTGGAATTGTGTTACTACTTTGCTGCCCATTAAAGCCTTGAAATGCCTTCTCCATCCAGCAAAACTTCCAAGTCTGAGAGCATTAATAAGAATAGTACTAAGACTATCCCTGCACTCAAGTCTTCCACTTATTGTTACTTGTTCTATAGCTGACAGGTCGTGGTACACAAGAGTAACTGACTCGAAAACAGGAAGTAGGAACATCACATATCCATTAAAAAACAGCAACTCTCATCTTGCCATATGATCTGCCCCATGTCTGCCTCCATTTTTGAGGTATGTGGTGTTATAGTCAATTTCAAGCTGCCTTGAGAATCAGTTGATTAAAAAGCAGAATATATAATCTTATAAAACAAGGGAGACTTAACATGTCAAAGTGGACTTGTCCAAGGTATAAAAGGAAGTATAGCTAATTTTTAGTTTGCTTTAAAGGGCACATTTGGAGCGGTGGGGGGTCATAAATATTTTTGCATTTTCAATTTTAAAAAACTACTTTTCTAAAAAAATGGGGGAAAGGGTGGGTTGGAAACCACAAGAAAATGATTGAGAGGGCTGGATATGGCCCGTAGACTAACCACCCATTAGAAATAAAACTATCATGAAGTGAAACATACCTAAAGTAGCTTGCAAAAATAATAAAAAAGAGAACAAATAATTAATAGCCTCTGACATGGGACAATGGAAGAAACCACCAAGGCAGGGGCAGGGACCACTGGGCATGCTGGCTGCGTCTGATGGAAGCTGGTATCTAATAAAATCTGGAAGGCCATCGGTTCCTCACTCTGCACTAAATAAATAATTGCTGGTGTAAAGTTAAAGAGAAAATGACCCCATACAGTAAAATAATAATATTCCTCTGACCCTGGTCATCATATGTTTTGATTCTTCCTGCCCCTTGAGATGTGGCCTAGATTATGGACAGATCAATGCAAATACTTCCCAAGTGCGCGCTCATCTGACCTTTGCTTGCAGAGGATATGCTTTAATGAAGCGTAAAGCGCAACCATATATTAAACTCTCCCCTGTCTTTAGTACATTCATTCCCGCCCCCCTTCAAATAAAGAGGCACGTCATACAGACAGCAGCTGTTCTTCACCTGGGCCTGGAGAACTGTCTCTTGCTCCTTCAGCATTTTTGCTTGTAGTTTCCACTCTGCAGCTTGGTTAAGTAGCTGTGTTTGACACAAAAGGAATAGCAGTGGAATACTTGGACTTTTTATTTCAGTCAAAAGTCTTTAGAATCCATCTACGTACTTGCAAAGCTCTCTCTCTCTCTCTCTCTCTCTCTCTCACACACACACACAGTGCTTTTTTTCTGAGGGTACGCATACCCCTAAACATGTTGAGAATCTAAGTTTGGCCTCACTGAGGGGCAGTATTTCAATATGAGTAGGAAAATGAGAGTACCCCTAAACATTTTTTTTAAAAGAAAAAAAAAGCACTGCACACATTACTATCTTGGAGGTGCCACAACTATGATGTAGAACAGAAGGAAAGAGGCAGGGGGCACCAAATTTTGGCACTGCTGAAATTTGAGACCCCAAAGTCTGCCATTGTTAGCATTCTAACTTTCCAAACAACTGCTGCAAAAGCTAGAGCAATGAAGTTAAGCAATATACACAAGGGCTGTTTCGTGTGGCTTTCAAAATGATAGGTGGGTGTGGGTTTTTTTACTTCCTTCACCAGAGGTTAAAAAAAAAGCAGCGAGATAAAAATAAAATCTTTTGGGAGAATTACAGGTAGGTTGTGTTTAACGGTATGAAACAAAATGCTGAATAGCCTGAGGGTCAAGGTCTTCAGGATAGTCATTTATCCTGCAAACTGTCTGGGTTTTGACACTGCTTAAAAATTTCATCAGGCCTTCACTGTCACATATTCCAGCTGGCATGCTGAAGAAGTCCAGCATAACTGATGAGGCAGAAATCATTTTTTCCAGTAATCTGTTGTGGCTCACTAAACAGTCCCCCCCCCACCTTCTCTGGTCTTATTGATGTCCTGTAGCAAATGTATTTTAAGTTATTCTTAAATATTTATTTTAAAAAACACCTAGGAGTTATCCTGCAATAAAAGCAAATGTTCAAAGCAGTGTTTTAAATTAGCATGAATTTTTTTTTTAAAAAATCAAAATAAAAAATGCAGCCTGAGGTAATCTTCAGAAGCCAACCTGCTCAGCCAGACACAAATATTGGTATTTTTTTATTAATAAAATATGAAGCAGAAACGAGGAAGGACTCAAAGCAGAAACCAATTCGTAAAGAATATAGTACAGTGCTACTGAATGCAGTTTACACCCATAAAGCTTGTTCTTCAGCTCTTGCCCACTCCTAGAATTATAGAAACGTCCGAAGAATCTTGTTAAAGTTGAACTGCTCCAGGCTAGGCTTAGCACAGCCTCAGTGGGACTGCTCTGATTCCCTTCTGCCTGAACTTTCCTGTCTAAACTGGCATTCTAATTAAAAGACAGGGATGTAGTAAATAACTTTTTCAGAGAAGAATTTCTCCAAACTTCTTATGACCACAGACAATTTTCATTGCTCCAGAAAGGTGCTCTGGCCTAATTTCAATAAATGGGAATTCACAAGACATGGACAGAGGGAAGTTGCCAATTAGTCAATGGAACCTGGAGTTCATCTTCAATTCTAATAAGCTGATAGCACTGGTGTTGAGAGCAAATGTTGCTGTGGCTGTAGGTAGCAATGGGTTATGTTGGCCTGTCAATCCCAAAGCTGCCCAAAGAGCCTGGAACTTTGAACTGTGGTGACTATCTAGCACCTTTCAGCCTCAGGGAAAAATATGTATTATTATAAGCAACATGGGGCAGGGGGACCTACAGTTTCTCTTCTCACAATGCAAGTCTGCTTTGGGGAGCTAGATGAATTCAGAAGGCTGCAAACACCCGCCCCCCTCACGAATTTATAACCTCCAGTCATTCTTGAGACTGAATTTACAACCTCAAGGTTCTGGACATAAAGTTTACCAGGAGTCACTAAACAACCACAAGAGTGCCGCAGTCGTTATTAAGAAGTTAGCCTGCTTCTATCTACTGGTTCACATATTGTCTGAGGCAATACCAGTAACAACATCCACCTGCCCAGGTGTTTTCCAACAGCCTTTTCCTGTGAAACCAACGCCTGCAGACAAAACGCTTAGCAACCTGTCAAAATGGAACTCCTCCCCTTTCTAAAGAAGAATTAGTAATTTAGTAAAATGAGTTAGTAAAATGAAACTGGAATTGACTCCCTGGAGTGACCCCCTTCATGCGAATGCTGAAGCTGGTTCGGTGGCAGCAATACCTGTCTGGATGAATGCATGCGGTCATGGCCTCCACTTAAATCTAGACCTGATCTTGGGGATGAAGTATGATGCTGATGGTAACTGGCTACCTGCTGTATCAGTGCTAGATCAAGCCCCTCTGTATGGATACTAAGCTGGTTATCTTAGGGAAATTTGGGTATATCTTGGGGCGGGGGTGTCTTTCTCTCAGCAGCTAAGAGTAGTTGCCAATTTTGTAATGATAAAATGTCTAGGGAGCTCTTGAAATTCATGAAAACTAGGAAAAGGGGTGTACATCCCTGGAAAATGTTTCCTAAGGCATGTTTAAAGTTGTAAGGATAAGAGTACTGCATTGAACATTTGAGTTTTTAATAATATGACGAACACGACTAGTTGTACAAACAGCCAGTATGCCATATGAGTGAGAACAGCTTCCCCTGTGCCACAGGGAGGCAGCAGAGCTATTCCATTGTCTGATGGCTCTTGCTTTCAGCCTTCGCTTTTTACTCTCAATTTGTCTTCTGAAAAGAAGGCTGCTTCCAGATCACCTGTTTATTGAGCAGTCATCAGGATTTATTTGCCAAAAAAAAAAAAAAAGCGTGCAGAGGTTAGACACAGCTGGCTACTGACCATTCACTCCGATTTGTTTGTGGGTAGGTTATAATTCAGTCAGGGAGTACTTGACTGCACAGAAGCAGAGATGTTAAAGGAGTCTTGTGTTTGCTAAGCTTCATGCTTAGATAGCTATAATTTCCAAGTGCCCTAGTGCACCAAAACATAACACAGCCAGTGTAGCCTAGTGTGAAGAATGCTGGGACTGGGAAGATCTGGATTCAGAATTGTCTCTTGGTCATGGATCTCACTGGGTGCCTTCAGGCTAGTTCCTGTCTTGGTCTAATAGACATCACAAGACTGAAGTAAGAAGAAGCATGGATAACAGCATGTGTACCCAGAAAGCTGTAGGATATCGCTATGGCAAACAAACATAATTTCTCATGGGGGCATCAGATGCTTGAGCAAACTGTAGGCTTGTTTGCATTGGCTTCAGTCTGTCCTGAGTCCACCTGCCTGCTCTCTAACTTACAATCACTCCAGTGGTGAAACTGCTTGTCAGCTTCCCCTTCCTTCGCTTCAGTGTCAACTTTGTGGAACAGGGAAGAGAATGGAAGCAAAACTAGAGTTTGCTGCCTCTGCCTGCCATTGGCTCAGGCGCCCCCTACTCTTCCTCCCTGCCTTCTGCCCCACCAGGCCCAGTGGCACCGGCTTGTGTATTGTTACAGATTTTAAACCAGGGTGGATGCCGCTCAGTGCTGAGATAGGAGGCCACTTGTCTCAGTTCAGACCAGGAACAACTACTTAAAATGGGAAGATGGCATTCCAGACCTGTGCTTGGCCTAAAGGGAAAAATAAAGCTAAAGGCAAGTACTTACATATTCCTTCTCTCGCTGATGTCGTTCCTCAGCTTCTTTCATCACTTCCTGCGACTGTTCCAGCTTGGCATCCACCAGTTTCTGCTGAAGCTCCCTGTGCTTAAATATCTTATCTAGGTGCTGGAAGAAAACACATTGCAATGCATTTTGTTTAGATGTAGTGATTTTCCTGCCTATAGAAATAATGGAGTTTTAGATTTTAAAAAATCCACATAAAATTGCAGTCCTTATGCACATTTATCTAAGGTTGGCCTAACTGAATATTAGGGTTAACAGTCAAGTAAGCATGACATGTTTAAATGTTGGGGCTTCTGCTCCTGCTCACTTTGCTCGCCAACTCTGCTTACCCACCATACCCTGAACTCCTCCCCACACAACAACTCCAACTCTAGTGGTTGCTGAGATGATGCAGGTGGAGCTCTCTGTTATAATAATAATAATAATAATAATAATAATAATAATAATAATAATAATTTATACTCCGCCCATCTGGCTGGGTTTCCCCAGCCACTCTGGGCAGCTTCCAACAGAATATAAAAATACAACAATCTATTAAACATTTAAAACTTCCCTAAACAGGGCTGCCTTCAGATGTCTTCTAAAAGTCTGGTAGTTGTTTCTCTCTTTGACATCTGGTGGGAGGGCATTCCACAGGGCGGGTGCCACTACCGAGAAGGCCCTCTGCCTGGTTCCCTGTAACTGTTGCTTGACTGACTTCTTGGGTCACTGACACTTAACTGAAAGGGGAGGAGTGAGTCATGGGAGTACAGCGATGGAGGCAATCTGATGCTTCTGCTGCCACTTACTGCACCAACCTTCCTTCCGCCTTGGTTAGGGGCAGCAGCCAGTGATATTGGGAAGGGAATGCTCCCTTTCTCCACACACTCAGTCCTCCTGCCTGCCTGGGCCTGGCTTACTTCCTCTGCTCGCCTCCTCACTCGCTCTTCCTGTTCAGACCGTGGGCCACTAGCTGCCAGGGTGGGAATGAAGGGCAGAAAGGCTTTCTTCCCTTCAGTCCCTGCCACCTTCTTCTGGGGCTTCTCTCAGCAGCGGCAACAACAAGGACATTTCCCCCTTCATTCCACCAGTGGCAGCAATGACAACAGGAAGATCATTGGAAGACCTCCTTGGGTTGACTGCTCTGCCTGGGGCTTCCCAGGCTTCCCTCACCCTGTTTAAACTTAGCTGCTACATGTGCACTCAGTCACCAGCATGACAACAGCCAAAGGCAAATATTTTAGATATTTAAAACTTAGATTTTAGATGCCCTGTGTATACCCAGTATGGAGCATACTCCAATAAATAACCAAATTAATAAGCTACTAATTTGTGCTCCAAAGCTGGGCATGTAAGGGGAGAAGGATTCTTGGTTTGCATATTTCTTTAGAGATGCTTTTTGAAACTTACCTGCAGTGAATGGGTGGGTGAGCATATACACTAAATAGCTATGCTGCTTTTTGCCAAAAGCTGAATGCACTTGCAAGAGGAATGAACAGAGAAGACTAGAAATTACGGCAACAGATCTGGCACAAGTTAGCCTTCTGCAGTATTTGTATGTTGTTCTCACCTCCTCTCTGACTTCATACTGATCTATGATACTTTTCAATTTCTCTGCCAGCTCACTGTTCTCCTGGCACAACTTCATGTTCCTTTCACTTTGCTGCTCAATCTGCCCCTGGATATCGTTCAAGGTGCCTTGGAAATGATTAGTGATCTCCTTCCTTTTTTCCTCATCCTCTCTTGCTCGCTGAAGGGTCTCCTCCTGTAATGCAATATTCCAATAAAAGCAAATTATATTATTTCCATAGGAGATAATTAGCATCCAGATTTTTGTTATTGTAGTGAATGAGTGAGAGACGCATCCTTTTGCAGGGGGATTTGGGTGCCCTTCAAACAGGAATGGGAGGGCAGACGAAATAATGACTTTGGGGGGCACATTCATTATTGCGCCTCATTTACGATATTGAGATTGAAGTGTTTCTTGCTCTGATTTGAGGGCTTAGAATTTGCAACAGCAATTAAATAAACATTACAAACTGGTTTCCCTCTCTTGTTGTCTCTGTATATGTAAAAAGGAAGGGGAAAGCTTTCTTAAATTTTATTTCTTTCATTGGGAGTAAGCACCACAGAACACAGTGGGATTTCTTTCCAAGGAAACTTGCACAGGATTGTACCACTATGCAAGTTTTTCAGTTGTGTTTTGTTGAGTTTAAAATACTGATGGTTTTATTTTATGGTAAGTGTGGTAAATCTTTGAAGGCAACCTTCAGGACGAAGGTCAAAAAACAGGGTAAACACATGTCAACACATGCATAAAAGACAACATTTGTCTTCCTTTCTTAACCCCTCTTCCCCCCACACCCATCTCTTTCCTGGTCCATGAAGTCAGCTTTGTAGACACACAGCAGGGCTGGAGAACTTGTGGCGCTCCAGATGTTGCAGCAGTTCCAGCTACCTTCATCTCTAGCCAGCACGATGATGGAAGTTGGAGTCAACAGTATCTAGAGGGCCACAGGTTCCCCATTCCTACCTCAAAGACTGTAGAGATATGACAAGCACCCACCCTTTGTACAGGTGTGGACTACTTATACTTTCTACAAACAAGGCATTTTTGTTTCTACAAACTGTTCCAACTATATGAAAAAAATTGGGTGTTTATTTGTAGTGCTTTTAATCCCACCTCAAGTTGTTTTGTATAGTTTAAAAATCTTTTTTAGTTGATTATTATTGTTGGATTGCAAATCACTTGGAGAGTTATATAAAAGGCAATTCACAAATTAATAAAACCACCAGTGTCATATACTAGACCAATGGACCCTCCTTGACCTGTCACATAAATGAGGTGATAAAGCTGACAAGTTCATTTGTAGCAGATTTGGAAAAAGCAATCAATCAATCAATCAATCAATCAATCAATCAATCAATCAAAGAGAGGCTGGATAGTTCTGTCCTCTGATAGGCTTCATGCTAGCAATTTCAGCAGGAAAACTTCTTAGCAAGATCTTTTGCATTTCTCAAGAAAAAGCCAAAGGCTTCATTTCAACAGGCTGGTGATCTTTTGTTAAGACTCACTGTGTCTTCCAAGGTGAATGTAAGCAGTCAGAATCACTGAGTTCCATGGAAACCACTCCCTGGAAATTTTATATAGGATTGTTCTTCCAGTGTTCCTAATAATTTGGGTACTACGAGAATGCCTGTGACTCTTTTTGGGAACATGGCTTTGAGAGCTTTCTTGATGAGCTCCTGCACTTCAAAATTTAACACTACACCATTGTACGCCACTATCTCCTGTATTTAAGGGGCTTGGGAGTGTGTGGGTTTATCTGTTCTATTCCACTCGATTTTGTGTGTGCGGGCGCATGTGTGTGTGTGTATGTCTTTCAGGGATTCTCCTGTTAAGCAGCAGCCCTCTCATGTTATGAAGCCTCCCTGGCCCTATTCTGGAAGCAAGGTGGAGGCACACAATTAATTTCAGTCACATTTTGCCAAAAATCAGGCAAAAGCTGACAGTACGTTGACCAAGAAGGCAGTAACTAACAGCCTATGTCTGTAGCTGGCATTTTATTCTTAGGATTCATGGGGTTTGGGAACAAAGGATTTCCTACCAGAAGCTGCTGGCCGTGTGCTGGTGGGTTGAATCTGAGCAATGAACTTGTACCACGGTGCCTGGCAGGGCTTCTGGCCATTGATATAATACTGGCAGGGTTGTGGAGCTGGGCCCTGTATTGTACTCAAGACAACAGTTGGCCAGTAGACAGGGACAGAGCTGCATGGCTCCATCTCACTTGTCAGACTTAAGATGCCACTTTAATTCAGATTACAAGATCAAAAACAGCAGGGCAGCTGCTTATGCGGTTCACTTTTGCTGCAGAACAAATGGGAGTTGTCACCAGTGTATCCTGCAAAAAAAGAGTGCACTGTAGAAGCCAGATAATGAGCATAAAAACATCCACTAATGAGATAGTAGCTTTGAAAAGAGCAAGGAGTTACATCTGGGCAGACCAACACAAACAAAGATTTATTGTTACAGAAGATAGAGTAACCGAATTAAGACTAAGGTTTCTAGCAGAGTACTTTTAAGCTGAAGGTAGTCCCCATGCTACGGTATCAGGTACCCTCAGTGGACAAAAAATAGATTAAGAAAGCAGTATTTGGCTGCAATTCATTTAATCCAAAAAGGCACAAACATGGATGTGGAGACTGCAAAAATGTTGCTGAGACTCCAATTCTATGCACACTTAATTGGGATGAAGTTCTATTGAATTTAGCAGCCCTTCTTTTGTAGTAAGCACACATAGGATTTGGAATGATTACCTCCTCATTTCCACTGCTGCAACACACTAGAAGGATTGTTGATATAATATGTTGAAGCTACAGTGGTACCTCGGGTTAAGAACTTAATTAGTTCTAGAGGTCCGTTCTTAACCTGAAACTGTTCTTAACCTGAGGTACCACTTTAGCTAATGGGGCTTCCCGCTGTCGCTGTGCTGCCGCCATGCAATTTCTGTTCTCAACCTGAAGTAAAGTTCTTAACCCGAAGTACTATTTCTGGGTTAGTGGAGTTTGTAACCTGAAGCATCTGTAACCCAAGGTACCACTGTATTTCATTTGTTTGTTTGTTTTCTAGCTAGGATTGGGAGCAGTTATCAGACTATGCACCCATGAGCTGGCCGGCTGTTTAAAACATTACAGTGGCAGCATAGCATAAATTCATTGCATATAGGTCCCCATTGCCACTGTTTCAATATCTTCCCATTTGAACATGTGCAATGTTATGTCAGAGAGACACATGGGAAATACAAAAAAACCAACAACCCCAGAGGTGGGTCAAGTAAAAGGTCTTTCCCAGTGCCAAATTGGTTTATCAAAATTAAATGCATTGGCTGCACTTATTAGATCCCAGTTAGCATGGTGAGGCAGGCATGCAGTCTTACTGAATGACTGGATACACATTCTGTGGCTTGTGTTGCAATAGATATTTGCAGAAGTGCCTCAGTGCTAAAACGCTGCTGGCAAGAAGGACACAAATATCTAAAAAGCACTTTGGCCTGGCAATACAAATAATTCTGTCATTTGCTTCACTGGTGCAACCCAACTGAGCAAAGCACAAAGTGCCCACCTCAGTGCCTTGCAGTTTGTTTCCTTAACAGGGAGCAAAGCTGTCTTCTTTCACTCCAGGTGCAATCAAAAGCACTGTTAACATGACACTGGTGTCCATACAATAAGAGATGGGCATCTGTGATACTGTTGGACTATAATTCCTATCAATCCCAGGCAGCATAGCCAATGATTGATGATGACAGAGTTGTGGTCCATCAACATCTGGAAGGTTCCTCACATCTGTCATACATAAATCAACAGGAATCTCATAATGCAATCCAGAGAGATGCTGGGTAAATTTACCATATGCTCAGTCTGGGCCATATACCTGTACCTCCGTTCAGTCATTTTAGCACAAAACTGTAAATACTGGAAACAATAGCACAGCCTAAAAATTGCAATTATGGCACACAATTAATAACTAACTAGGAGATGGTCATTGTTCCTAATGTGAGAGGTGGGAATAAGGTAAGGTTACCAGACGTCCCCGTTTCCCGGGGACAGTCCCCAGATTTACAAATCAGTCCCCTGACAAAATCCATCCATTCTGACCAAAGTTGAAAAGTGTCCCCGGATTCATGGGAAAAAATCTGGTAACCTTAGAATAAGGTGCACTCCAATCAGCATGCTTGTCACTCAAAAAAACATTAAACAGGGAGCACATCTACATTGTTGTTTAGTCGTTTAGTTGTGTCCGACTCTTCGTGACCCCATGGACCAGAGCACGCCAGGCACTCCTGTCTTCCACTGCCTCCCGCAGTTTGGTCAGACTCATGTTTGTGGCTTCGAGAACACTGTCCAACCATCTCATCCTCTGTCGTCCCCTTCTCCTTGTGCTCTCCATCTTTCCCAACATCAGGGTCTTTTCCAGGGAGTCTTGTCTTCTCATGAGGTGGCCAAAGTATTGGAGCCTCAGCTTCATGATCTGTCCTTCCAGTGAGCACTCAGGGCTGATTTTCTTAAGAATGGATGCGTTTGATCTTCTTGCAGTCCATGGGACTCTCAAGAGTCTCCTCCAGCACCATAATTCAAAAGCATCAATTCTTTGGCAATCAGCCTTCTTTATGGTCCAGCTCTCACTTCCATACATCACTACTGGGAAAACCATGGCTTTAACTATACGGACCTTTGTTGGCAAGGTGATGTCTCTGCTTTTAAGATGCTGTCTAGGTTTGCCATCGCCTTTCTCCCAAGGAGCAGGCGTCTTTTAATTTTGTGACTGCTGTCACCATCTGCAGTGATCATGGAGCCCAAGAAAGTAAAATCTCTCATTGCCTCCATTTCTTCCCCTTCTATTTGCCAGGAGGTGATGGGCTCAGTGGCCATGATCTTCGTTCTTTTGATGTTGAGCTTCAGACCATATTTTGTGCTCTCCTCTTTCACCCTCATTAAAAGGTTCTTTAATTCCTCTTCACTTTCTGCCATCAAGGTTGTGTCATCTGCATATCTGAGGTTGTTGATATTTCTTCCGGCGATCTTAATTCCGGCTTGGGATTCATCCAGCCCAGCCTTTCGCATGATGAATTCTACATATAAGTTAAATAAGCAAGGAGACAATATACAGCCTTGCCGTACTCCTTTCCCAATTTTGAACCAATCAGTTGTTCCATATCCAGTTCTAACTGTATTTCTTGTCCCACGTAGAGATTTCTCAGGAGACAGATGAGGTGATCAGGCACTCCCATTTCTTTAAGAACTTGCCATAGTTTGCTGTGGTCGACACAGTCAAAGGCTTTTGCATAGTCAATGAAGCAGAAGTAGATGTCTTTCTGGAACTCTCTAGCTTTCTCCATAATCCAGCGCATGTTTGCAATTTGGTCTCTGGTTCCTCTGCCCCTTCGAAATCCAGCTTGCACTTCTGGGAGTTCTCGGACCACATACTGCTTAAGCCTGCCTTGTAGAATTTTAAGCATAACCTTGCTAGCGTGTGAAATGAGTGCAATTGTGCGGTAGTTAGAGCATTCTTTGACACTGCCCTTCTTGGGGATTGGGATGTAGACTGATCTTCTCCAATCCTCTGGCCACTGCTGAGTTTTCCAAATTTGCTGGCATACACATCTACATTATACTATTGTAAAGTTGCCTGGGCAGCACAAAATGGATTTGGAGCAATGTAAACCCACATTTACTTTGCTTACCAAAGTACAAATATGAGCAAAAATTGAAGCAGTGTGCCGCTACCAGGCTATTCAAAAAGTGGTCCTGTACTTTCAAGCATTTCCAGACTTGAGCTAATTCACAGCCCTCTTTTCTCTCCATTCCAATAATGTAAAAACAGCCATTTCTCCACACAGATACACTCTAAACCTGTCAGAGTTTGCCAGTTAACCGCCATTGATCACCATTGAAAAACTAATCCACTGCACAAGAGAATCCTTGGCCATCAGCCACAATATATTTAAACTGATTTGAAATAGTGTCATGGCATCTTCTGAAGACCATTGAATTGGGATTCGAGAATGCTTCAAATTCCTTGCTAAAGACAGTTCACTTATCCACAGGACTACAAATTGCCAGACTTTCTGGATTGGGAATAGACAAGTTAGTGCAGTTGTCAGTGTGTTCTTCTCAGGCCTTGTTCCATGCCTATAAAGCACGGCTCTGAGTGGTTTAAGAGTGGCTTTCCCAGGGGGAAAGCAACGGGAGAAGAGGAAGTGTGGATAAGCCCTCTGTTTTACCTTCAGGGTTTTGTTGTGTCTTTGTAGCTCTCTGCAGAGACTTTCCAGTTTGCTTCGGGCAAGGACGGCTCTACTGTGTTCACTCTGCAACTGGTCCTTCTCCTTTGTGAGCTGTGTCTGCCTTTTCTGCAGATACTTTAGTTTCTTCTGTTCAGTACGATGTTCCTCCAGCTAAAAAATAAAAGGGGGGGAGGTAAAGGGAGGACAGAAACAGAAACTAATATTTATTTGAGTGGGAGTTCTGGTTTGCTGCAGGGAACCATTAAATCATCTGCCTCCCATGACTGCTCATTTTGTTTTTACAGCGAAGAGATAAAATGAGAGTTGTGCTTAATTGATTGATAAGTTGCTAGGACAATGATCCTGTTCTTAATAAACCACTTTCCCAGCAAATCAGGCCGCTAGCTGTATAGTGGTTTTTACCTTTGGAAAGCAGAACTCTTGGATGGTGGCCATGACCGGCATTTGCATCTGCCCTGGGAGTGGAGGGAATTGTCCTGGCTGCCTGAGCTTGCACCTTTTAACAGCAGCTTGCTATGCAGAAATCACCAGGCAAAGCTTTTTATAGAACTGAGATAAGCATCACCACCTACTAATGGCTTCACAGCTGGTAAAGAGGCACAAGACTAAAATTCACTTTAAAAGTTGACAATTTTACCCATGACATCACTGCAAGACCTTTCAGCAGCTTCCTTGACCTCACTCATCTCAGCCCAGGCATAGATTTTGCTAAGCTGTCATCCCCCTTGGGCACAGCACAAGACAATGATAAAAGAAAGCGGCTGAAAAACCAAGGTTTCAATAAGCATTACTTAAAGGTGGACAGCTCCAAAAGAAATTGTTCCAAATTAAATAGATGCTGGCCAAAGGAAATATGAGGTCAGACCAAAGTCTGGTTCCTGTAACCTGAAGCTGTAACTGTTCATTTCAGAATAGGTGGTTTGAGGTTTGTAGCAGGTCTTTTTCATTTTTTAAAAAATGATAAAGTAATTTTAACACTTGCTGAAAGGAAAACAATTATCTGACTTGTGGTCGCTCCTTTCCCCCCTGGAGAAGCTGGAAGGCTTTGCATTGGTGGTCAAAACAGGCTTTCTTCAGTCATTCCTGTCCAAGTTTATCAAACAAGGGTGGACATGCATCACTTCAACAGCAAATGTTCTGCCTTACAATTTTTACAATTTTTAAAAACATTTTTAACCAAAATGCTGTTTCCCCTCCCTCAGCCCAATTTGCTCCTGAAAAATATTCTGGGTAATGCTTTTTTAAAGTTTTGATTTTAATATCTTATGGATTATTCCGTATCTCTCTATAATATCGGACTCTTTGTATTATATGGTGTCTGTTGAACCTGATCTCTGCTTTTATAATGTTCTGAGCGGTGTGAGATTCTGGGGTACCAGGATCTGTGTTTCCTTTTGGACAATGAGGCACAGCAGAGACTGTGGTGTCTTTATGATATATGGTTTATTTGCTCATATATACAATCTGAGTGTAGATTTGAGAGGTTCTGCAGCATCAGTTTCCAGTAAGTTTCTGTTCCTCTCACAACAACTCCAGCCTTGCAGCCAGCAGCAACCAGTCGTGCCTCTCTCTGACCCCTAACTTCCTCCTGTCAAATAGTTCCCCCTTAGCATTTATTGTCTCTGTCTTTTCTAACTTAGGGAGAGTTCCTGCCCTTTTGATGTGCTAGTGGCTCATTATCCCCAGGCCATTCCCTCAAAGGAAATTAGGCTGACTCCATTACCTTTCAACTCCTGTTGATTTCCAAGGATTAAGAACCACCTAAGACACAACTTAGGAAGTTTGCCCAGCATAATTAATTAATGTTAATTAAATGACTAGAAGTGTCTAGCACACAGGTGAAATACACACATGAATCTATCTTAAAACACACAGAGTCCAGCTTTCCCCCGGTTCTAACACACAAGCTCTAATTAAATTCCAACTACTAAACCAAGGCATTCAGCACCCGCAAACTTCTAACAATATAATGTCTCAGAACTAAGCTTGCCAAGTTGCAACCCTGATAAAGCAAGAGCGGGACATGATGGAGCTGAAGCTATGCTGGTCTATGCCTTGCTCCTTCATCCTCACCCCTCACCTCTACTTGCTGCCTCAAGCACGACCCCAACATCAGACGTTAGAGGGGTCAAATGAGAGGTCCAAGGGAAAACCATATGTGTGTATGTGTGTGTGTGTGTGGGGGAATTCTCTCTTCTTATTGCTCCAGCAGGGCTCTTAGAAGCATAATATCAGCCCCCAGGTTGTAACCCAAGAACCCAACATCGCATCACATATAAGAGCACACAAAGTGCCCTGCCTGCTGGATAAGACCAAGTCCAGGAATATGCTAAGAACATATAAAGGCATATTGTACCAAATCAGACCACTGGCCCATCTAGCTCAATAGTGGCTCTCCAGGGTTTCAGCCAGGCGCTTTCCCCAGCCCCACCTGGAGACTGAACCTAGGATCTTCTGCCACAGTGCTATGACCCTTCCTAATGTTCCCACAGGGGCCAAGCAGGTGCCTAAAGGAAGTTCTCAAGTAGGACATGAGGATAAGTTGCACCCCAGCAACTGGTGTTCTGTGAATAATATATTGCCCAATTCCCTTTTATAGCTGTCTGTGCTGCTGGCCATCGCTACATCTCATCCTCATTGGATGACCCTCGGCTGTATTCTATGAGAGATGGAGAGAACTTCTTTCAATCTACTTTCTTCACACCATGCATCATTTCAAACACTTATCATGTCCTTCCTTGCTTGCTAAAAAGCCCCCAGGGGAGGAAAAGTTGTTTTAGCTGTCCCCTTTCTGCACTTTCACCAGCTCTACAATATTATTTTTAGATGTATACACTTTAAAGTGGGGCTGTCTCTATCCTTTCTCCGTAGCTGCTATACTAACCAGTTCAGCATACTTCTTAAATAGGATCTCCAGCTTCTCTTCTGGGGTATTCAGCTTGTTCAAATGTTGCATCAGCAGGGTAGCTTCTTTTCCTGAAGTAATTTTTAAAAAGGACATTCTCACAGAGAGCACTTCATGCAAAATACAAGAATTTTTAACAACTGGAAGCTGCATTTTAAATTGGTTTTGGCTTCTATATTTGGAAATGTTAGCAGCAGTTTGTGTGGAACATTTCTCTTTAGATTTCTGCCAGGTGCTTCTGAAGCAACTTTAGGTGACCTTCTTTTAAGTATGGTAGTAGCGCGTAGGGGTTGTCACTGTAGCACCCTTGTGCCACACTGGTTGTGGCTACCCATATGTTACCCATGTGCTACACGTGCTTTCTGGTTGGCAAATGGGCTCATGGGCTCCAAAAGGTTGGTGATCCTTGTTGCAGTGGTTCTATTTCCACATTTTTGCCAGACAGCCAGACTAATTTTTAGTATGATGTTTAGTGCAAGTTCAAGATGGATGAAACACTCACTGAAGAAGATACTTTAGCAATTAAGCTGTATATAAATCCAATACAGCCGTACCTTGGTTTTCTAACAGCCTAGTTCTCAAATGTTTTGGCTCCCAAATAACTGAAACCCGGAAGTGACTGTTCCGGTTTTCGAATGTTCTTTTGGAAGCCGAACGTCCAACGGGGCTTCTGATATGGCTGCAGGAGCTTCCTGCAGCCAATCAGAAGCCACGCTTTGGTTTCCGAACGCTGTGGAAGCCGAATGGACTTCTGGACGGATTCTGTTCAACTTCCAAGTTATGACTGTAATAATAATAATAGCCTAAATCAGCCTTTCTCAACCTGTGGGTCCCCAGATGTTGTTGGACTACAACTCCCATCACCCCTAGCTAGCAAGGCCAGAGCTCAAGGATGATGGGAGTTGTAGTCCAACATCATCTGGGGACCCTCAGGCTTGAGAACTGCTGGTAAATGCTGCTTTGCATTATTGCACCCACAAAATATACAAGTCTAGGTGTGATGTACAGAATTGTACCATCAGTTAATTGCCATGTATGTCCATTATTGCGTCACATATTAAAAATAAAACTAAAAACTGGTTTCTGGCCAGAGCCAAGAAGAAAATGGGTACTTTTGGTACCAAACAATTAAATGTTATGGAGACGACCACTGCGGCGCCTTTTCCAACATAGCCAATGAGTCCTATTAAGTTCTGCATTTCAGTTACGCAAGGAGATACTTGCCTAGTCCCTTCAGGATTTTCTTTTCCAGCTTCTGTTCTTTCTGGCTGCTGGATTCCTTTGATCCAGACGCATCCCCAGAAGCTGCCTGTTCCTTCTCAGCCTCATCATGGGCATCCTCATATTCTCCATCCTCATTATTAAAGGAATCTCCTTTCTCAGGTCTGTCTGTTGTCGCTTTAGCATTCCTTTCCTCCACCAGGCTGGCAGCTGACCCGTAGGTTTTAATAATGTCCTCCAGCTGTCGGCTCAGCTCCTCAGATATATCGCACAGCTTTATTTCAGGCTGAGAATGCGCTGCGTTCTCAGGGGACAGAGGCCTCGGAGGCGACTTTTCACTTTGTTTCTCTAGACCATTCTCAGTAGGCAGCGCTTCAGAGCTGCTTATGGGAGGTGGGGGTTGCTGGTCAGGCTGAGGGCCAGCTCCATTTTGGTCAGGCTCCATTCTTGGGATGTTACCTGGGTGTGAGACAAAGTTAGGCTTTTATCTACACCAGCAATCAAGAATAGAATAAAAACTGCCAAAGAAGGCCATGCCTGTTGATAGTAGTAAAGATTATATTTAGCACTGGCATTTTAGACAACCTAGATATTTATTTATTTAGCCCTTTCATGTATCTTCCTTCCACACACATTCAAACAGTTTTGCCATTCACTGCAGCCCTCTGGAAAAACTGTAGGTTTTGTGCATTTGTCCCAATTAATGGCGATTAATCAGAAACTACTTGGCCATAGTCTTTCTTTTAGCATCAATAGATTTATCTAAACAAGATTCATTGGTCATAGTCATGGTATTCATTGTTTCGTTTCAGCTTTGACTAAAGGCTTTTCAGAGGACTGTTTCATTGTACAAGAAATGGGAAGCTGAGAAAAGTTATTTCCTTAATCAATAAATCACAATATTTAGTTGCAAAAAAGAGAGAAAATTTCCTTCAGCTAGCACATTTATTCTTATTACAGCTAATTCTTTATGTTCTGGCGTAGCCAAACTTTCCATAGTTCAACAAGAACAAAGGATGAAGAGGAATTTCACACCTTAAGATTTTTTAAATTGTCTCATTCTTTTTCCCTGAGACATATTTATGTTGCATCATATATGAAAGTAATCTCCTCTTTCCTTTTGGTAGTTCCAATGTGTGGGAGGCTAATTTTTATTTATATATTTTGTATTTGAACTGGGGTGATAAAGGAATTTCCTCTTATTCCCATATCTAAGGAGAAACAATGTGCCTTTTACCACAGAATATCCCAGGTAACGAGTGGTATGTTTTCTCCAATATTTTGAGCCCATTTTGTCATCTAGTCTTTTATTTGCTCTGGTTCTGTGTCATCTCTATTAAGCAGGCAATGTATTTTTGCAGACATACGTTTCTTGATCTTCATAATTACTGTGGTTCAAATTCTGTCACATGTCTTGTCTGCCAATTTGATCCAACGTATTACTGTATGCATGATCTAACTTGAAAGTACTCAAACCAAGGGGAATTTATTCCCAGTAATTTGCCGTGAATTGCTATGTAAGAAATCATTTCCCATTAGTAAACCAAACCCTTAATCCCCAAAAGATTATTTTTTTGCAGAACAAAAAGCCATGCCCCATTATTTTGCCCAGTGTTGACTCTCTCTATCTCTTTTTAGCACACGTTAGTAAAAAAAAACCTCTTTGATTTACTGTGGCAATTTTATCTTCAACAGAGGGCATCATCAAGAAATTGCTGGTAGAAAATCACAGACTTTGTGATTGGAACATAAGGAAGGAGAGAGAAACTGGGATCAACATATCATAGAGCAGCTTCCCCCAATCTTGTTGTTAGACTACAACTCCCATTATTCTCAGCTATTTGCAATGCTGCCTTGGGCTGATGGGATACGTAAGCCAAAACATGTAGAGGGCGCCAGGCTTATGGTATAGTGGGCCCAAGTCACTACGAAGAAGACAGTCCCCCATGTGCTACAACAGATGCAAATATAGTGGAACCTCTACTCACGACCACAATCTGTTCTGGAGGCCCGTCTAGAAGTTGAAAAGGGTCGCTGAGAGAGGCGCTGTTGTGTGCAGGCGGCGATAGCTGCTCCTGCGCATGTGTGAATGGCGGCAAACCTGCCGGTTACTTTCGGGTTTGCCGCAGACATTGGGCGAAATGGACACGAGTGGAGGTGGACGTAAGAAGAGGTTTGACTGTACCAAACAGCCTTTGAGGGCAGCTCAATGCAGAAGAAGAATCCTTGTATTGTTATTTAGTCTCAGGATCAATGGTGGCTGTCAGGGCTGAAGCTGAAGTAAAAGGCTGCAGGCTCCTTACTAAGTGGTGGGCCCATGTAGGGCCCATGCAAACAATAAATAAATAAAATGCCATTTTAGACATGATAGACTGCAGAACTGCAACCCACACCAGTCATGGGCATAATCTTCGTATCTGCCTCAAGACCTGCTGACCATTCCCAGTTAGTTAGTAGACAAAGACAGAGTTTTGTAATCTAGAAGTAAAGTAGCAAGCTAGAGAGAGAGTCAGAGCAATGTTTGAGAGCGATGCTTGATTTCTGTTTGAATCTAAGGCTTGAGCTATGGGAGAAACAAGACCCTTTTGGGGTGTTAATGCTGTGAACGCCTCCATCGTAGGCTCAGGTTGTATAAATGTGTAAACCATATATCGTAAAGACACCACAGTCTCTGCTGTGCCTCATTTCCAAAAGGAAACACGAACTCTGGGTATGTGCCTGGAATCCCTGGAATCTCATGCTGCTCGGAGATTGGGGTAGCATGCAAGAATATATTGCTTTTGTGGCAGAAAGGAAACTGATCTAGTTTATAAAATAAGCAAGCCATGTGCAACTTTAATCTATGCACCTATGTCCACTTGCTAACCACAGCTTGATAGTAGTGTATCCCATACACAGGTATACTGATGTGGAAAGAGTATGTTTATACATGGGGAAGCCCTGTGCTGTTAACTTGTATTTGACCCACTTCAGGAGGTTGTGGCTGAACCCAGTTTGTTTACCACTAAAAACACAGCAGTTATTTAACACATTCCTTTCCAATGGTGTTCTTGTTAACAGTCGGAGCAAAAGTTTTCTCCCTTTCCAAGAGGGAGCTCCCTTTCTAAGCTTCTCTTACCAATTCATTACACTTGGCACTCATGTTAAAATAGATTCTGAACAACTGATCAACCGACAAAAGCAAGCTGCCTTAAAAAATGTGTTTTGGGTCTTCCTCTTTATTGCAGGGATGAATTACAGAAAGTGCCACTTTCCTTGTCACAAGGTCTTTTTCTCCCAGTAGAGGAGTTCAGAAGTTTGCAGGACTTGCCTATTTTTAGCTTCCCACCCCGCTCCCCTCAAATCCAACAGAAAGACACATGGCACCTGCTCTGAAGTCATGAGTTATTTTAAGCCCATCTAAAAAAAGGATGACAGTGATGATCCTTGATAACTGCCTTTATTCCTCACATTCACCCAACAAAACAAATAAAGAATTCTACCATGCCAGCTCACCATAGGTATATTTCACAGCCCAAATCCTAGGCCTATGTGCTTGGAAACAAGTCCCACTATGTTCTGTGAGAATTACTCCCTAAGTAAGCAGGTATAGGCTTACACTGTCAGCCGCTGAGTGCAGATTATTTAAAAGTTAAGCATCACAGAGAAAAGCAAACAGTGCGCTTCTATTATTGTTTGTTGTCAAAAGCTAAACAACACACCTGTCAAGTGTCCAGTGCTGCTTTTGCTGCATGGTTCTTCTGTATACAGAATTACAGTTGTGCAATTTCTGTAAGGCTTTAAGCACTGTAGTTTGTCAAAACGGACGTCGGAAAGGCACTCTGATGCACAATGAATTCACAGAGATGTGAAATCCATAGTGTTAGAGTTTCGAAACAGCCCCCAAGCCAAAACTATTCTAGAAACACATATAGGCTGCTTTGCTTTGTGCTTAAATCTTAACCACCATTAGTTTCCTCATACCGCACAGTCTTATCCTAATCCTGCTTTAAATTTCCCTCCTCCAAAAAACATCAACTTCACACTGGTCTCCTTCACTGGAAGCTCCGGTAAGGCTATTTACCTCACAATGCAATTCTATATGTGACTACTCAAATGTAAGGCCCACTGAATTGAGTGGGGCTTATTCCCAGGTTAGTGGATACGGGCTTGCAGCTGTAGTTTCTTCTTCCATAGTCGCAATCACATGCTCACACTATTTAAAGCTCGTGCACCAAAATATTGTTTGAAAACTTCCATAGTTGTTTCTCAACCATGCTGCCAGCTATCGACTTTGTCACACTTACCTGGGGGGAGAAAAAGGAGCAGAAGAGAAGAAGATGGCAGGAGGAGGCCCAAAAGAACGACAAGAGAGGAAGAACCAAGAGCAATAGGAAACTTTCCCTCTGTTCCTGCCACAGAGGGCGGGAGGAGTGGATGACACAGCAGGCAAGAATACTCCTCTCCAGAGTTTGGCTGCGAGCTCCCAAGACCAAATGCCAAATAGAACAGAGCTCTTGGGCCTTTAACAACTGTGTGGAATGATGAAGGAATTTCAGCAGGTGCAGCTCAACACACAGGCAGGGAAAAGTTGCACTCTGCACACACCGTACATTGAAAGCATTCTCCCCTGCTCCCAAGAATTGGGAGCATTGCCTTCTTCCCGGCAACCAAGGGAGAAGCCCCTTGTCCTCCACTTGCCCTTTCTCCAGAATGCTGTTCCCAAATGGCAGTAGGACGTTAAGGGTGCTGAGACTGCTTAGGAGCACTGGCGGAGGAAGGGGGTTGCGGGAGGTGCGGTCTGCCCCAGGTGTCATCCCTGAGGGTCTGTGTATGTGACATCGCTGCGCTGCCCCCCTGGGACGCTCGGCTCACCCCCGTGGGCAGCTAGCCCCACCCCCAGGTGCACAGCATGTGCGCCACTCCAGGGGCCGGAGCAGCTAGCTCCGCCTCTGCTTAGGAGACCCCTATTTCCCCCCACAGAGCTGCTAATCTTTGAATGCTTTCACCATCAATCCCTCTTTCCCAGGGAACTTTGGAAATTGTAGCCCTGTGAGGTGAATAAGGGGGTTTCCTGACAGCTCTCATCCCCCTTAAGGAACTAAAGTTCCCATGATTCTTTGGGGGAAGTGACCACAGTTTAAAGTGGTATGGTGTTGCTTTAAATGCATAGTGCCGACTGGGGATGTTGGGGAGAGCATCCGATTTGTGCATAAGCCTCCACTGATGCTTTCTCCTTCTAAATAAAATGAGAAATCTAGGAAATAAGCCTTGAACTAACTAAGGATTGACCAAGAGTTACTATGGCTTTTTATGCTATATACCATACTTTTCCGGGTATAAGACATCCCCTTGTATAAGGACCCCCCAATTTTGGGGGGCTAAATTTTAAGAAAATGAGGGGAGATTGGCCAAGGTTGTTGACCCTCTCCCCCCATGCAGCTGCGGGCAGGAAACACTTCCTATATCGTTTCCCAGGCGTAGTGGCATCGGGTGAATTTGCACTCCCTCCAGTCATCCGGTTTGCAGGAGCATAACCTCGCCCGATGCCGCCACACACAGGAAACGATCCAGGGAGTGCTTACTGTGTGCAGCGGCATCAGGTGAATTTGCGCTCCTGCCAAAGAGCTGGCTGGCGGCGCACAGCTTCTCTCCCCCCCAAAGCAGATGCGGGCAGAAAACACCCCCCAGATCACTCCCTGCTCGCTGCGGCATCTGGGGAAACCGTGCTCCCACCAACCGAATGGCTGGCGGCGTGCTCCCCCCCCCCCCGCTGTGCTACTATCCGTGTATTGGATGACCCCAGTTTTTTGATGTGATTTTTGAGTCAAAAAACCTCATCCAATACACAGAAAAATATGGTAAATAAAATCAAAACATGAGTTTTAAAATGTAATCCTATACTCTTTTACCTGTTAGTAGTGGTTGGTCTCCACTAGGGTTGCCATATTTCAAAAAGTGAAAATCTGGACACAAAAGTTGTTGAGTTTTGCCCAAAGTTGTTGAACATTTTTTTCAAAATCTAAAAAACCTCCCCTCATTAAATCGAGCTTTTCTAAAGGAAATTCACCAGATATAGACTTCCGACATGGGTTTGCCATACGTCCAGATTTTCCTGGATGTTTTGGCGATTTTTGCCTGGACACTGTTTCCGACTGCCAGATTCCAGCTATATCCGGGAAATTTTGGACAGATGGCAACCCTATCTTCACCAGCCTGCCTACTGACCGTGTGTGTGTGTGTGTGTGTGTGTGTGTGTGTGCTGTCTGTCAGCTTCCTTCTCCTTAGCATCAGTGTTACTCTCTCTTCTTCTTCGTAAACCTTTATTAGGTATTATAAGTATAAAGGTAAAGGGACCCCAGACCATTAGGTCCAGTCGTGGCCGACTCTGGGGTTGCAGTGCTTATCTCGCTTTATTGGCCGAGGGAGCCAGCGAATAGCTTCCGGGTCATGTGGCCAGCATGACTAAGCTGCTTCTGGCGAACCAGAGCAGCGCACGGAAATGCCGTTTACCTTCTCGCCGGAGCGGTACCTATTTATCCACTTGCACTTTGACATGCTTTCGAACTGCTAGGTAGGCAGGAGCAGGGACCAAGCAACGGGAGCTCACCCCATCGCGGGGATTCGAACCGCCAACCTTCTGATTGGCAAGTCCTAGGCTCTGGTTTAACCCACAGCGCCACCCGCATCCCTATTATAAGTATAATATTGCCTATTATAAGTATAGGCAACCATAAAACATCCATATAAAATGTTAAAATATATACAAATAAACAGCCATGTAAAATATGTAATAATGAGGATTTTCATTGGAATTTCTTCCTGATAAATAGTGCCATTCACCACTCTGAGAGATGCTATTGACAAAAACTCAGCCACCCTTGCAGTTACTCTTATAGAACAGAGCAATAGGAAGATGGGGACAAAAGTAGAATTGGTTGGCTCCACCAGCCATTGTCTCTGACTCCACTTATTGTTGGGGTCCCTGCCTTCTCACCAGTCCAAATGGGCACCAGTCTCTTCTAGAAAACACTAAAGGAAAGAGAAAGTGGGATACTACCAATGATCTTCCAACCCAGAAGCTCTGGAGGACAAGACAACATCACAAGGTTGTCCTATATCAAGGGACACAGATCTTATCCTACAAAGTTCTGAACATAGTGTTAATCTGACTTGGTCATCAATAGGAACCAGTACATTTTGCTAAGTTAGGTTTTGATAATATACATCTTTTGAATGTTCCAATCAGGTTTCTTTTATAACAGCTATTTTCCCAGTTTTCCACCATCAAATTACTGAAAAGGTTTTAATGAGCTGAACAGTTTCTTTGGTTTGTTGGCCTTCTTCGTCAGTACCCAGGTGGTGGAGGCCAACTATTGCAGAACCAATTAGGTGACACAGAAAACCTTTTAAATATGACAGATTTATTGCAAATAATGTTATTCTAAACCTATGTATAAAGTTGGATTTGTGTAAGAAAGCTTTTCCAAGGATCTGGAGGAATTCCCCACTGGCTCTGGATTTAAGAGTTCTGAAATTTCCCAAGTCTTTCAAGGTGGGTGGGAATTAATTATTATGGTTTCATTTATGCAGCACTCTGCGCTATTCAAGTAAGTTAGCGAGTAAGTCTGTAGGAAGTGAGTGAGTGAATATGTGAGTGTATCCCTTGGGTAAGGCATGTAATCATTAAGTCACAGATACAACCCACAGATGCACTGATATTATTATTATTATGAAAAATCTAGGAAATAAGCCTTGAACTGACTAAGGCTTGACCAAGAGTTACTATGGCTTTATACTATGTAAATAAATCAAAACGTGAGTTTTAAATTGTAATCCTATACTCTTTTAACCTGTTAGCAATCCTTAGTGAGCTCAGTAGGGCTTTCTTCTGAGTAGATCTGCATACACTTACTGAGGGTAAAAGGCCCGGTGACCACTAATGTCAGTATTCAACAGTTAACAGCCGAAACTATAGAACATTTGGCTAGTTTGCCATGTATGGAGAGCAATGGGCCGGCTCATAAAAAAGTAATCCCTAAAAGCACCTTGGGAAATAATTGACAAAGATTAGACCAGAGACAAACACCAGCCGGCTCCCTATCTCCGCGGAAATCCGATATCATTAGATACGAACAGACTCAACCCTCACTCACAAATCAAGCAAAAGCAGTTGTTTCCTTGAAAGACGCACCCAACCTACCCCAGAGCCTTAAAATTGTCTCCTGGAATGTTAACGGCTGGGCGACAAAGCAAATGGATCCTGAAGCAATGAATCTCATCTCTTCTTTCGACATTGTATGCCTCCAAGAGACCTGGTCCCAACAAAGTATTGTTCTCCCAAATTATTGCTCCTTTAGCTCCTGTGCTCAGTAAACTAACCAACAGGGGTCGCCCCCAAGTTGGCCTCGCCTGTCTTATTTCAACCAGCTTACCCCTCACTATTTGCGAGGAAATTAAATCTTCCCCTTACTTTCTCACCATAAAGATTCATCTCCCAAAGACCAAAAGCCCATGGTTGATAACTACAGTATATCTGCCCCCAGCAATTAATGATTTCGACCGCAATGAAAGGTGGTCTGAACTTTCGTCTTGGCTCCATGATCTCCAAACAACTAACCCAGGACTCCCTCAAATCCTCTTAGGCGACTTTAATGCAAGAATAGGTCCCAACGACGATGATATAATATCTCCCGCAGCACTCCTGGACAATCCCCTGCAGCCCCCCTGGGGAAACAGATGCTCTCTTGATCCTATAACAAATGCGTCGGGAGGCTGATGGCCCAACTGGCCATGGAAAACGATCTCTGCATCGCAAATGGTAACATTACTCCCTTGTCCTCGCAGCAATTAACGTGCATCACTTCCCGGGAACCAGTGTTGTCGACTACATTTTATTGACGCCGGAGCTATTCTCAATTTCTACAAAAATGGAAGTGGCTGAATATTTTGGTGGTGACCACCTTCCATTGACTCTAATGTTAAACCTAATAGAGCCACTCCCAGTCTCCTCAAACTATAGAACCATGGTACAAAGCCACCCTGTATACAAAACAAAGAAATGGACAAGCCTCAGCTCCTCTCTTGCCCTGGACATACAAAAATCATTTGATATGTCTGCAGTTCCCTCTGATCCAATCCTGCCCGCTGACCAATACCGGAAATTACTTGATGCTTTCTCAACAACTTACATAACCACCACCTCGCCTACTTACCAACGCCTCTTCTCTGAATCGCCCTGGTTTGACAAGGAATGTAAAGCCCTAAGAAGGCGAATTAGGAAAATGGTCAGAATCATCAAATCTTCCAACGACCCCCAAACCCGTGCAAAGCTCATAGATATTAAAAGGACATATAGAAACATGATTCATTGCAAGAAACAGCAGTACATCTTTGAGGCTTGGTCCACTCTTCGTTCGGCTGTAGAGAGGCATGACTCCCGCTCCTTCTGGCGCCTAGTTAGACCTTCGGCACCATTCAATCCAGCTACCCAGATTTCCGCGGATGAATGGATTGCTTATTATTCAACTAGTTTCGCTTCTCCAAACCATCTTACAGATCTCCTTCAATCCCCATTGGACCTCAGTTCCTGCTCTCTTAGTCCCACTTCTTCAATAAACTTTACTTCAACTCGCATTTTCAACATCATAATGTCAATGCAAAGGAATAAGGCCCCTGGCCCAGACATGGTCCCGTTGGACCTTTTCCTGACTGATCCTCTTTGGTGGAGCGAACACCTGACTCCTGTATTCACCGCTATCTCCTCCGCCCTAGACATCCCCGACTCCTGGAGAGAAGCTATAATAGTTCCGATCTTCAAAGGCGGCCAGCCAAACATCCCTAGGAACTATCGCCCCATCAGCTTATTATCCATCCCGGGAAAATATTTGCCGCTGTTTTACTGGAGGAACTTCTCTCATGGGTCCAGGAGAGGAACATTCTACCGCTAGAACAGATTGGTTTCCGAAAGTCAGCGTCAACCATGGACCATTGTCTAACTCTCTTTCACCTTGCCAGTAAATACACTGCTCCAAGGCAAGGCCACCTATTTGCCGCTTTCATGGACCTGGAGGCCGCCTTTGATTCCATTCCTAGGCAGAGATTATGGTCCA